TGCTTTGCGCTGGGAAACGAATGGATGCCATTGACCTAGGGCAATGACCGGAAGTCCGGCACTCTCCCTGAAGTCCTTCGCCGCACCGGAGAGGTTTGATCCGGAGACCTGCCTGCGGATAAGTTTTCAGCCGCAAGTTGCCAGGTTTGACTGATAGGGTGCTCGGCCAATTCTTGCCAAATCCAACCAAGGAACATGGTTTAGGTCAGAGAATCAGAAGACCTTCAGCTTAGAAACGCGCAACTTGCCGTGTGTTTAAAGGGAGAGGGCCCAGATTTGGACAACGGCTTACGCATAGACGACCGTGCGTGAACTGCTGCTGGCATGTCCGCCGGCGCCAGCTTGCCCAGGACCCGGAGCAAAACATCAACACGGGATGGTTGCACAATGACGTCAGCTACAGCTTGGATTTGTCTTCCTAGCCAAGTCCGGGGTAAGACAACTGGCACAAAAGCTTTGCATTGCTCAGACTGAGCAACTGATATTCGGGGTTGAGCACCCCGAAGCCCCGTTCAGTCAAGAAATGGCTGCTGTCCTCCCAAAGAGTTGCTGGGATGGAGAACAGCAACACAAAGTTTGTATTGCCCAGACCGAGCACTCGATATTTCTAGCACACCTTTCCGCTCGTCGTATTTAACATCATGGGCCCCCCCTGCCCTGAATGTGATTCTGGCCTAAGAAAGCAAGAGGCTCAGAACAGCAGGCTGTACCCAGAACTTCATGGCAAGTTGCAGCTTCAGACTGCTTCGTTTGCAAGCCACTGTCCTCACACCGTTTGACTCTGAGGCATTCCTTGCACCAGTGCCACAGCTTTCCGTGCCAAGCTTCGCCGCACTCAATCCAATTTGTGCCAGGCATGTCCTCGGTTAAATCAACAAGCTCCGGAAATGCATACCAGACGTGGACTTAGGGCCCACTCGCTGCTACGGCACTGCTTTCTGCGGATATTGTTCGAGAACCTTAGAGGGTCTTGCGTCCCTGTTTTCCCAAATATGGTTTGCAGACTGGGCCGTCAAGTGGCCTAGCCGTGGAAGTGCTTGTGTCAAGTGGAGGGACCTCGCTGTGTTTTTGGTAAACAGGTGCAGCACGTGTTCGGACTTAAGCTTTCAGCCCGCACCTCAGCTCCCTTGATATAGCCTGCTGGATGTTTTTTCAGTGCCATGATTGGCAGAAGGGCAGAGGATGCAGAAGGAGTGTCTCTTGGCTTGACTTGAGCAAGGCATGGAGACTTTCACCCCAACCAGCTCGGCTGTGCCCAGAACCCTGTGGCAAGCTTCAGATAGCTGTGGTTGGCCTGCGCGTGTGCTCACTCCGTTCGAGTCTGCGTGGCCTCGCAGCGCCGCGGCAACTTCCCAGTTGTCACGCGGTCAAGTCTGTGGCGCGCTTTGGGTTTTAACTCGATGATGCAAGCTTGGTTTAAGAGCTGCTGAGGGCGTGCTCGATGACAACATGAAGAGTGTCATGCTGGCTTGACTTGAGCAAAGCATGGAGCCGTTGGACACAATCATCTTGGCTTTGCCCCGAACTTCATGGGAAGCTTCAGCATAAGACTGCCGGTGTGGTTGGCAGACGCATTGCTGCTGGCTTTCGTGTGAAGGTCGTTGCGCGTGTTGGGATTGAGTTTTATGCTGCTGTCTCGGTCTAGTATTTTCTTCAGTGGCCAGCATCGCACAAGGTAGCTTGCCAGAGCTTCCACATTGGGTAAGTTTCGTACGGAAATCGGCGGCTTGAATTGAGAGGGCGGATTCGCTGTTGGGATGGTGCTTTGCCATGACTTTGCCATCAGCGTGTAGTGCATCTTGAAGCCAAGCGACCTGGCTGTGCCCAAAGCTTTTTTGAAGCTCCAGCCTCACGAGTTTTCTGCCAAGCTTTGCGAACCCCGTCCAAGCTATCAAAGGCTGAGCCCTGTGTCAGGGCTTGCAAACCACACGCAGCCTGAACTTCCAAGGCTTTTCGTCCCGATATAGGCTGCTTGGAATGACGCTTGTTTTGACTGCCAGGCTTGAGATTACATGGGTATGGGTCAAAATTAAACCACCAGGAGACCACAGGTTTTAGTCCTTGGTTCCATTTACCAGGGTTCCAATTTGGGTACCTATTTTTGACCCACAGCCACATGGCGTCACGAGGAGAATCGGGTTGCTACCTGAGCACGGCAAGGCTGCTGTCAGACGCTCACCTGGCCACAGATCTGTCGGCGGTGAGTGTACTTGCTGACCCCTTATGCATTTGATGCCTTGCCTTGCAGCACCAGTGCGGCAACTTCCCAGTCCTCAGGCTGTCAAGGCTGTGGCGCGCTTTGGGTTTCAATTCAATGATGCAAACTTGGTTCAAGAGCTTCCTAAGACAACATGAATATCGCATGTGAACTGCAGTGCTGAAGCGTGCTCGATGAAAACATGAAGAGTGTCATGCTGGCTTGACTTGAGCAAAGCGTGGAGCCGTTGGACACAATCATCTTGTCTTTGCCCCGAACTTCATGGGAAGCTTCAGCATAAGACTGCCGGTGTGGTTGGCAGACGCATTGCTACTGGCTTTCGTGTGAAGGTCGTTGCGCGCGTTGGGATTGAGTTTTATGCTGCTGTCTCGGTCTAGTATTTTCTTCAGTGGCCAGCATCGCACAAGGTAGCTTGCCAGAGCTTCCACATTGGGTAAGTTTCGTACGGAAACCGGCGGCTTGAATTGAGAGGGCGGATTCGCTGTTGGGATGGTGCTTTGCCATGACTTTGCCATCAGCGTGTAGTGCATCTTGAAGCCAAGCGACCTGAGCGATCAAAGTTCCTTTAAAGAAGCTTAGCCTTGGGATGCCAAGATGGGATTCCGCGGCAGAATTGGTGCGCGCGAAAGTTCGCGGAAGCTTCCGCAGCTTCATTTGGCGGAAGCTCTGATCTTTTTGACCTGACTTGCAGATGGGAATCAAGGAGCTACCAGCAGGCAGCGTTTCCCTTGACTTTCTCCTTATGGCTTCCACTTTTGGCATCAGAAGCTAGGGAAGCAAAAGACCGTGTGCGCAAGCAAACACGCATGCCGCGGAAGCTTGCGGAAGCTTTCCGTCCCAAATTATGACATGTTGTCCTTTCAATTTGGGTATGGGTCCAGGGACCGCAGGTTTTAGTCTTTGGTTCCATTTACCAGGGTTCCATTTTCGGTACGCATTTTTGACCCACAGCCATTTGGGCCGCTGCTGTGCCCAAAGCTTTGTGAAGTTCCAGCTGCGGCGATTTTGGTCGCTGCTCGCCTAGCTGTGCCCAAAGCTTTGTGAGGTTCCAGCTGGCTGTGGCTCAAACAAGTGGTACCACAGTTTCACCTTGGCAAATGGAACCAAGGACTAAATCTTTCATTCTGAGCCGTACCCAGCCGCGGCAACTTCCCAGTCGTCACGCTGTCAAGACTGCTGTGGCGCGCTTTGGGTTTTGATTCAATGATGCAAGCTTGGTTTAAGAGCTTCCTAAGAAAACATGAAGATCGCAGGTGAACTGCAGTGCTGAAGCGCGCTCGACGACAACATGACGAGTGTCATGTCGGCTTGACTTGAGCAAAGCATCAAGCGCGGCTGGACCCAACCATCTTGGCGTTGCCCCGAGCTTCATGGAAAGCTTCAGAGTAAGACTGTCAGTTTGTTAGCAGATGCAGTGCTGCTGTACCTTGGAACCCCGGCAGCGCCGCATGTGAGCCCTTGCGATAGAAGCATCTCTCGCGGAATTTGCTGAGCATCTCCACGAATGCCCAAAGTGTTGTTGGCCCAGCTTGCGACGGGCTCAAGGGCAAAAGAAGGGAAGATCTGAAAGTACTCCAATAAGGAGGGCTGGAGTTTAGTATTGGTCAAGTATTGGGTGAGTTAAAAAAAGTAAAAGGGGAGAGGTGTGTTTTTGGACTTTGGCCTGAAAGTGAATTTACTTGTTAGTCGGGGTGGACGTATTGGTTCCCAGCGCACGCCGCCTTGGTGCAGCCTTTTGTGATGGGGGGCTTTAGGCGGCTTGGCGAGTCCTGGGGCTCACCATTGAAATCCGACATGTGTTCCCTGACTTCTGAGCCCTGGCACCCGCGGAACTGCAAAGCATGCAACGATGCCAATTAGACACACCCCTTTGACATGCTTGGGCCAGTTGTGAAATCAATTGAGCGCTGTTTCTCACGTGGGCAAACAGCAGAGAGTCATACATATTGACACACACAAGAGAACGTATTGATTTGAGTTTTGCCAAGCAAGTACGTTTACACGCATACCCTTGGAAGTCTTGCCGGAAGAAATGCCTAGTGCTTTCTGCGTGCTCGATGTGAGCATGAGCAATGAGAAGTTCGGTCTTGGCATTTAAAATGAAATGTGGCTTCATACTTGGCGCTGCCAGCGATTCGGCTGCGGGACATGCGTTTTGCCTCTGCATACTTAGTGTGTTCGCTGGCCACCCGCTGCGCGCATGGCCCATGTTTTGAAGAAACCCTGGATGACCGCAAGCGACCCCTGATCTAGTCTGGGAGTGCTACATCGGTCACGATCTGAAGAAACCTGAGTGACCGCAAGCGACCCCAACCTCCCACAAGTGCTACCCAGGGCTTAGCGTGCGCGGTCGCCCAAAACTGCCCAAAACTGCCCGGTCCAGACCCCGTTAGCGCGATCCCGGCGATCCCCCGTTAAGGGCCGCCAAGTTAGTGGCAAAGACATGCACCCGAGCAAGGCCTGTGGGAAAGTCCAACATATTTTTGGAAACCGCGCGGCAGTGTGCACATTGATCACCATACGGTCTGCATGCCGCAGCTTCTGAAGAAAAGTCAACGCCCGCCTTGCGTGCTCTTGCTGCTAAAGTGAATCATAACACGAGATAAATTGAATAATATATGCACGTACATCTCATGACGCCTGCTGGGGCGTTCCCATGAGTACACTAAGAGCGCTGCGCGGCGACGGAGATGCCGTAAGCGGCTGAGGAGGTCGCGGCAAATTGCCGGTGACTTCGGACAAATCCTTGCACTGTCCAGTCGAAACAGATGAGCGCATGGGATCACTGGCAGACCCGGCTTCTCACACGTGGGTTGCGCTTAAAGGCTATTGTGCCGCCATGTTGCAGCGCGATCTGCATGAGGCGGCCGATGCCCGCAAGTCTCCCGTAGAATCCAAGATTCGGAAGCAGGCATCCTGCCTGCAGAGCTGAACATGTTTGTGGGAATTGTTGCAGCTTCCTGGTTGCGACTGACACCTTCGATGCAACAAAGCGTTTAGCCTGACGCAACGCCAGAGAGTTTGATTGCTCCACCGTGAACGAATAGGTTGACTTGCGCACAGTCAATCGCGAGGACAGTTCGGAAGTCAGTCTCATTGTGCTAAGCATTGCAGAAGACTTGGACATGCAGATCAGACCTCTTGTGTGTAGCAGCAAAAGTGCAGATTGGAGCATTCAGGGTCCTTGGCAATGTAAAACATGCGATCCAGGATGTCACCCAGATCGCAGCAGAAAAGTATGCCACCTCGGCCTCAGTCCCGCCTTGAGGTCGTAGGGGTGGAGCATTTCAGCCGCTGCTATGCCGTTCTGTCATGATCACCCCATCCCACTGCCCCCCGACCTTTTGGAGAGTGCTGCAGCGATGTGCAGATAGAAACCACGAGCTCCTTGAGTTTCTCCTTAGCAGGCAGGTTTGAGCATGATTTGAGCCAGAGACTCCTTGTGCACAAATCAGAGATGTGCATTCAACCCCAGGATGTCGCAGTTTGCGATCAGTTTGTAGTGGCTCTGAATATAGTAGCTCCAGCAGGACGCGCTGCCAGCGATTGCATGCGTTTAGTGGCAAGGACATTCCAACAGCTTTAGGAGACCGCACGGCTTACCTGTTGGCTGTATGCTCCCTGGCACGTCTCTCATGACTTGGCTTCAACGTTCTATGTCCCACTTTGCCGGGAGGTGTTGCAAGGCAGTCCGCACATCGATCGCCTCACGGTCTGCATGCCGCAGCTTCTGAAGAAAAGTCAACGCCCGCCTTGCGTGCTCTTGCTGCTAAAGTGAATCATAACACGAGATAAATTGAATAATATATGCACGTACATCTCATGACGCCTGCTGGGGCGTTCCCATGAGTACACTAAGAGCCGTTGATGTCCCTGCGCGGCGACGGAGATGCCGTAAGCGGCTGAGGAGGTCGCGGCAAATTGCCGGTGACTTCGGACAAATCCTTGCACTGTCCAGTCGAAACAGATGAGCGCATGGGATCACTGGCAGACCCGGCTTCTCACACGTGGGTTGCGCTTAAAGGCTATTGTGCCGCCATGTTGCAGCGCGATCTGCATGAGGCGGCCGATGCCCGCAAGTCTCCCGTAGAATCCAAGATTCGGAAGCAGGCATCCTGCCTGCAGAGCTGAACATGTTTGTGGGAATTGTTGCAGCTTCCTGGTTGCGACTGACACCTTCGATGCAACAAAGCGTTTGGCCTGACGCAACGCCAGAAAGTTTGATTGCTCCACCGTGAACGAATAGGTTGACTTGCGCACAGTCAATCGCGAGGACAGTTCGGAAGTCAGTCTCATTGTGCTAAGCATTGCAGAAGACTTGGACATGCAGATCAGACCTCTTGTGTGTAGCAGCAAAAGTGCAGATTGGAGCATTCAGGGTCCTTGGCAATGTAAAACATGCGATCCAGGATGTCACCCAGATCGCAGCAGCAAAGTATGCCACCTCGGCCTCAGTCCCGCCTTGAGGTCGTAGGGGTGGAGCATTTCAGCCGCTGCTATGCCGTTCTGTCATGATCACCCCATCCCACTGCCCCCCGACCTTTTGGAGAGTGCTGCAGCGATTTGCAGTTGAGTCAGGTTTACCTTTATACGTGATTGACGTGAAGGATGCATTTTTGAATGTTCCACAGCCAGGCAAAGTTGTTGTTACAGCGCCACAGCAGCTCAGTGGCTATGAAGGGTGCATGTGGGAGCTGAACAGATTGTTGCCGGGGCAGAGAGAGGGCACAAGCGAATGGAGTAAGCTTGCGACCAAACTGTTACAGGAGAGTGGAATGGAAGTGTACGAACCTTGTCCGGTGCTATTCAAGGGCACAGGTGAGCTGAAGTCGGTGAGAGTTCAGATGCATGTGGACGATTTGCTCATGTGTGGATTGCCGGAGGAGGTGAATGTGCTCTTGGAGCGGTTTGCAGCCCAGGTGGAAAAGTTTCTCCTTAGCAGGCAGGTTTGAGCATGATTTGAGCCAGAGACTCCTTGTGCACAAATCAGAGATGTGCATTCAACCCCAGGATGTCGCGGTTTGCGATCAGTTTGTAGTGGCTCTGAATATAGTAGCTCCAGCAGGACGCGCTGCCAGCGATTGCATGCGTTTAGTGGCAAGGACATTCCAACAGCTTTAGGAGACCGCACGGCTTACCTGTTGGCTGTATGCTCCCTGGCACGTCTCTCATGACTTGGCTTCAACGTTCTATGTCCCACTTTGCCGGGAGGTGTTGCAAGGCTGTCCGCACATCGATCGCCTCACGGTCTGCATGCCGCAGCTTCTGAAGAAAAGTCAACGCCCGCCTTGCGTGCTCTTGCTGCTAAAGTCAATAGCAACATGCGATGCAGATGCCGCACGCGGCTGCGGTCGCGGCAAGCTGCCAGCGACTTCGGACGAATCCTTGCACTGTCCAGTCCAAACAGACGAGCGCATAGGATCACTGGCAGACTTCTCGCACGTGGGTTGCACTTAAAGGGCTCCCCTTTTGGGTATAAAGGGCAAACCACGCATTTTAGGGGCTCCGCTGTTCTGACACACAGCCCAAATGGAATCTGACTTTTTCATTGTGAAGACGTTTCCGTTGGGTGTTTCATCTTTTTGGAGGCGTGCGGAGCGTGTCAAGGCAGCCACTGAACGGCATTTTCACTAGGGCACTTTGCGAATTTGTTTTCGAGGGTTTGGACCCAGTTCCTTTTGAATCCAAACGGGGATGGAAGGCCCCACGTCCAAACCATGACATGGCACGGTGTCCGCCTCTTGGTGGACCAGTGGGCTGATGAACAGACTCATTCGCAACATCCCTTTCTCTAAACCTGGTTGGATACCACGGAAGTGTTCAACTCTAAGGGCCTGTTCACCAGTTTCAGGACACCTTTTGAGGGGATGGGTATTTTCTGTGCGAAGATTCTTCACTTGCCCCCGCACGGGGCGTGGAGCTTGAAAGGACAACCAAAAGGAAGCTATTGCCGTTTCGGGGGTTGATCAATATTCCTGACTCCCAAATGACCAGGGGTAACTTTTCCAAAGAAGTGGGAAGCATGGTTTTGTGGTGGGTTTTCCAGAGCCCCTTACAAGATACATTTTGCCCATTTGAAACATGTTGCTTTTTCAACACCGAAATAAAGTTGGACACCCACCATGTACAAGTTGCAATGTTCAGGTGTTTTTCATGTAAGGATCCCTCTTTCCCCGTGATTTTAGGAAACCCATTGCCATTTTGGGCGGCACCGCCGTGTCCAAAGGACTTTGCTTCAGGTGTGAAGCGGTGTCTTCGCAGCTGGGCCAGGCCGCGGAACTGGCACCGTGCCCTTCGGATTGCCCTTTGAGGCTCAGTTTGTGTTTTACCCAACCCAACCCACCAACCCAAGCCAGAAAAAAACGGCCCAAACAAGGGAGCCGGCCACTTTTTCTGTGTTTTCACCGAGTGAACTCTTTTGGGACGAGTTCGAGTCAGGTGTTTTGTGCCCCTTTGAATTCAGACACGCCGGATCTCCGATCGCCAGCGGGTGAAGTGCCCGGGGATTGGCCTGGGTTGGCCTACTGGATCAACTTGGTGCAGCACCCAAGAAACCCTGGAAGGAAGATTCCCCTCTGCCGGCCCCACTAAAGATGGTCTTCCCCAAAAAGGGTTCCCTCTTTTTTTCAGGGTCACTGAACAACTGAGACCAACAAACACTGGTTTCCCATTCTTCCGTAGGTGGTGCATGATTTCGCAACCATCCAAAGTATGACATGTGGTGGGGACTACCCTAAAGGTTGGTGGACAGGACTCCCCGATTGGATCAACCTAAGCGAGGGCAGCCTTTGGCCAGGATCTGTCGGGCGCCAAAGGCCAAAAGAACACAGGAATGCTGTTATATGACCATGGGTCAAAATCCCGTACCCCCAGTGAACATCCCAATCCAGCCACTAAAATACACTAAATGGGTGGTGCACCTACCCCAAAATGGGATCCCATTGGTGTTGACCACCACCGGCATTCAGAGAGGCCTGAGTTTGACACGCACTCGGGCGTGGCTTCAAGGGTTTCCTTTGAGGGATTGCAAACACAAGTTGGCACACTGAGGTGATGTTTGATGCCCTTTTTGGGGTTGAAAAGCCAAGTCGAGGAAACCCGGCTGTGTTTCGAGTTCGATCTCCGGCTTGGAGACACACCCGCATAAAATCGGGAGGCATTCCCCTTTTGTTCGACTCTTTTAAAGTCTTTTGCGACCCCTGCTTCGGAAAGAAAACGCAAACCGGCAGCATGCTCGTCCCCAAGTGGAACCGGACCATTCCTTTTTTGCCCACCAAGCCCAACTGAGGTCTACCCACTACCTCCCCCGCCCCCAAGGGAAAATGATCTCACCCCGTCGCGCCGTTCCTTTTGGGACAAGGCTGGCATCTTTTGCGGGAAAAGGAAGACAGCTCTCTTCAGGCCCCCGAGCCCTGCCCTCCTTGCTCAGATTACACGAAGTAGCGTCAAAATTACTTCTGTTGAGATTAGTATTCGGCGTTTAATATGGGTGTGGCTCAAAAAAGTGGAACCCATTTGTGGGCCTCTTGGATGGAAACAAAGACCAACACCTGCATACCCCCAGCCCTTAAATGCACAAAACCATGGCGTCATGAATTCCCTACAAAGGGTGGGTACAAGTGGAGTGGGTAGATGAGAGTAGGGTTGTTTAGGGTTCCTTAGAGAGCCTTCGGGAGCCCCACTGGACCACCCCAACTTGCAGACTCAATAAGAGGAAGTTGGACCCCTGACCAAAGATTTCTGTGCGTTTGCGAAGTTTCGAGGGTGGCTGAGTGGGTTCCCCCAAGCTGGTCGACAACAAACAAGTCCAGCAACAGAACCCGCCCACCAAAAGAACCGAGTCATGTGTGTTTTCGTTTTCGTTATATTTGTGTGTACAGGCCAGGTTTGAACCGAACTTTTCCTTTTTCTCCGCAAGGCGAAGGCCGACCAGTTGGTCTCCGAAAAGCCGCCCGGACCGAATGGACATCGGCTGGGGCGTGCCAGGCATCGAAGCCCGCGGGTTTCTATACGTCCCCCAGCAATTGGTGCCCTTTCTTGGGGAGGGCTCCCTCTCTTTTTTTTGGGGGGGGGGAGGGCTGTCAGGGAGGGCGGATATTTGTTGGGGGCTCCGCTCCCATAAAACCCACCAGCTTCTGCTCTTTTTGGGGGGGAGGGCGGTTTTTTGGGGGGAGGGCTGTCAGCTCCCCATCTGAGGGCTCTGGACCAGATGGAGCGAGAGAAACCGACCCGGGCTCTGAGGTCGGTGGGCTGGTTGCGAGAAGAGCTCGCCGAGACGCATAAGCAGCTGGCGGCGGCGAGGGCTCAGATCAACCAGCTGAGACCTCAGCCGGAGAAGCCTACCCGATTGGTTGTTGCTTGTTTGTGTTTTTTTTGGGGGGAGTTCCTGTGTGTGTGTGTGTGTGTGTGATTTCATCGCACCCAAACACACCCCTTGAGTTCTGTGTGTGTGTGTGTGTGGTAGCTTCGCGATTTCAAGAAAAGGGGAGGCAAGGCACAAATGTCACCTCCGTCGCTTATGTGCTTCAGTGAATCGCAACAGACATCTTCCGTCCTCGTTCGAATCTCATGGCGGCGGCTCAGCTCGTGACCAGCCTGGTGTGCCTCTTGAACCTTGGCGCCTTGGCCGGCGGGGACGAGCTGCCGACCGCTGATGGCAGCTACGTGCTCTCCGTCAAGTTCGAGGCGGCGCCGTGCGACGCTGCGAGCGCCTACCTGTGGCTCCTGAGGGTTCCCAGCGGGTGCAACCCTTCAGCAACGGGCGCCGCTGGCCGCGAGGGCCAGGGCCGAGTCGGGCGGACTTTGTGTACAAGACGAGCTGGTACACCAACTCGACCTGCGAGTCGGCGACTTTTGTGGACACCACCAACCAGGAGACGCCGAGCTCCAGCTGCTCGCTCAACAACAAGGGCCAGGCCGAGAAGCACTACTGCGCCACGCGCAATTTGCCGGAGGCGCTGAACATCCTGAACGGCCAGCAGCGCACGATCTGGTACGGCTGGCACCGCGACGCGGCGTGCTCCACCCCGGCGGACTTCTACACCTTGTACAAGGAGGGCGTCTGCGTGCCGAACGACCAGGCCACCACCTCGGAGCTCTTCGCCGTCGCCGCCGCGGGCGTCCGCAAGGTCGCGTACGACGGAGCCGCGTGCGCGGGCAACGCGACGGACACGCTCGAGGTGGCCCACGGCTTTTGCTTCCAAGCCACGGCCAACCAGTGGGTCAAGGTCGAGGGCTACTGGCCGGACGCCGACACGACCTCGTTGGCCACGACTTCCTTGGCCACGACCTCCGTGGCCACGACCTCCTTGGCCAAGGCTCTCGCCCCTCTGAGCGCCCTCCTACCAGTTTTGTTTCTACATTAAAGGGAATCTTCCTGATATTTGAATTTGGGAGACCCTGAGGGTACAATGTTCTGTTTCGTGAAGCTGCTGTTTAATAAAGACAGTCCTTGCGCCGTCTCAAGCAGCATCAAACAATCCTTGATACCTGCACGAGAGAAAAAGCTGCAAAATCGCCGTTTCGCTGCCAGAAACCGCTGTTTCGCCCGAAATGTGATGCTGATTAGGGACTCGCTGCAAAGAATCGCCTTTTCGGCAGTCATCCGTTTCGCCTGATACCCTTCAGATTGGTCCAGGTGTGGGTATATGCTGGCTGCATGGGTTAATGAAGTCCAGAATTGCATGCAGAGGCCCCCTTAAAGGGTGGGTTTACTCTTGGCGTTAAAGGCCATCTCAATACAGGTTGGTCCACAACTCTTGGAGAAATGACAAGCACATGTTCCTGATGAGGTGGATACTCAAGGCGTTTCGGGCTGACCGTTTGCGAAAGGGAAGCCTGGGAAGCACTTCCAAATTGCAAATATATCAGAGCCAATCTGTGGTGATTGCGGCTTTGGGAGCCGATTCCTTTGATGAAGCCAGTTTTTTATGGCAGTTGGAGGGCCAAGCGAAAAGCCCCTTTGATGGGGCAAATTGAGGCCAAATCAGCGTACATTGGGTTGTTTCGGAGTTGGTAGGCGGCATGCTGTGATCCGACAAGGTTCCCCAACTTTCAAACAATATCACCTGTTTGACCAAGTCAAAGTGAGTTTCATGGGTGTGTGTTTTTTAAGGGAACAAAAACAGACCCCATATGGCTGGGTCTTTCTTTGGGGGAGCCCCCCAAGCTGGATTTCGGTGTTCCTCTTGGTTCCCCTTTTGAACCACGTAACTTGGTGGCTCCCTGCCATCCCCTTAGCTTTTTAGCGTTTTCGTGTTCAGTAGGGATTTCCATTTAACCCGTGGAGGGCAATCTGTGGGCAGCATGGGTTCACAAAAATTAGAAACCAGATATGCCTTTGGGGCATTTTGCTTGCATGTTAGGACTTGAACTTTTAGCCAACTAGTGGGTTTATCCTGTAAACCGCTAAAAGTTAAACTTTTAGCTGAGAAGCAGAAAGCAACCGAAATACCATTCCGGTGATTTAGTCCTACCAACCAGGTGATTTGGTCCCACCAGCCATTTGATTTTCGCAGAATTCCCCTGAAGTTTCGCTTGATCTGTAGCACAGTGGCCGGGCTGCTTGGAGTTTCGCCCAAGGCTGAAACCCATGGCTCTCGCATTCGCTGAGGTTGGGCACCGAGCTTCGGCACCAGTCGCTGCAGAACGGCGTGCAGGCGAGGTCTTGGAGTGCAAGAGCGCGAAATGAGTCACCACGGCTGAAACCAGCAGGTTTGTTGAAATATTTACCTTTGCTCAGTTGCCCAAAGCCGACCTTTTGACCTTTTGGTTTTCCCCGTTTTGATCCAGTTTTAGTGGAGCTGCCAAGAGGTTAACCTTTTATTTCTGGGTCCTTTGGGCAAGTGAGTTTGGCATCGAATCATTCCCTTGGGTTGATGAGTTCAATGGTGCGAGACTCGCAGATTTCGCAGCCATGATTTTTCAGGGCCCTACCTCAAGGCGGGGTATGGACACACTTCCGTGACAGAATCCAGGCCCATCGGCGCCACCTGAAATGTTTAATTGGGGGCCCCGAGGGTGTTCCCTATGAGGGTCATGACTTTGACCATTTCTGGCTTCAAGGAAACTGGTTGGTAGAATTACGCCGTGAATTTCAGTGGCCACAGGATTCCAAGCCATGGAAGCCCTTTTTCGCACCTTGCAGCCCTACGGCCTCACTTCTGTCCAATCCCTTTAGAAAGTGGTTCTGGGTATGTCTTCTGTTGTTTTAGGGGGCCCCACCAATTGGGTTTTCGTGCTTGTGGTATCCGCAAGACAATATAACTAACACACCCACACACACACAATGGCTACCCTCAAAGAAGGACGTATTCTTAGTTAAGTATTTGACATGAGTTACATGTACGACAAATCCCACTTGGGAATCATTGACTGGGGGATATTAGCCACGTACTAAGTGGGTTAGCCATCCCAAAGGGGTTGATGACCACTTCTGTGCTACCACTTAGATATTCAAACAACTTACTTAGCCAGTGGGTGGCATGTCATCCCAGTTGGCGAACATCCAAGCAGGCAACCTCCGCTTCAGGTGAGGAGTTGGTGTTCGCAAAAGGTTTTGAAATAGCTTTGATTTCCCTTGAAGACACAATTTTGACCAAGGAGTGAGTAGGCCCCTTGTTCAGACATGGATCAACCGGGTTTCGTTGCTTAGGGCATCCGTATCACTGGGGGAGTTGCCACTTCCTCATGCCGAAGGCTCAATCCGGGGTTGACATGAGCTGTGCTTCCACCTGCCGCGGGAGGAGTCTCCTTTGTTCTGCGACCTGCCCTTTCACCATTCCAACCCCTCCACCCCCCACCCCAAACAGATTGAGTGTTGCTTCCGCAAAGAGATTGGTGTAACCCACTAATAGGCCAGTTTCCCTTCTGAGGCCCCTTTCGAAGTGCCCCAACTGATTCTTTCCCGCAAGAAAAAGAAAACAAGTTTCAGCTATCACTCCGTGCGACAACCTCTGGCAGCTGGCTTTGGTTTTTGGACCTCCGGGGCTTGCCATGGTCTCTCCCGTTTATCTCTTCAAAATCAACGTCAACCGAAACGGAGCGGAAGATCGGTTTGGTAGCCACTTGCATCCCGTAAACCAGGAGTTTGGTCCCATGTTTACAGTTGAAGCTGCCCAAGAGCCGGGCTTCGGATGAATGCATCCGAGCCGGGATTTTTGTGAGCTTTCCAGAGAACCCGCAAAGTTCACGTTGATGTCCGGGAAAATCACAAGTACCTGGATAGCCAAGTTGCGATCTCTTTTTGTAGTCACTGTTGCGATCGGGTTTGTTTTTGTTGGGGTAAAGTGCATGGAAAGAAGCGCTCGCACCTGGCGATCCAGGTATCCAGAGATGAACCAGACCTTTTTTGGCACCAAAGAGTTTTTTCATTTTTTGGCAGGTGCAGCGCCTGGACCAAGCGCTGAAGGCAGGGTGTTGCAAGGAAAAAAGCGGCACGTTTTTCGGTGGGGGAAGCCAAGTGGTTGTTGAAACAAAGGGCTCAATTGGCCCCAAAGCTGAGCTTTTGACCTCCTGGTTTCTTCTCCTGTTTGGTGACTTTTCTATTTCTGGGTCCTGGTCATCAAAGAAGGGGTTTAAACCATTCTTCGAACAATGGCTTGGCCCAACCCTCGCGCCCGAAAGGAAGCAGGAAAGACCGACGAAACCACACGTTGTTTGGCGCGGTTGTTTCCATGTTCATTTGCCAGCCCACATGTTCAAACAAGTTAGCTTAAGGAACTCGAAAAAGAAAACTAAGACGAAACCGAACAAACACATAAAGAGGGGCCGTTGGCCCCTCTCCCAGAAAAAAAAAGAAGAGAAGCAACTAGAAGGGGCATCTCCTTTCTAGAGAGTCTCTCCCCCCCAAATTTGGCGGGTATTCCCTTGGGCCTCCCCTTTAGAACCACCAAAAGCCACCAAAATCCGTGGGTCTCTCCTCTAAAAGCACCCAAAGCACCACGCCAAAAACCGAAAAAAGAGACGCCTTCCGCGGCGGAAGTGTCGTGAGGAGCGCAACGAGACGGAGGTCCTGCGCCGCAAGGCCGAGGCCCAGCTCCAGGTGCTCGAGGCGCGGGGATCCGATTTGCCCGGGGGACTGTCGAAGCAACGGGGATTGATGTCGGGTGTTCGAACGCACGGCGTTCATGATTTTGAACATTATGACATGATTTTGGGAATTTCTGCGGGTGTTCTTGAATGTTAACCCCGGACTAAGCAGAAGCCCTGGTTGATTTTGATGGGGTGTCCCCTTTTAGTGGGGAGTCAGACCACTTTTGGAGGGAACACCCCCCTAATAGTGGGACGGGTTTATTAATCCTGGGTCAACATTATGACTTGATTTTGGCAATTTCTGCTTAGTCAGAGGCTGGTTGGTGTGCCCTATGGGGGTCATGATTTTGAAGATATGGGTCTTCCCTGTGACTTGGGTCATGCTTTTTGACCATTGGTTTCAAAGTGAGAAGCTGGGTGGTTTCATGTGGATTCCCTTTGGCCCCTACCGCTTGGGGTTTTGACTTTGGTAGAATGGGCAATGAATTTCCGTCGCCATGGCAAGGTTCCAAGTCATGGAAGGAAGTTAATGGAAGGAAGCCCAACACAATGGTATGTTGTCCTGTTGGGGTTTGTCCCCTCAAAAAAAACATCCACAAGGGGTACCCTGAAAGAAAGATTTTTCCATATCCTCAGTGAAGTCCCTAAAAGCGGGATATCATGCACTAAATGGGTTGGTCATCCAAGAGGGGTTGGTTACCACGTCTACCTACTTGGATGCTCAAACAACTTACTCAGCCAGTGGCGGTGTCCGAGCGGTTACCCCTTTGTGGAACCGACCGTTTCAAGGGAAGCCACAAGGAGATTGATCAACTTTTGATTTTTGACATGGTCACTTCCATGTCCATTCTTTCCAGGGATCCGAATCTTTTAAGAAAAGCATAAGAACCCCAGGGGAAACCGCGATGGGTTTTTGAAAAGAGTGATGGTTGAAAAGAATGGGGAATCAACCCCTATAATTTTGGGAAATTCAGTGACCCCTGTCCATTGCAACGGACAGGAGGGTCAAAGTCTCAAGAACCCCAACAAATAGGCGGGGAGGGGCTGTCCGCAGATTCACGAGCATGTGGGATATCCCCAGGCAAACGGGAACGGCCTCCCTGTTCAGAGGGGAGCTTCTCCAAGCAAAGACAAATCCTTTGTGTGGAGAACAGGAAGCCCAAAGGGACGGGTAATATGAGAGGCGAACACATGGAAAATCCTAAGATCATGAGTAAATCTGGCTTTAAAGTCGCCCCCAAAACCCTCCATTCTACTTATTTAGCCCCTTATATTGGAGGCTGCTCGAAATGGTGGACCCCTTTTTGGGTAGTGTTAGCGGGAAGCCAAAAGGAACCAGCCAAAGGTGGGTTTCCCTATTTTGAGATCCACTCATATGAGCGTCGTCCATTTTTCGGGTCGGGCCCCCAAATTTGCAGTGAGGCTTTTGCTGGACATTCTCTTCAATCAACCAACAAAGCCAAGCTGTTCCCATGGCGACTCCTCATACTCCCCGCTGTTTTCTTGATTGGTGGCCATTCTTTTGTTGACATATGTGCGGAAGCCTGTAAACTCCTGGAGCAGGAAAACACCGGATGTGGATTTTGCCCCGGGCCAACTTTGGGGGCTGTCCTGAAAACGACAGCGACCCGACATGAGTTTGACAATTCTCGGAACCCTCTGGCAACCCCGGTAAGAAGACTTCCTCGACCCATTGAAGTGGTTATCTTCAGCTAAACCGCCGCTTGGTTTCCACACTGGAGATGGACGAAATCCTGCACCACCCAAGACACCCTGGAATCCATGCAATGATTTAATTCCCCTGCGAATGCCAACAAACGTTATGACTTCAACCATATATAGTTTCAAACTGGTGTGAAATGCATCTTGTCCACAGCACGAAAAGGGGACTGGACTTAATTGATGCGTGTCATCGGAGGTGTGCCTCTCGGCTTTGCCTTCCAATCCCAGGCGCGCTTGGCCGAGCCGGCGATTGGCTCGTTTCCGAGGGAGAAGGCTGCAGTTGGGCGGGCGGGGGAGAGGACTTGAGAGGGGCGGTTTCAGGGTTTCTTTTGGGCATGCTCTTGGATGTTAGGACTTTAACTTTTTGCCGACTAATGGGGTTTCCATGAAACGACCAAAAGTTAAACTTTTAGCAGGGGAGCAGAAAGCAGCCAGGGTTTGTCTCTTGACAAGACACTCTTGGCCATAGGAGGCTCGGCCTGGTCCAACACTGAACCGTCTTGGTAAAGGCAAACGTCAACGGGTTCTGGGTGAATTAAAACGACCTCAGACGACCTCACCCCAAATGGTGGTTTGTGTGGGGAATGGCACCTTATTTCAGGCTGGTGAAATAATATCGTGTGTGAAGCCGTTTTTGATGAGGAAAAGTAGAGCGACCTGAGAAAGGTTTCCATAGGTTATGAGCCCAACAGCGGCCTCTTAGAAAGGCCATGGAGGAGCCGCATTCGGCGCCGGGCTCCGCGGAACCCCTGGATGAGGTGGGCCGGGAGCTGATCGGGCAGGAGGTGGCGGTGATCACGGGCAAGGGCACGGGGGCTTCTGGGAGGTCAGCGACTGGGCGCTCTCGCGAAGAGGGAACGCCAAGGAGAGGACTGGCGGCGAGCTCGGGTGGAGGTGCGCTAGGCTCACCGATGTGGGTGGGCGGGCCGGAGGAGAACCCGAGGACCCTGGGGCCGTTGTTCAGCCCAGAGCAGATGAGCCGACTCAGAGAATGGGAAAGGGAGGCCCCGCTGATTCATGGCACCCCGATGGACCAAAGGAGGCCGGAGCATCTGCCGATTCTGGATGCTGGGCAGGAGACCAACGAGGACATGGCGGTAACCATCAAGGAGCTCCAGAAGCAGAATAAAATGTTGATGGAGGAGTTGGGCCGCATCAAGAACTATGTCAAAGAGGAGCGCTACGGGACGCCGGAGAGCCAGGCCAAGCCCGAGGTTCAGAAGGTGCCCAACGGGACCAGCAACAAGCGGGACAACCAGAACGAAACGGTTGGCGACGAAGAGAGTGTGAAGAATGAAGATGAGGATTCCTCGGAGTTGAGACCGGCCAGCGAGAGCGGTTCCGGAAAAGAGAACGCCAGGCTGGACGTCATGCTGAAGTTGATGGAAGGGATGCAGGAGCTTCAGAAGCACATCCTGGACAAGGGCAACAAGGAGAACGAGAATGCGGAGGTAGTACGCCAAGGAGTACACGATCTTCCGCTACTACCAGAGCCGGCCTCGGAAAGTGGGCCGCTGGATTTGGGTGACTGGTTGATGATGGTGGAACCCATGATGGCCGACTTGTCGGACACCTCGGGAGATTGGTGGGTGCTGATGGTGGAAGAAAGCCGGAAGTGGTACCGGAAGTACATGGCGGAGGACCCCATCAAGAGAGCCGAGACGTCCACCGAGAAGCCGGAGACGCTGGATAAGAAAAAGTGGGGAAGGTTGGAGAAGCGAGCGATGGCGATGATGGTCAAGGCGGTGCCGGAGTCGATCCGGGATGAGCTCATGGCCATGAGGGCATTGACGGCCTTCGGGACATTGTGTCGGTTGCAGGTGCTGTACCAGCCGGGAGGGAACGCGGAGAAGGCCCTGGTGCTGAGGAATTTAGAAGACCCCCCAGAGGCTACCACAGCAGGTGAGTTGGTGAAAAGTCTGCGGAGGTGGTTAAGATGGCGGAGAAGGGCGGAGGAGGTAGATCTAGCCATACCTGATCCGACGGTGTTGGTCAAAGGGATCAACAAGATGTCGAAGAGGGTGTTGGAGGGCAATCGGGAGTTGCTCTTCCGGATCTCCCTGGCCAGGTCCACGATGCAGATCGACTCCAACCCGGATCAAGCTGTGGTGAAACAGTTCGCGGAACATCTCTTGGCGGAGGTGGAGCAGACGACCTTCGTGTTGGAGAAGAAGAACGTGAAGGGCCAAGCGATCGCAGAGCCGAAGGTGAAGAAGCTTGGAGAAGCAGAAGGGGAAACGAAGCCATGGAAAGGCTATGAGAAAAAGGAGCGCCCTTGTCGGTTCTTCCTGACGGATGGTGGTTGCCGCAAGGGCAAGAGCTGCGAATGGTCCCACGTCATGGAGGAGGGGACGAACAAGAATCGGTGCTGGGAGTGTGGTGCAACAGATCATCGACGGCGAGAATGCCCGAGAAAGACCAAGGTGAACAACAGCACCGAGAGGGTGACCCCAAAGGTCAACAAGGCGGAGGTGGACGAGAAGGAAGAGTCGCCCGGGAAAGAGAAGAGGGTGGAGGAGACGCAGAACAATGGGGAGAAGAATGCGAAGGAAGACGGGGACACGTTGAAGGGCATCCTGCACGAGGCCAACGTGATGCTCAAGTCCATCAATGGCGGGAAGGAGACAAAGGGTAGCCGAGAGCGAGAAAAGAGACTGGAGGAGCTGCAAAAGCAGCTGGACGACTTGAAGGTCCGGGCCGTGAAGGTCACCAAGATCAGCTGCAAGGGAGGCGGTTTGCTGGATTCGGGAGCTACCCACGCCATGAGACAGATGGGCAAAAGGGAAGACCGGAGCCGTTTGGAGAAGACGGTGGTGACCATGGCGGATGGCGGGAGGAGAGAGATGTACATCACCCCGGGCAAGATCCTGGTGTGCACGGAGAAGGTGGATCCGATCCTGCCGCTGGGAGGATTGGTGGAGAAGCTGGGTTGCCGGGTGGAGTGGCAAGGATCCTGCTGTCAGCTATGGCATCCTGTGAAGGGAAGGATAGCGGTGGAAATGGTCGATGGGTGCCCGGAGGTGTCAAGAAGGGAAGCGGAGGAGCTGATTGAGGAGATAGAAGAGAAGGTGTCTGCGAGAAAGGTGTGGGACATCGGAGCTAAGGGCGCCGTGCCGACGGAGATGGAGAAAAGGGTGCAGTGCCAGGTGGAGAAGGAGTGGATGAGGAGCCTTATGGAGAACCACGAGGTCTTTCAGGGGCTCCCGGAAGAGATAAAGGAAAGGGTGTTGGAGTTGCCGGCGACTGACTGGTCGAGCCTGCCCTGGAACCGGAGGAGGAGAAGACAACAAGGAGGTGGGCAGAAGGTAACTGTACACCTTTATGCAGGTCCAGATGAGGGTTACACCTTCCGGCGAGCGTTCAAAGAGGTGGGAGGAGATGCCAGGAACATCATGGAGGTGGATATCCTTCGAGGGCCAAAAGAAGACATGGTGGAGGGCGGCCTGTACGCCGGATTGCTGAGGCTGTGCTTCGACGGGGAGGTGGGAATGGTGATGGGTGGACCGAACTGCCGGACGAGAAGTGTGCTGCGGCACTACCCAATACCAGATCTGCCCGGAGGTGGACCACGACCACTGCGAGGAATGGCCCGAGAAGAGCAGTTCGGGTTTGAGTACCTGGAATCATGGGAAAAGAAGCAGGTCGTCGAAGATGACGTGATGATGTGGCGGATGATCATGCTGTACCTGGTGGCAGACGAGGTAGCCATGAGGAGAAGAGAAGAGCCGGTGGGATTTCTGGTTGAGCAACCAGCTGACCCGAGCCACTATCAGCCCGAGTGCGTATCATGGTGGAGGACGCCGCAATGGCGAGGGCTGAGGGAAGACAAGGGGCTGCTGGAGGTGACGTTCAATCAGGGAGACTATGGCGGTGTGGCGGTGAAGCCGACTACGCTGGGGACCAACCTGGTGGTGCAGCTTCCGCAAGAGAAGGTCGAAGGCCTCGGGACACGGGGTACGGCAACTGCCATTCCGCAAGGACTGCCGGGACTGCCAGTTAGCCTCTGCAAAGGACCGCCCCCACAGGCGCATCAAGCATCCGCAGGCATATGTATTAAGCTTGGATGTGGCGGGTCCCATGAAGCGTGGATGGGACATCGACGGCAAAGCGTGCAAGTACTTGCTTGTGGGCGCGTACACGTGGGCGAAGCCGGGGCAGCCTGGAGTGGAGGAAGAGGAAGACAAGGGAGAAGGAAGAAAAGCAGGAGAAGCCAAGGAAGACAAGGAGGCAGATAAAGACGAGGAGATCCCCAAGATGGAGGACTACTGGACAATGAGCAGCGATGGAAGTGCAGTCATTCGAGTGCACAAGCACCATCGGAAGGTGAGGTTCTTCCCTGGAGACGTAGAAGGCTGTCCTGTACCCGTAGACAAGCTGGAATCGGTGCGGAAGACGGTGGCTCGGAAGACCAAGGGAGGCGCCTACACCGTGCATGAGGACGACTGGAAGAGTGCGAGAAGGGAGGACCAGTTGTTCGAGGACGGATCGAGATGGGCGGGTCGGACGATCTTCAAGGTGGAAGGAGTGGAACCAGAGCAAAGGGTGGAGGAAGGTGAACAGGAACTACCAGCGGGAGAAGAACCATTACCGGAGGGGGACTGGGACTTCGAGCTGGAGGATGTGGGAGGTGAACTTCGAGAAGCAGGAGATGACCCAGCACCGGAGGAGGGTCAGGAGCTAGAAGATGAGGGTCCGGAAGGACTAGGGGTGGAGACGCACTGGATGGCTTTGCCGATGCCGACGAAGAGCATTCCCTCGGTCATGGAAGCCGTGCAGGAGATGTATTTGGCATTACGGGCAGACGGTTATCCGGTGGCAAGGATGCACACGGACAAGGGCCGCGAGTTCCAGAACCACACCTTGAAGAAGTGGTGCGGCAACCGTGACATCTGGAAGACGAGCACGGCCGGGGACAACTTCAAGGCCAATGGGAGAGTGGAGGTTACCATTCAGAAGATAAAGAGCAGGATGAGGCGAGTGCTACATGCTGCAGAGCTGGATGGTGAATGGTGGCCGTGCGCTGCCCGGTACGTGCAGGCGAAGGACAAGATGATAAGAAACAGAGAGGAGGGCACGATCCCTGCTTTTGGGCAAGAAGTGCTCTTCAAGAGGAGGAAGTGGAAGGTCAAGGACGACATGGAGGTGACGCATCAGAAGGGATACTACCTGGCGCCGGTCAGCAACATCCCACACGGGCATGCGGTCATGAAGGAGAACGGCGACGTGCAGGTGACGTCCTACGTGCTGAAAAAGTGGGATGTGCCGCCTGCGGTGCAAGGACAATGGCAGTTAGAGGAGAGGAGATCCCCACGAGGTGAGAAGGAGAATTTGGGGAAAAAGCAGACCCCCAGGAAGAGAGGATGCGGGAGAGCTGGTTCGCGTGAGGAACATCCAGCAGATCATCAAGGAGGAGATGCAGAATGTAGAGAGGGAGGAGCCGGACGCGATTGGGGCGGTGATGAAGGGGCTGGAAACCCTGGATCAGAAGGTGAGGAGTGATGGAGACGAGGAACTTGGAGGAGAACAGCGGCAAGTACTACAAACCCGGATTGTGTCGCTAAAGGAGGTAGAAGAAAGAAAGGAGGAGTGGAAAGAGCCAATGCTGAAAGAGATGATGGCATTGGCGGAGGAGAAGGAGGCGGTGACGAGGTTGAGCGCAAAGGAAGCTCATGAGCTACTTGAGGTAGACAGAGAGGTGCAAGTGCTGCCAGGCAAAGTGGTGTGCACGGTAAAGCCTGGAGGGAAGAAGAAGTGCCGGATCGTGGTGTGTGGCAACTTCGGAGAGAGTCATCAAGAAGGCCAGTGCCTCTACGCCTCGGGGACGGACGTGATCGGTCTCCGTGTAGCCATTAAGGAGGCAGCAAGGAGAAGGTGGAAGGGAGGAACCGTGGATGTGCGGTGCGCCTTCTTGAATGCCCCCCTGGAGGCGGAGAGTGGAGGTGCGACAACGAAGGTGGCAATGAGACCTCCGGCCATTTTGGTTCGGATGGGATTGATCGGGCCAGGCGAGCTGTGGGTGGTCAATCGGGCTTTGTATGGACTACGCCAGAGTCCGAGATGTTGGGCCACTTACCGGGACACGAAGATGAGGAGCTGGAGGTTTCACAGCGGTGGCCAACCGGTCAAACTCGAGCAGATGATGAGCGAGCCAAATATGTGGCTGGTCAAAGTGGAAGCAAAGATAGAAGGAGAGAAGGAGGAGACGGTTGGCATCATTGTCGTGTATGTGGACGATATGATGGTGCTGGGACCGGAGGAGACCGTGACGGCGGTGTTCGATCAAGTGAGGAGAGAATGGGAGACGTCGGAGCCAGAGTGGTTTCAACAGGAGAAAGCGGTGAGGTTCTGTGGGGTGAGCGTCAAAGCCCTGGACGAGGGGTATTTGGTCACCCAGGAGGACTACATCCAAGATGTGTTGGACCGCAATGGGGTCAAGGGAGTGGCGTCAACCCCCATGAGCAGAGATGTCAGTGACCCGGGACCGGAGGAGGACATCACCGCGGAAGAGGTGCAGGCCGCGCAACGAATTGTGGGAGAGTTGATGTGGCTGGTCACCAGGTGCCGAGCGGACCTCGCGTACACCGTGGCGAAGATGGCATCCCAGGTGGCAAAAACTCCAAGATGGGTGGTCCAAGTGGGGGAGCAGGCGCTGAAGTACCTGAATGGCACGAAGGAAGAAGGTCTACTCTTCAGCGTGGACACCGGCATTGACCTGAATGGCAGAGTGGGAGCTGGTTTGGAGGTGGCGACGGACGCAAGTTTTGCGCCAGGTGGAGGTCTTAGCCATGGCTGTGTGATGGTGAAATGGATGGGCTCTGTGGTGGCGTGGCGATCGTCAAAGCAGAGTTTCCCGGCGCTGTCTACGGCGGAGTGTGAGTTGATGGAGATGATCGAAGGAATGATCGTGGGCGACAGTGTGGACGCCATGATCAGCGAGCTGGAGGAGGACGGCTACATGAGGTCGCTGCAGGGAGACAACCAAGCAGCGATCGCGCTGTGCTCGGAAGAAGCTGGAAGTTGGAGGACGCGGCACTTGCGTCTGAGGGCGTTCCATGTCCGTTGGCGAATTCAACAAGGAGATTGGAGGATCGCCCACAAAGCAGGAAGTGAGCTCATCGCGGACATGGGAACGAAGGCCCTGGCAGGTCCGAAGCTAAAGGACCTGAAGAAGAAAGCGGGAATGATGGCTGAGCCACAGACGAAGGTGAATCGCATCAACGAGGTGAAGCTCGACCTGGCGGAGATCGAGAAGTATAAGCAGGCGCTGGCGGTGATAGCTTGCTGCTTGCAAGTGCAGGGCACCTCAGCGATGGAGGATGAGAAGGTTGGCAAGGAGGAAGATGAGGCGTTGATTCGGTTCGGGATCATGGTGGCGGTGTTCACGGTGATCGCAATGAAGATCGTGGAGAAGTGTGGAGCCGCTTGTAGCCGAGCTCTACCGGTGGTGAGGGTTCTTCGCGCTGGGGGAGAACGGGAGGTGGATTCCCTGTCAAGGAGGGTGAGAGAAGAGCAGGCTGATGCTCCAGAAGAAGGCCCAACGAGATCCGGAGGTGGAGAGGCATCGGGAAGGTCGTCTACTACCGGAGGAGGAGAGGCGTCAGGAAGATTGCCGACTCCCGGAGGGGCGGAGGCATCGGGAAGTTCGTCTACTACCGGAGGAGGAGAGCCATCGGAAGGGTGGTCCGCTGGGGAACGAGCAGCGGGAAGTTCGTCTACTACCGGAGGAGGCACAGAAGAGAGCAGAGGGTTCGTCGCTCCTACAGCGAAATGGAACCCAGGGAGATATGCACCAAAAGGAAAGGGGAAGGGCAAAAGAGCGCCCCACCCAGCAAGGCCGACGGCGACGAGGCGAAGGGACCCAGAGCCGGAGCCGGAGGAGGATGAGATCCCGGTGGAGCCGTCGGTGTTCTACACTGATCGCGGAGAGAAGTACCATCTGCGGGAGAACTGCTACGGGCTTCGACTGGCCACAAGGGTGCGGGAGTCGTTGCCGTGTCCCAGGTGCATGACGCCGGACTTCAGGCGTTTGCTGGGAAGCACAGTTGGAGGTTTGTACATCGGGCGGAACGGACACTACCACTCGGTGATGATGTGCGCGGGCAGAGAAGGCATCGGGTACGAGGAGTACGACACGTGCCGGTTCTGCCTGAATGGAGATGTGGCGGCTTGAGCAGTGTTTTGGAGCTGAGTAGGCGATAAGAGCCGAAGAAGCTGAAGCGAGCAGGTGCCGGATGGCATGTGCTCGGGAGGAGCGTGTGTGAAGCCGTTTTTGATGAGGAAAAGTAGAGCGACCTGAGAAAGGTTTCCATAAATATAATTCACCCAGACGGGTTTTGGGCGGTGTCCTGTTGCCCTTTGAACCGCCCGATCGGGGTTCCTAAATAGGACACCTGGGTTGCTCCTTCCGTTCCTGCAAAAAGGATCAGACACCGTTAGTTTGGGTCGAACGCTGGTCAACGGTTAATCTAGCTTCCAAACAACCATGTACCAGAGTTCTACCCTTGCTTGGATCGGGTGGATTTGGGGGGCATCCCCGTGTTTTCCGGTTTTGATCCAACTTGCGTCAGGAGTTATCATCAGTTCAGACAACACGAATCATTCCATTTTGTGGACCTAATCCAAATCTCCACAGGGCCGGCCAGGCCCCGCAAGTCTGTCACGCAAGTCCATCTTTCTTCGAACTGAGTTGAAGCGGCGGCTCTCTTGGACACCTTCCTTTGAAAGCCGGGTTTTCCTTGGCCAAACGGGTCGACCGCTGAACTCCCAGTGGCACATGTGCGGAGGAGAGGCCCGAGGAGAAGGAGCCGAGGGTGTCGCCAGTTTCTCGGTTCACGCTTTTGACCTTTGAACCTGATCTTCATGGCGATTTGGTTAGATCTTTGTACTTTAGCTTTGTGGTTGACACAGGCGGACGGACGGAGAGCGTACAGAGGATGCGCCGCAAGACAGCTCCCGACTAACTTTGAAGGTCATGTCATTGAATGTTTTTGTGAGTCACATTGGACCGTGATTCAGACTTACTTATACCACAAGTTGCAGAGGACATTAATTATGTGTGTTGTTTCCCAGTGCAATCCCATCACAGCAGCAGCTTGGGCCGGTTTTTTGCTGGCTTAAGTGTGCTGCGCAGAAAGCCAAACCAAGCTGGGGGGGATTCTTTTTTGGTCCGCGAAAGGTGATCACATCTGAGACTTCAAAGATCTCCATCTTCCCTCAGCGGAGGTGTTCAAACATTTGTAGCCAACCCCGAAGGAGCAGAAAGAGAAGCTGGAGGAGGTCAAGAAGGACGCTCAAGTCTTGCGCCCGCAAGACTTGCGAAGTACTCCCTCCCTCACAAAAAATGGGGGGGGCCCAGCAAGAGATTCGAATCGACCAACGCTTCTCTTAGTTCCATGTTTTGGCCAAAGCACCCACACTAGGCCCCCCATGCCCTTTGAATCCCAACTTTTTTGGTTGGGAGGGTTCCCCTACTAAAATAGACGACCGAAAAAAGTTGCCAACTTATTCTAACCGCTCGAATCTGGAGGACCTAGAGGAGGACATTTAATGTTTCCTCGACCCAGTTTTGGGCCCCCCTTGCACGCCCAAAGGAAGCCGGAACCGAAGGCCACATGTCCCATAGGTTCCCAATCAACCACAGGTTTTTGTTAGTCCGGGGTCAACATCACTTACCATTGCACAAATAAGGCAAGGGGGCACTCAATACTATCATTTTGCCCCTGGGTGATTAATCCCCTCCCCACCCGTCAAATGTAAGACCTTTTACTTAAGATGGCACAAGCAACGGCTGATTGTAGGGGTGGGTGGAAAAGGAAAGGTGCAAACATCTTGTACCATTTAGGAGTGGATTCTTGGGGTACATTGTCTTGGACCCTCGTAGAACTCAGGCTCAGGCCAGAACTTCTCCCAAAAACTGGCAAGCCTGGTTGGCTTGTTGGGAGCCAGGTGTTATCTGGGGTGGGTTTGTTCTTGTTTTTTCACCGAATGTTGGCTGGGTCCCAGGAAAAAAGTGGCAAATGCGCTTCATTTGTGACAAATGGGCTCCATCACCGGATCGCTAAGAGCACCGGTCGTATTGAGGCCTTGGGCTTTCCAGTGCGGTCCCCGCAGATGGTGATGAGGACGGACGGGGCGATCATCCCAAGGAGTGTAACCCAGTTGCAGCCACTGACCCGACGTTGAAAAATAGAATCAGCATTTTGGAGAGTTTGGCTGGCCACCACTTTTTGAACACCGGAAATCGCTTCCTGGTTTTCCCTTTTACCTTAGACCCCGGAACTAGCCCCCCCCTTTTTACTGAGCGGTTTCATAGAAAGCCCAGAGTCCACTTAGAAGGCCTTAGGGGGGATTTTCGTGATGATGGGTTCGGGCACCGCTTAATTGGTGAAACACTCATATGGTGGGATCCTGACGAAGGAGTTGTCTAGACAGTGGTCTTCTGAAACATAGTATGGCCTTGGTCCCTGAGTCGTCTTTCAATCCCTATTGGTAATGAATTCATTGCTATGATGACCCCAGTCTTCATGTTTTGAATCCCTGCCACATGCCAGTACCCTTGTATATGTTGGAGAAATGAGATGTATGCCCATAAGCGAACTGGGCAGAACTGCGCGATTGTTGCAAAAATATGATTTTGCGCGCGATTGGTGTTGATAGCCAGTGCTCCCATCCGGGAAAGAGATTGGTTTCATGCTTGGCAAGGTTTTCCTTCAGGGCCGAAGTTCGACTGCCGATCGGGTGGAATGGGAGCAACCCGAATCATATTTGCAAAACCGAGACACAAAACTGCTTGAAGAGTAGAGGGGGTGTCCCACTTAAGAGGAATGCGGATCACTTGTTTGGGGAAGCACTCCGGGAAGCAAATCAAATCCCCAAAGCGAAGCTTTTTCCGGCAAGCCATGAAACCACCACACCACGACCTACCCAGAAAATGCTTGGTGCATACTTTTAGGAGTCCAACGGTCGGGTCCAATCATTGGGCCGTTGGGCCTACCAGCGTCTGACGGAATCCTCTCCCTTCAGCCGTCAGGCTCGGAGAAGCCTCCAAACCCCAAAGATAATATGGAGAACCCCGAAAAAGGGAAGGAACCCCAGGCATCATGGGACTCTCACGGAGAACCCTGGAGAAATCCCCCTTGAAAAAACCAACCCTTGAGGGAAGAGACTCGTGCTGCCCAGGAAGTCGAAGTTGCTGGAGGAGCAGATCATGAGGAAGGAGGACCGGACGCGAAATCTGTGAATGAACCGGCTGCCCAAACTGCAACATCGATCTTTTGTTCTGCATTTTGCGGTTCTCCAAATTTGGTGGGCATTCTGGGATTTGAGTGGAGGAAAACCTCCGATTTTGAGAGTTCCAGTCCGATGTTGCGACAAACCCAGATGGACCGATCAAAGTTTGCAATGGATGACACATTTGTAGGGGGCCAAAGCTGAGGTCGAAGCAAGAGCCCGTGGTTTGAGGGGAAGCCTTGCAGACAACCCAAGAGGGGTCATGGAGGAAGCTGTTTGGGGGAGGTTCACCATAGGTACTCAGGATCTTTACCTCTAGGGTTTACATTACTAGGTCCCCCAGTAGTGCCCTTTCTCACCATTTTTCTCGTTGGGAGGGTTCCCCTACTAAAAAAAACGAAAAGAAAACAGTTGGTCGCAACTTATTCTATCCTCTCCAATCTGGAGCAGAGACCTAGATGATGTTTTTGCTTTTGCTCGCTCTGGGCCATCCGCAAAAGCCTTTTCGTCTTGGCACCCGGATGGCCCGCTGGCTTGGTTGGCACAACCCTAGTCCAAGTATGGTTCACTTTGCCATGTTTGCGGTGTCCATGCTGCATCAGAGGGCAATCGTTCAGCTCGGTGATCTTCGGGGTTCCCTTTCGAGTCCCCTGCACCTTGTAGTGCCCTGGAGATCTCCTGACTTCCCGTCCATCGTCTTCTGCGCGACGCTCGCTCTGCACGGAGCCTTCTGAGGATGCGTTACGCGCTGTCGGGCGTCTGGCCGCGCGGGTGAGGTCAATCCTGAGGCACCTGCGCACCTTGCCTTGGACAGCGCCGCAGCCCGTTTTCCCACTGCGCTGAGCAGGACTCCCAAGACAGCCATGGGGATGCTCGCGTCCAATGGTTAATTGACGCCCAAAAGACCTCTGTTCCGGCTCCCCTTGGCAAGCTCAAGTGCAGGTCCCTGCTCACGCATACGTCATGTCTCACTTGGCTGCGGGTGCAGCTCTCTGAGCCTTTTGCTCCAGTCAAGTGCATGGAACAGATCTATGGATGGCAGTTGGATCGCTGTCACTCGAGCAACCTTGTGGGCAGTCTCCCCTGACCACGGTCATCGGGTCCCTGTGCAAGAGGTGCCTAACGCAACAGGCTGTGCTCACTTTAGAAGCTGCCTACGAATGCACAAAGAGCTCGTCACTTACCATATTTTCGGCGGCCACGTCGAGTCCTATCAGCCAAGTCGGGCGCTGCTGCACGCGGCAAAGCGGGCAAGCGCCACCGGCCACCGATCCTCAACCGACGACTATTGACCACGGTTGTGGATTGCTGCCCGCAGTTTCCCTAGTCGACTGTCGCCTCCCTCATGCCGGGCGCGCCTACTTGCGACTGTCTCGCTCTTCTCGTCGCCTGACCTGTCGTCGTCCTTGTCACAGCTGTGTTTAAGTTGTACATAGCTCCGTTCGCGGTTGGTCGGGGTGCTGCTAGGGCACACCTTGCAAAGCTCACTCACGACCTGAGCTGTTCTTTCTCAGGAGTTTCCGTGGAGCCTGAGGTCATGGTTGATTTTTCCTTTGCCATCTCCTTCAGAGATAGCTGGAGGTCTGCAATGTAACATGTTCTTTTCTTTTCGCTCTTCTCTGTCCTTTCTGCCGCGCAGCCCTGCGCTGCAGCCTCCAGCCACTGCCTCCAAACCTTCCGATATTCTCGTTGGCCTTCGCTCGGTGAGCTCGTGGCCGGCCTCTTGCGCGCTCGTGTCCCTGTGTTGGCTTTACCTTTCCCACCTCCACTCTGCCGCTAGGCCATTCTTCTTAAATCTAAAAATTCTAAGCAACCCTTCTCTTGCACCATTCATGAATTCTATGCCGACAAAAATCCTGACTGGCGAGAAATCTACTCGGAGCCGGGAGCGCCCTGTATGACCGCACGGACCAATTGTGCAGGCCACGAAGTGTTGGACAACGGACACCCAGTACCATATCCTTTGAGCATATCGCCCTTACCTTCAATTCCGCTCCAATGGCGCCGGTTATGCCAGCCTGTATCGGGTATTAAGGCCTACATTGACCGCTAGTGCCTTTAGGCGTGCAGTGCAGCACTCCTCAATGCAGAATCCTACCTCTGACCAGGTAAACCTACTCAGGCGCATTGAGAAGCCCGATCCGCTTGAGCCGGATGAAGGAGTCCCTCCAATGCGATGGTCGCCCGTGTCTACCTCCTCTCCAGCCGCGCAAACCTTTCTCAACAAGCGCTCGACCAACAGCATCCAACAGCTCCCCGGCTCTCACTCTATGCCTCTGTCGACATCTCCGCGAGATCTCGCTCAGGCGATCCGGTCAGGCAGGAGCCTGTCCGGGAGTACCGGGGCGTCCCTTCCCTGTTCATAGGCAGTCAGGCTCGGCCGGCCCCACTCCGCAGACATCCCAAAAGTCGCATTTCAATGCTCGGCCTGCAAAGTTCAGCTTGCCCCGTGGAACCCACAGCAGGCCTCTTCGAGTTTACTTGCTGCCTTCCTGCTGCCTTTGCCACGAGTCCACAAGGCGGCATCGCGGGAAGCAGTGTTTGGGGGAGCCCCTTTTGCTCGCGGAAACCGAAACAGTCGCGCATCCTGTGAGCCAAGTTGGTTCCTTTGCCAACTTGGGATGCTTCTTGTTTCAAGAGCCGGGCATGACGTTACGGAAGCCGCGAAGCCGCCTCGATCCGATCGAGGCGGATTGGGAGAAGCAGCCGCAAAGCCCCAACTCCCAGATGCGGGAGAAGTTGGAGAAGGCGGCATGTGGAAACATGAACTTGTCGCAGGGTTGGCTTTGAAAGCCACATTACCAGCACAGAAAGGGATGCTCCTGGGTGAAAGTAGATGGCGCACTTCCCGGAATTTGGGTAGGTGGAGAGGATGTCTGATTTGTTTGTTGGAACTGTGCCACATCTTCTTGGATACTTTTATCCAAGTGTGTTATCCACATCGGCTGGGTCGTTGCTGAGCTTTTCCCAGAATCCCCCCGGTAAACGACTTTCGGTTCACAGGCTGAATTGCGAAACAATTCCCTGCTTAAATCAACCTCGATCAATCCAACGGTGCCACTTCCATGCGCGGTGTAAACACGAGTCTCTTCCATCCGCCAAAAGGACGGGCGTGCGTTTCAGCAACGGAAAGAGGGACCGTAGAAGGTGCCCCAAAAGACCACTCAACTCAGCCTCCCACGTGCCGAAACTTTGGAGAAGCGTTCTCAGGTTTCAGCTATGGCATGTGAAGTATCCCATGACTCAAGCGTTTTTTCTGGTTCAGCCCAAAACTGAAAACTGGCTGCCTTAAGGCCTCTATTCGCCACTTCCGCCAAAGGAATCAGGAAGCCATGCACTTGAAAGGCCCGGGCCTCCCGAATTTTGAGCATGAGTGAAGCCACATCCGAAACGCAAGGCGTTGGCCATCTATCATTTTGGTGTTGGCTTCTCTCCCACTGGCACATCTTCGCGGCATGCACCCCATGAGTTTTGGGGCTGTTTGTTTGGGTCCTAAAATTGCCGGTCCTGTCTGTGGTCTTTGGGTTTGCCCGCTCAGCTCACGTGCTGCCAACAGCTGCGGGACCCCATGCACGCTGAACTGACCCCGAGGTGTGAGCCACGAATGTCACAGCTCCGCATCGCCTCTGTCCGGGGTAGTTCGCTCGTTCCCCACAGACAAGCTCTTGAGGCCTGCATGTGGCTTCCCAAGTCAGCAAGGAGATCCGAGTTCTCACAAAGCAAATCGACCGGAGAGCTTTGGGTTTCTGTCTCCATGTTTGGTCCGAAGAAAGGTGTTGGCCTTAGATATCCGGAGCAACTGATTCAAGTTTGGGGCTCCGATTGGCGAAAACGGTTTAGGTTTTTTGGGGAGACAAAGCCATGGATCATGTTGATTGGGAGCCACCCAGTCCTTGGACATGAAACTGTGCTTAGCTACCCCCGCCAAGTGGCAGGTTAAGAATGGGACTCCACCCCAGTTTGGGGCAACCATTTGTTCAAAGGGAGCTACTTCTCATTCAGAAGAAGGTTGATGGCACCTCCATTTTGGGCGCAAGAACCTTTTTTTTCAGGGAGTTCAGTTGGGTCCAGGAACCGACTGAAAAGGGACACATGGCACATTCCGCCAGGCCCGGCGGCGGGTTGAGGCCAGGGAGGAGGCGACGCCTCCCAGGCCCGGGCACCGCTCCGTTCGGGGCTGTGGTTGTGTTTTGGTGGGAACGAACCCATCGAACGAACAAACCCGGGTCTCTGAGCACTGAGTTGCGCCACCTTTAGGGAGTTTGGGGGTGGCCAAATCAAAAAGCACAGCCAATGAACCCATGCCCGAATGTTCAGGACACCCCCAGCATGGAATGAACCCAGGGATGGGGAAAAAGGACACCACCTGGCGTTGGGGTTTTCTTGGGGTCGTGCTCCAATTCTCATTCCCTGCAGCCGCAAGTTCTGGGCTGTGGTTTTTGCAGGGTTGCTCCCAAAAGGAAAGCCGAAATCCAGGTGTGTCCCCTCAAAAACAGAGGGTCTGTAGGTATTTTCCCTGTGATTGGGATGAAGCAAACTGGCAACAAAGGTCCTGTGACAAACATTTCCCCAAGAGCATCAACCGCGGGGTTCCCCATTAAGGAGAAATCCCGGCTCCCTGAATCAGAGCTTCTGGATATGAAACTGCGGATGGACCAAATCCACACCGATGGTCACTGCACAAAGTCCACGCCGATCGGCACCAGGGATTTGCGGGGTTTCGCCCATTTTTAGCGGGGTTCGTCCATCGCGACTGGTGCCGATCGATTCGCAAATCGGATTTTGCGCCCAGCCAGGGACTTGCTAGGATCGAAGGTGATGGTATCTGAAACTCCCCTGTGCGAAGAAACCCACCCGCCCTATTTCTGCGGGTTTGGTTGGCAAAGTTCGATATGTTCGATTGCACGAATCTGCATAGCTATCTTTTGCTCTTTTGGGGCTTTCCCAAAAGGTACGGACCTGGGGTTGAAAGGGGGGAGGGGTGAAGGCGCAGGGTCCAAGATTGGGGAAGGGAGTGGGTAGCATAGGTGTCCTTTCTATCAGTTGGGTGGATTGGTGGACTCCACTGGTTAGTTTTCTCATCGTTTGCCAGTCGTGCCATCTAGTGCGCCAGAACAGGACTTCCCAACTTTGTAATAGGCATGTCCTTTCCGCATTGTTTCAAAGAGCTCTTTTGCAGGAGCCAATTGCCCTTTCAACCTTTTTGGAACATGTCGCAGGTTCCCTGCTTCTCAGCAAAGGTTCAAAAACCTAGTTCGATTTTGCAACATCGAACTAACATGTCTTGCAGTTCCCCTGTTGAGCCAACGAATTTCCATGTTGACACCCAGTGCATTCGGTCGACATGTCCAGAGTCTTCCCGGTTTAAGCGAACCCCCCCCCGGTTCGGAGCTGGAACCACACGCGGGCAGGTGACCACGGCAACAATGAAGAAGCCCAAGCACATGGGAACAAAGGGCATACCATATCGCACAATGATGCTACTACTACTACTACTACTACTACTACTACTACTACTGCTACTGCAACTGAAAATACTGATAGTAATAGTATGATAATCATGCAACTATAATGGTGATAATAGTATCGGTCATAGCAACAATGATAGACTAACAATAATAACTGAAATACTCATGACAACAATTAATAGTCATAACAATGTCAACAATAGTAATGAGTAGGACTAATTGTAATGAAGGTAGGGCTGGTATTGCTAAACATGCTAACAATACTAGCAAACATGGCAGTAGTAGCAAAGATTATCATGACCAAAAAACACAATACCAGTACGTACTTATGTGTATTACTCATAAGAAGATATAATCCCAAAATCATGCTGACAAGAGTGCCGATGAGCAAAAAAGTATATACACTCTCTTGGTACTAGGTGTCTACTGGGTGTCTACTGGGTGTCGAAAAAAAAGTGTCTACTTATCATTGACGAGGTGTCCGTCGGCCGTCGGGACTCCTGGCGCAAGGCCTCGGGAACCCAAGCATCGCGGCTCGCCCGGCGGGGCTGGGGCTGGGGGGAGAAATTCCGAGCCCAAGCGCAGCACCCCGTAAAGCGAGACAGGCTGTAGGTGGTGGTGGTTGTTTTTTTGGGGGGTCCTTCTCCCATGGTTCGGGGACTCGGAGCTTTTGAGCTTTGGAGAGCACGGAGAAATAAGAACATCTCCAGACCAATAAGCGCTGGTTGAAATGCGAAGGCGAGGTTGCCAATTCGGCTGGGGGGAAGAGAGCTTACCATGAGGGATGCGTCTGGCCGCGGAAATGCACATGCTGCAGCTACTCGAACATCCATTGCCTTTGGTGCCTTCAATTAGTACTCCCAACATTTGTTTCCACCAGGATCCCGTTGACACAGCATAGCAAGTGCCAGCCAGAAGCCCCCTTCAGAACAAAATCCTGAATTCTGTGTTTTGGATGCCCAAGCCTTGATACCCTCCACTTGCTGGCGGTCAATTGGAGAATCAGACGGATTTTGCGCACAAGGGAAAGGGACTCCCTGACGGCAAAAAGCACGTCGCAATTGCGCCATGCCATGTTCGTGGGAGGCTAAGCTGACCACAACTTTACCCAGGATCCCACCATTTTTCAGCGGACTGGGAATGGAACAGTCCAGAGGCTCCTGAGACCCGGCCCCATCCATTGGACACCTCCGTGTTTGGGGGTCTCAACAACCTGGCTGTTTGAGGGCCCAAAATCAATCGAATTGGAACCTTTGGGAGGGGCCTTGGACCTGAAGGCCACATACAAGACTCCAAACACGGCCGATTTTTTGATATATATATATATATATATATATATATTTTTTTTTGGGGAGGGAGGGGGCCCTCAAACCAACAAGGCCCCCCCCATGATTCAACCCATTTTCTGAAAGAGGTGGACTCAGCAATCCGGGACGGCAAGCTCTCACGAGATCTTGCTTTGGTTTGCGCTCGGCGCGGCCAAACCTTGCTTGAGTATATTAAGATGTGTCTTCTTCTATTGGTTCCCGACCCCCAGAATAGTGTGGTTGTCCTGTTGGTTTCCCTTAATTTATGCCTTCAAAAACACAAGGATGAACAAAAACAAACACTACAAAAACGGATGACGGAAACCATTGGTTGTCCTGTTGGTTTCCCTTAATAACTTCAAAAACACCAGGGGAGACCCACAAACAACACGGACCCACAGAATTCGCATGCACCAGGCTCGACGTCCAAAGCCTTAGGCTCCAGGTCCTCTTCGAGCACCTCCACTGCCAGTCTGCCGCCCCGCGCGGCGTCCGAGCGAAGTGGGTGGGTTTTGACGGGGAGCGAAGCCAGACGGGTGAGAAGCCTTCCCCCCAAGCTGGTTCCCAAGGAAGCCGAGGTTTGCCAGTAGTGCCCTTGTACCGTTTTTTTTTTGGGGAGGGGGCCCCTACTAAAATAGACTACGGAAAAAGGGCACCCTTATTCTAGCCTCTCTACTGGAGGACCTAGCTTAGGTGACCCCCCGCCCGGCTGGTTCCCAAGGACGCCATGGGGAAATTCGTAAATTGAGGTATCTTTTTTAGTTACCACCATAGTAGGTAACCCGGTATTGCTACCTCTAGGTTGTACAGCATGGTTTTCCCTGGTTGCCTACTCTGGGGGTAACTGGAAGCACTGGCCCCCAGCTGGTTTTGGTTCAACATAACCTGAAATCCCAGGGGAAGCCATGGGTAAGTTAGCAAACTTAGTTGTAAGTCTCGCCCTGTTGAAGATGAGACTGGTTCTCAAGAAGGTTAGGGGTTTGATCACTTGTTGAATGGAACTCCCCAACCCCCAGCTTCATTTGTGGAATTTGCACGCTGTAGGCCACGAGGGCCGGCACGAGAAGCCGTGAGCCGCCCAGTCGGGAGTCGGGCGTCGGGTCACTGGGCGATGGAAAACCGTGGATTGAAACATCACCCTTTTTGTCCTCTGTTGCCCAGTGGCGCCTTTTTCTTTTTTGCGTAAGGGCTCCCCTTTAAACTCAACCAAACAAAGAAAGGCTGCCCTTTTTTCCCATGGCCACTAGGCATTTGAGTGTCCCATTTTAGATGAGATTCCATGAAAAAGGGGCGATGTTTACAGCGCAATGGGGAACAATGCGACGGGACAGGGGGGGTTCCTTACAGTAAGCAAGCTGATGTGCAACCAGGTTCCTTTGGTTCATCCCATTGGGAACAGCCCAAGAAATCGCGAAGTTTTACTTATGCAGCCCCCCAAATACCGTCCCAAGAATCTCTTTTTCGCAAGCCTTTTCGGGGTTCAATCTATGGGCAGGTAGGCTATTGTCCAGAAGCGGTTGATCCGAACCTATGGCTGCCGCTCTGCTGTCGCTTGCACTTTTCACTGTGGGAAATGGGCGTGATAAAGCAGCACCTTAATAGCTTAAGCAAATGGAGTGTACCCCCTACCCCAAATACCCACTTGTTCTAGGGTATTTTTTAGAAAACCTGGTTTTTCAAGGTAAATACCTCCTTTTTTAGTAGAGGGTCGACATGATACCCTAAAACAAGCGGGTATTTGGAGTCGGGGGTAACAGGGTGAACCGCCATGAAAACGACACTGGCCCATTCAGTTTGGGCTTCAAGTTGGGAAGCCACATGGAAGCCAATTTGGATGCTCCACTCCATTTTGGTAGGTTTCATACAAACCTCAAAATGGTGCTGTTGGTTTCCCTGCGTGCAAGCAAAAGCGGTCCTGAGGTCCCTTTCGAATTTGAGAGCACTGTGCACCCCAAAATAGGTACCAGCTCCAAGACATTTTAAACAGCCACTTGGTCGAGCTGCTTGAGCTTTGGTCCAAACTACGTCGGGACGAGATCGCAGGTTACACACCAGAAGGACACCGCCCTGATTGTCCAGAACCTGCGACAGAAATCAACTTAGATCTCACCAAAACACCAGGACTCCCGAATTTCCCACCCACACCTCAGCCTGCCTCGTCTTCGGGGAGCCCCAACATGTTTTGTTTTTTGTTTTGTTTACTGTTGGTTTTCCATAACAAAAGAAAAAGCCCTAAAGGAACCGGGGGTACCAACTCGATGTCGCCTCGAAGGCCTTTGGTGCTTCCTGCGTTGCCCTTGCGAGAGCTTTGAGGTGCGCGTGACAGACATGCGGATGGGTGCGAGATCCATTTGCGAGCCTCGCACCGAAACGAAACCATGGTGAGGAATCCATAACTTGTTGTTTGGTAGTAAGGAAACCGCAACTTGTTGTTTGGTAGTAAGGAAACCGCAACTTGTTGTTTGGTAGTAAGGAATCCATAACTTGTTGTTGGTAGTAAGGAAACCAGAACTTGTTTTTGGTAGTAAGGAAACCAGAACTTGTTGTTGGTATTTACGTTGGGGAGCTGAATCATTCCGTCGGGTTTCTGGACGGTGGTGCGAGACTCGCGGATGGCGCAACCTCCACAGTACCTCAGCCCAAATACTCGGGATTTTGGATTTCGTCCCAACAACGCCTTACACACATACCCCCAAACCCGTCTTTTGGCTGTTTGTTGTTGGTGTCCGGTTTTCCGAATATGTTTTGTGAAGCGCCAGGTTGCAGGTTGCCATGGTAAAAATCTCCCGGTTGACATTAGCCCAAACCAAGTGAATATTGTATTTGTTCCCCTGGCGGAACCATAGAAATCTAATGAAATCTATAGGGTTTGGCCTGACCAAACCGCCGTTGGAAAATCGGGGGGGTTCTCTTTGGAGTTCCTTGTCGGGGCTGCAGTGGTTCTATCGCTCGGGATTTCGGCAGCACTCAAGAAGAGGACTCCTCGCCCATAGCTCCCAGGCTTTCCTGTTGAAAACCCGCGACGGAACCCCGCAGGTCCAGATTCCTTGGGAAATCGAGACTCCAAGCCGTCAAGACGATGTCTGCGTGAAGTCATGAACTGACCCCTCGACCATGTCCAATTGAAGGGACTTTTGATGGTTCTGACTGAGAACAGATTTGGCTTGGCACCTTAAACAGATCACCTGCCGTCAAGTTGCAGGACCGCCAAACACGACACATGCCTCAAGGGTTCCGGGCTGCGAAAGTAGAGGGGTGTTTGGTGGATTTGGCAGAAGCAACAACCAAGAAATCCACCAACAGAACGCTGGGGTTTGATGTTGGGTGTTTGGGCAACAAACAAGAAACCGCTTGGGCATTTTAGACGGTTTGGTCCCAAGCATCAGGCTCGGGAGTCAAACCTAATGTTTTTTTTTGGGGGACCCCTCAACCAGAAGTAGGGCGTGGATATCCGCCCTTTGGATATCTTAACATTCCCATCATTCCCCAAACAAATCGCTCGAAAGAAGTCGCTTGGCAGATTACCAAAAGCATGTTGGCAATCTCAGAAAGACTAACCATTGCTGGGAAAAGGTGTTTGGTATACAAAGAGCGCTGTAATCCCAGGTTTTGCGCATGGCTCCGCTTGGGTGTGCTGAGTTGGGGCATCGCAGGAGCGTGACCGGACCGAAGGCTCAGCGCGAAGGGCGCTGACACTCGATCTGAGATGCTCGGGCGGCTCGTCTTTGCTAGAACCCCCTACTACACCAATACCCACCTTAGGGAAGGATGTTTACTATCAAAGAGGTATCCGTAGAAATCCATGAACCTGGTTCTCCCAAACATAATTACCAAGCACCGGGACAACACTTGGCGGGACAGTTAAGACCTTCGCAGGCGGAGCGTATTTTCTTAGGTCCGCAAGGAGTTCTTGCAGGCCGCTGGGGGAGCGCTCTGCAGAGCTCCCGGATCCAGAAGTCGGGGCAAGTCTGAGGGTTCACAGTGTTGGCACCGCGCGCTTCCTTTTGTTCCGCTTGGCTGACGTTTTTTTGATTTAGGCGGTCGTGCCGAGGTCTGATCTGACAATATGACTCGTATGCAAAGTTGTACTGGTCATGGTGTGCAATCGAACGTGGGCAATAGAACTTGTCCTTCGATGGTAAGCTCTTGCCGTCGCCCACATTGGTAGCGTCCAGCCATCATATCCGCCAAAGCCAGAAGTTCCCCGGAACACAGTGTGCGTTTGAGAGGGCCTTTTAGACCCCCCCTACGTAGGAAAATCGACGGACCAGGTCCCTCAGAGTATGGCAACCCCTTGGAGCAAGTCCTAATATTTCCTCAAGGTCAAAAGGAACACCCTACAGGTTTATCGGTGAACGGTTCAACCAAAGCCCAACGCTTCTGCTTTCAAATGATTCTGCGGGAAGGCCAAACTGAGAATCCTCCTTGACTGCTCCTCGGAATCGCCTCGCCCCGGCCGAAGGGCCGAGCGACGCCGCGCAGCCGAGTCGGCTGAGGTCCAGCGAGTCTCACCCGTTCCGATTAAAAGCCGCGGAGGAGGTTGCCCAGCACCCCAAGACTCGAGAGTTCCGGAAGGATGATGGTACTGTGGATTGCGAAATCCATTGCGCCACGCCTAAGAAACCATGGTTGAAACCGCAACGTTTGTTGCTATTTACAAAAGAAGTTGCATCATTCCCTTGTTAGGTGGTGCGAAATGGATTTCGACCATCCACAGTATGGGTAGAAAAGCGCTGAGCAGCTCGTTTCAAGTTTGCCTCGGTCCCAACGCAAGCCTCATGTGGAGCAGCCTATTTGACCTTCCTTTGTTTTTTCTGTACAGCTTCGAATAGGACACCAGTCAATTTCACATTTGGAGGTACCAGCGTGTTTCTGTTGGATCAGGGCAACCTCAGTTGGTCATGTGTCCTTGAGAAAGGGGGGGCTCCCTTCGTCTTTGGGCTTTGTCGACACTGGGGAAGTGAGCGCCACAATTCCTTCAGTTCTGTTCTTTTCCACAGTCTCCTGGCCAATGTGGCGATGTGTTGTCAGACTTGAGCATGCTGCTCCGGAGACGGATGGTCGGATTGGGAAGTTAGCCTAGCGGCAAACATACGTCATGATCCAGCGCAGTAGGGCGCACGGTTGCTTCTCAGGTTGGCGTGCAGGTAGGCCTTATTGGAAGTTCTCGAGACTCACTTCCTGAGTTCATGAACTTTGAGCTTTTTGGGAAGGCCATTTTAGTGGTAAATATAGAGTTTGAACTTTTTTGGGCCATCCACTCAGCAAGTGAGGAGATTGACACATGTTTCTAGAGAGTGGAATTATCATCAAGCACCCTCGCACCCAACAAACATGGAAACTCACATGGGGTACACATGTTCTTAGACTCTTTTGCAAGCGGTTGTTTCAGCTTCCTTCCTCGTGGAAGCTATGAATTAAGTGCGTGATTCTTCAGCGGCGCGTTTGTCATTTTGCACCCGAGAAGAAACAAGCAGGTGATTGCTGGTCACTGAAGAATGTCACTGTGGATGGACAAAATCCTGCGCCGCCTAAGAAACCCTGGAATGATGATTGCCCTGTACATACCAACAAACAACGGGTTCTCATGATTTCAAAGTGGTGCAGGATTTTGTCCATCCACAGTATGAAAGAACCTTCCGCACCACATATGACTCAGGGTTCAGATCGCTCCCCTAAAGTGAAGTTGTTTTTTGGACCCCCACGCCTGCACCACTAGATGAAAGTGGATCAACCACTAAAACGGTCTTCCAAGGTGTGGTAGGGGCAGGCTCCAAAGTTGACCATTGGTGTGCCCACACTCTCCCATTTTCCACTCAAAGCTCCAAGGGGACCAGAAAGCTGGGGAAACCATGGGCGATTTGGTGGGTGTACCCCATATCCCCAGCAGATGACAAATATTGACCATTCTGGGTACGATGGATATGGTTTCCACTTGGTCACCCTTTACCCAAACAAGAGCACCCCTTCCGAAAAGAGGGAAACATGGATTGTGTCCCTTTGGTTTCCCTTCAAAACCATACCAGTGGGTGTGTCTCAAACTGAGAGGACCCCTGAAATGGCTTCGGATTTCCCGGTGTGCCTTCAATCGACCTGCCATGATTATAGGGAGGGTCGTTGTTTCTTTGTGCAGCCGCATTCCTGCAGCTGCTCAGCTTTCTGAGCGACTGTCGGCCAAAGCTAGGTGCAGAACAAGCGATGGCTGAGGCGCAGAGTGCTCGTGAAGCCGAGGATCAGCGGTCGGCTTTCCAGGCTCTTGCTCGTCAAGCAGAAGAGGAGCTTGCGAGCTTGGCAGCGAAGCATGAGAGGGAGGCGGAGCGGGCTTCAAAGACGGCAGAGTGGCTCGCGGAGATCCCAAGTTCGGCTTTGGAGCAAACGCCCTGGCAATACACATGCGGTCCGGGAAGCGGGGCCGGGAAGCATGGCCGAAAGGAGAAGAAGGAGGAAAAGAGAAACCAGAAAGCGCAGGAAAAGGCGCAGAGCCGGAGCCTAAGGATGGCAGAGCGTCGCAGCCCGAACGGCTACGAGGGTGGTGACCTCCAGTCGTTTAAGGAGCTGTTTCTGACTTGGAGTATTCCTTTTGGTTGCTCTTGGGCTTGACCTTTCAACCCTTAAATTTGGAGAATTGGTCTTTTTCCGTGGCCATAAGCTTTCGGATGATGTTCTAGGGGTCAATGGGGGTCAACATGTAACTTGGTCTTGGGGGGTGCTTGCTTTTCCTGCTTGCGGGTACCCAAGTTGGGTTGCAGATCCCTTTGAGGCGGTTGTCGTGTCGAAATGCAATTGGGCGTGGTTTAATGAAATGGGGACCCCTCCAAAACACCGAGAAAGGGTACCAATTCTCTCTGACAGTTTGTTGAAACTGTAGGATTCTCCCAGGGCACCTTAAATGTGTGGTTTCCATGCGGTTTCCAGCCACAAAACGGTAGTCTCAACCAAAATCATATGTGGTTTCCGTGTACAACGAAATTCCGGCAGGCATCCACAGGTTGTCCGCGCCTTCACTATGTCCCTCAGGACGTCACGTCCCACCGCAAGAAGCCCGCCAGCGAGTACTCCATCTTCAGCCCGCCGGGCGGATCCCTCGGCGAGCTCGTATCCAGACGGAGCGCTGCGAGCCTGAAAGGGGCCTGAAAGGGGCCAGAACCTGCCAGCGTTTTTTTGAGCATCCAGCCATGGCCCAGAGGCCCCTGTGAAGCCCGACTGGTGCAATATGCCCGAATTGACAGCAGAGAAAGCAATTCGATTGCGCAACTCTTTGCCAGTTGGGCCAAGCAATGGTTCTGTCGCAGGTCCTTCAACCGAGAAACACGAAGCTTCTCGCGTTGAAGGATTGTACACAGCGAGAATCTGAGGCAAAACGGGCCTGCCCGCAGTGGCGCTGGTTTGACGGACGTATGCATAGTAGCACCAGCCACGCAAGTCAGCCTGTGTTACTAATCCTCAGATCGTATATAGACAGCCATTTGAGTTTGACATGACAGCACATGTTGAGTCTTACAAGATAACTGCATCTAGTCATCAGATACCCAGCTGCCACAAGAATCCTTCGAGCGGACAGCAACGTGATGAGTGCCTTAGTTCCCTTCCGCGACTCGTGTGTGTGTGTGTGTGTGTGTCACATTCAATCAGGCCCAAAAACGGTTTTCTAGTTTTGGCCCATTTGGATTTGGGAGTGTTTTGTTTCCAAAGACCCCCCAAATGGTGGTATTCCCTTTGGTTTTCCTTTCAAAACCACCAACAAGGGGCACAGCCGATGTTTTCAAATTCACATGGATCGCGACAATGCATTTTGAGGACGTTACTTTGCCCTTTAGGTTCCAATGTTGGGGCGCCTTGGAAGTTACTTCTGTGGAAAGGAGCTATTTAGGTTCCAGTGTCGGCGTGCCAGCCAATCGGCGTTTGTCTCGCTCACATTTCAGGGCTCCAAGGGGTGCGCGGGCCAGCAATGAGAGGGGGCATGGACAGGGGTGCATGCCACATCCAGCATTGATGTTGTTGAATGCGGGTCATTATTATGAACACCAATCAACAGCGGGGGCATCCCCTCAAGTGTTTTCTTTCCCTTGCACCGACGGGGTTTTCTGACATGCGCGGGGGTCAAACGCTTCAATAAGTTTGTCAAATTGGAATTTAGATCTTTGTCATATGGCTACATGTAAGTATTTGATAATGTGTTTTGGCAAGCTACTTCACAATTATTGTTTATATATGTATACATAGATATATATATATATACATATATATATATATACATATACATGCATATACATATTCATATACATATATACAAGTACATATTTATTAGGGGGTGGGGCTGGGGCAAATGCCAGCGGCCATGCGATGAGGTAGCCAGGACCTCGGGGGTGAGAAACTGAGCGTCGGAGGTGTGGCTGGTTCCTTTCGACACCAAGGGGCCGGCTCCTTAAAAGAAAATTTCGGACCCCTTCTCATGGTTGCATGGAGGTGAACAAGGGGCCATCTCAGCTTTTGTAGGCATGTTGTCATCAAAGTCCAAAGCCTGAAACTGTTGTTGGGAAACATTTTGCATTTTTGTTTCTTGTGGTTGAGTGGTTGAAATCCCCACTGAACTGCATTCGATTGATTTAGCTGGCCTTACAACCTGGTTTTGAGACCGGGTCCCAACCACCGAAGCGGGGGGTCTGATGGAGGGGTCGGGTCTTCCATTGAAAGGTCCAGCCTCTGGGTTTGAAGACAATCAGACCCCTTCTGGCTGGTGTGGTTTCCACTTGTGCAAAAGGTGACCCCTATTTGGGTGCCCGTTTTGTTTGGTTTTAAAGGAAGACCGAAAGGAACTCCGAAATCCATGGGGGGTCGAACAAAAAGACACACCCACGCAAGTTAGACCAATCGATGGGCCGTAAAAGGTGTACGTTTTATCGCCAGACGTCTGGCTAGCCGTTTGGGACGCTGTTGCCCTTTCCTTGATGTTCGCTTTCAGCTTGCCAGGTAACTTTTGGGGAGTCGTTTGGCGCTGTGTTAAACGCGTGGCGTGGCAATCGTGAGTTGGCGACTTGGTAACGCGACTTGGGGGTATGATCCGAGGGGCCAGTGGACGGTTGGGAAGCAACAGATGTGCGCTTCGAGCTCACGAGTTTTCGGGGGAGGAGATAGCGCTGCAGACCTGAGATTTTCGTGAAACGCCATTCTTGCTTTTGTCGGCCATGCTCATGGTTGATTGCAGACAGAGAAATTGCGGCGACATGTGTTCGATTTTTCGGTTGCACCGCCGCAAATTCAAGTTTGCCTAGCCTGGTCTCCTCTTACTTCGGGGGTAGCACCCTTGATATTTCAAGCGCCATTACAGCGCCCAGGCTCCAAGAGCGTTCAGGGGGCAGAAAGCGTCACTGGTGCAGTTTTTGTGTCCAGAATAGAAGGCCACCTTGAAATGAACCAAAAGATACCGACCCCCAAACCCGCATGTGTCAATCACATGAACGGATCATGTTGCTTTGCGCCATTGTCCAACGAAGCCTTGGCACACCCGAATGGGGATGGATGGGGATTTTCTTGGAAAAAGGGGGGGGTGCTTGTAAGTTGTAACCCAAATCAGGCGCCAACCTGTCCCTCTGGCTGATTCTGAAAATGTGGTAGGGGGTGGGTGTCAACAAGTACACAATCCCCCGAAACCAGGTGGTGCTTCTCGTTTGCACCGAGCAGGTGTGGGCTTTTTGCAGCACCATATAGGTGTTTTTTTGTTGTATATCAGCCCGGTTCCTGTTGCTCGCCCAGAGGCTCCAATTTGATTGACTTAGTTGGCCTTACAGCCTGGTTTTAAGACCCCCAACCACCGACCACCACAAGCGGGTGTCTAAGGGAGGGCTTCGGTCTTCCATTGAAAGGTCCAGGGGCCTTTGGGCGGGGGATGTTTTTCGTCCGCCGCCCTGGACGCGCCTCAGGCTGGAGAAGTGGCTGGCTATGACCTACTACAGCCGGAGCCCTCAGAAGTTCGGACAGATAGGAGAGCTCACCCGCGGGTGAAAACGAGCTCCCTTAACTTGTGGCTTGGAATATTTTGTTGTTTCTTGTTGGTTGGGACTGTTTCGCATGTTTTGGATGCTTCTTCGGCGTGGAAGGTGTGCTGTGGCCGTTGTCCTTCGGAGTCGCGGCCCGAAGGGCGAGGGTTCAAAGGGGGCCAGTCCAAAGATACATTTGGCTTGAACCATGGATTTGTTCCAAACTGGTATTTGCCACGCCACGTGTTGCTTGGATTCCTGTGGTTTGCCTTGAAAGCTGACAGAGGCTCCAGCGAAAAGACACACCACCTCATTGTTTTCAAGCCATGTATCCTTGCTACAGACCACAGATTTGCTTCAGGATCTGAAAAACAACAAATTGTTTGTTCAATGGTGCCGTTTCTGAAATCCTGTACTAGCCGTGATTTCATGTGAGGATTGTAAACTAAGCAACTTCGGGTGTAAATTATAACTATCAAAGGCGGTGGCAAAATCGACCCAGGTTTCCACAGTCCCACTGGTAGCAGGGAAGCTTTGCCTTCTTGAATGGGGCTTCTCAAAATGGTGGACCCTTAAGGGGTGGTTTCAAAGGTAAACCTTAAATGACAACAGCAACCATTTTGGGGAACCCCCTCCGAGTTTGAGCCTCTATTCCATGGCCGTTTCGGTATGTCTGCAGATAGTGTTGGTTGTCCTTTGAAATCCTCATGAAAACAATCCCAGAAAGGGAAGCATCAAAAAGAGACGCCCATTTCTTCCATTTGCTTTCCCGCCCCCTATAACAAACAGAAGGCATGTTTACACCCGTGAAACTTATTCCCTTCAAAACCGGAAAGGTACAGAAACATATGGCTGTGGGTCAAAAATAGGTACTTTAAATGGAACCTGGTAAATGGAAAGAAGGACTAAAACCTGCGGTTTTTCTGGTTTTATTTTGACCCATAACCTTTGTTACATTTTGCTTGGATGTTAGGACTTTAACTTTTTGCCAACTAATTGGTTTTCCATTAAACCACTAAAAGTCAAGCTTTTAGCAGGGGAGCAGAAAACAAACAGCCGAGTACCCATATTCATTTCAGCAGCTGGACAATGTTTTTTCTGGGGGCGCGCCTGGCAGGCGAGCTGCGGGTGCCGCGCTCGGCTGGGCCACGGGCCATTTATGCGGCCTACCGGAACCGGGCGCTGCAGACGCACCCGGACAAGGCACACCGGGTCTTCTCCTTTTGTGGCGGACCCCTGCAGCACCTCAAAAAGGTCGGGGCAGTCAGGGCAGCGGGAAACTACCGGGATTGAACCCTTTTGGGATGTTTTGGGATTCCCGAATGAAGGAAACAAACCTCAAGAAAGGTTTGTAGGAGTAACGGCGTCGCTCTTCCAAAACCGCCAAACAAGGGGTACCCTCCAAAAACGACGCAGCCAAGGCCTAGGCAAGTTGAAGGGATTCCCCTCACAATCGATCGCTGGTCAAGTTGTTTGGTTGGGCAGCCCTTTTCTGATGTTTAAGAGGATCCAGCAGGATAGCCGAAATTTAGTTTGGGGGCGGTCTAGAAAAGACACGCCCAAATGTCCAATCACCTGTTAGGGTTTGGACACCAGGGCTTCCAGTTTCCAGTGTAGCAATAAAATGGAATAAATAAGAAGAATGGGGGATGTGCTGTAAAACAAAATTTACTTGTGATTGGAGGAGTAAACTAGTCACTAGGGAAAACGGACACACGCCTGTTAGGCTTTGGTTTAGTCTTTGCTTTGCGCATTGTTGCAGGGTTGCTTTAGATTGGAACCGTTCTTTTTTTGTGTTTCTTTGAATTTACACCAGCCGTGTTTATTTTGAAATGCCTCATTTTGGATTCTCATTTTTGTAACAGTGTGACTTCAAAAAAAAACAAAAACAGCCCAGAGGCGTGAATTCCAAAAAAGAAGAGGAGCCCCAAGCCGTGAATTCAAAAGAAAGAACGCCCCGGCCCACAGGCATAAATGCAACAAAACAAGCACCGGGACCCCCAGGCGTGATTTCAAACAAAAAACACCTGGACCCCCCAGGCGTGATATAAAATAAAAATAAAAGACCTGCACTCCCCAGGCGTGATTAAAAAAGAAAACACCTGGACCCCCCCCAGGCGTGACTAAAACAAAAAGAAGACTGGACCCCCCAGGCGTGATTTCAACAAAAAACACCTGCACTCCCCCAGGCGTGTTTAAAAAAATAAAACGAACAGAAAAAGAACACCTGCACCCCCCCCCCCAGGCGTGATTCAACAAAAAAAACACCTGCACTCCCCAGGCGTGATTAAAAAAGAAAACACCTGGACCCCCCCCAGGCGTGACTAAAACAAAAAGAAGACTGGACCCCCCAGGCGTGATTTCGACAAAAAACACCTGCACTCCCCCAGGCGTGTTTAACAAAATAAAAAGAACAGAAAAAGAACACTTGCACCCCCGCCCAGGCGTGATTCAACAAAAAAAACACCTGCACTCCCCCAGGCGTGTAAAAAAGAAACAAAAAGCACCTGCACCCCCCCAGGCGTGCTTAAACAAATAAAAAGAACAGAAAAAGAACACCTGCACCCCCCCCCAGGCGTGATTCAACAAAAAAAAAGACCTGCACTCCCCAGGCGTGATTAAAAAAGAAAACACCTGGACCCCCCCCAGGCGTGACTAAAACAAAAAGAAGACTGGACCCCCCAGGCGTGATTTCGACAAAAAACACCTGCACTCCCCCAGGCGTGTTTAACAAAATAAAAAGAACAGAAAAAGAACACTTGCACCCCCGCCCAGGCGTGATTCAACAAAAAAAACACCTGCACTCCCCCAGGCGTGTAAAAAAGAAACAAAAAGCACCTGCACCCCCCCAGGCGTGCTTAAACAAATAAAAAGAACAGAAAAAGAACACCTGCACCCCCCCCCAGGCGTGATTCAACAAAAAAAAAGACCTGCACTCCCCAGGCGTGATTAAAAAAGAAAACACCTGCACCCCCCCAGGCGTGTTTAAAAAAAAATCAAAGAACCGAAAAAGAACACCTGCACCCCCCCCAGGCGTGATTCAACAAAAAAACACCTGCACCCCCCCCCAGGCGTGATTCAACAAAAAAACACCTGCACTCCCCCAGGCGTGTAAAAAAGAAACAAAAAACACCTGCACCCCCCCAGGCGTGTTTAAAAAAATAAAAAGAACCGAAAAAGAACACCTGCACCCCCCCCAGGCGTGATTCAACAAAAAACACCTGCACTCCCCCAGACGTGTAAAAAAGAAACAAAACACACCTGCACCCCCCCAGGCGTGATTAAAACAAAAAAAACACCTGGACCCCCCAGGCATGATTTCATCACAAAACACCAGCAGGCGTGTTTTTTTTGTTTTTAAGAAAATAAAACAAAACACAAACAACCTGGACCCAGGCGTGATTTCAAAATGTGATTCCAAAGAAAAAAACACCGGAGCCCTTTAGATTGGGAAGGTGGGTTTCAAGGTCCGGAAAGGGGCCCAGCGATCCCTTTCAACTTTTTTGGGACACTGCCTGTTTGAAAATAAATGCCACTGGTTTAGAGTGGTTCTATCTACCAGCGCCATCTATGCTTCCCGACTTCCAGGCTACTTGTGTTCAACCTACCCTTGATCTCCAGTTTGGCGTGTTCCTTTGGCTTTCTGTTTTTGAGAGATGGAACTTTTGAGAGGGATTTTGTTCACTTTACAATCACCTACATGTTGGGTTCTGATCCCCTCTCAGGGTTTGGGCTATGAAGCAAGGTAGTTAAGACTGTGGCTACGTGTGCGATGTCCATTCAGAGTTTGGGCTACGTAGGTGGTATGTGTGGATACGTGTTAAGTGACTGTTGTCCCTCTGAGAACTGCGGGCATATGACCTATGTAGTGGTTGATCATCCAAGACGTCGGAAAGGCACTTGGACGACGGGCCCCACCTCAGGGAAGTGGTGGTTGATTTCCTCGAGGAGATTCGCCACTTAGTCAACGACTTTGGAACCTAACTGGGGATGATAGGCGGTCATCCACGTATCCGAGTTGTTTCCCTTAAGCTGCTTTGAGAATGCCAAATGCAAGGGGCCAAAACATGCAAACGCCAGGGTTGTCGTTTTGGACTAGCCCAAGTTGGGCCAATGCAATTCAGCACTCCCCATGGTAAGTGATTCTTGGAGGTGGGAACCCCAACTTGCCCAACCTGCAAAACCCAAGTGCCCGGCGGCCGACTCCCATTGCTCAACCTTGGGGAACACTCAACAAAAGGCGAAGAAAGAGTTTAACTTCCCAATGGTCTCACGGGCTGAAGAGTTCAGACAGCCTAAGGGAATGTGTATTATTACGTCAGGAGGAAAGTGGTCGGAGTGTTGTTGAACAAGTTTCTCTACAAACAACTTGAGGGACATGTTGAACAAGCATCTTAAGTTCCTGTTACCTGACGCGGGACTCGTCCAAGGGCTGAACAAGAAGTCCTAAATGGTTTGGATGAGTTTGTGGGGTACTTGATGCGCATTCGTGGGAAGAGGGTGCTTGCTTGACCCTTTTAGGGGGCCTGCTTCATAAAAAGGCGGCCCAACATGGCTGAAGTTGGATGTTTGACAGCCCCTGACTGAACATCTCTGATTAATTTGTGTTTTTGCCGCTTGGGTGCCACCTGGTTGCATCCAAAGCGGGGCCCGGAAGTGGATTTGGTGCTACTGGTGCTACTGGTGCTACTGGTGCTGGCTCTCTGGCCAGCTCAAAGCTCCTGGCATTTGGAAGTTGACGAGGCTAGGTCCCCCAGCTAGGTGCCCTTTTACCAACTTTTTTGGTTGGGAGGGTTCCCCTACTAAAATAGACAAAACAAACAACAAAGTTGGTACCCTTATTCTAACCTCTCTGCTGGAGGACCTAGTAATTGAACTTGGGGGAACTGGGGATTCGGATCATCTTCGCCCCTTGATCGTCTGCGACCAGCTGTGGTTGTTTTGGGTGGCGAAAACCAAAGGGATACCTTGATGTGGGGTCTTATTTCCCCTCCGTGTCTTTTTTTTGGGGGGGACGGGTCAAAAACCCGACGGCTGCCATCCATGGCGCGAGAAAGCGGGGAAATCATATATATATATATATATATATGTATACATATATATATATATTAAAACAAACAACAAAAACACATCGCGCAGTCGCGCAGTCGCGCAGGGCGGGTCGCATGACGCCTACATCAAGGTGCGCCAGGCCTTTGAGGCAGCGGCCAAATGGGGGGGGCTGCTCCAACCAGACTTCATAGCTGCAAATGAGTGAGGCGGGCTGTTTGGAGCTGTGGAGGTGGCAAGTATACCACTTGTATCAGAGGAGTTGGGCACTCTCAACTGGCTTTTCTCACCTCCACGCCTCCAAACGATCTTAAAAGCTGCGTTTGAAACCATGGTGAGGCAACTTCATCTGGCGAAACCTGCCGCAGTTGCGGCAATTACGCGGTTTCTCTTGTTTCCCCACTTGCAATGCTCATTTCCAGCGCCATCTATTTTGTCAAAGGGACACCTCCGCTGGTGCGATTTATTCATTGCTTTGGCCAGCTTGGAGTAAGGAGCTTGCCCAAGGAGCAAAGAACTTGGATTGAACTTGTTGGCTTCCCTAAGGAGCAGGTCGGGCGACTTTCCCAAGGAGCAACACAATTGGATCAAAATTGTTGGGTAGGGGAGGGGGAGGGGAGGGGAAGAGGTTTCTGTGGGTTCGCAGGCGGAGCGTGCAAGCTTTGGTTAAAGCCGGATTCCAGCGGTTTCGGTTTGGTTCATAGGTACTTAGTTTGGTTGAAAAATAGATGGACCCGCCACGGGTTTAGATGGGGGTTCTGCCATCCATTTAGCAGGGAAACTCATCTACCCTCCCACCAATTAACATGGAAGGCCCCCTTTTGTCCCTTTAAAAGGAAGATGCTCCAAGGTTCCATGTGAAATGGGAGGGGACCCCCCTCCCTTAAAAGGAACACGGTCCAAAAGTGCGGACCAAGCCACCCGCACGTCGACCGGGGAACGGTTCCGTGCCACGTGCCGATGGGCTCCGCCGAGATTTCAGGTGCTCAGCGACCCCAGGCAGCGCGCGGAGTACGACGCGGAGCTGCGGAGCACCGGGGAGCCAGGCCGTTGCACTCGATTGGGTGTCAGAGAAAAAGAGTCCTGGGGTCTCAAAATAGGATTCGGACCACCCCTTCCCAACAATACCAGAAAAAAGACAAACAAACCAAGGGTGCCACAAAAAGAAAGGCTCATTTCCCAACATCTCAGAGGGAGCGAGTCCTGGGCTAGGTGCTTGAGCTACGTGCCCTTTCTCTCCCGTTTCCTTTTTGGTTGGGAGGGTTCCCCTACTAAAAGAGAGAAACAAGTTGGTACCGACTTATTCTAACCTCTCTACTGGAGGACCTAGTGGGGTTTCTCAAAGTCGGATTCGGACTCCCCAAAACGGGTTTCTGAAGGGTATCACAAAAAAACGAACCAAGGATACCACAAAAAGAGAGGGTTCATTTCCCAACAAGAAAGCCTTTGCGGCATGTTGTCCGGTGATGTCAGGCGAACTGTGGGGAGCCCTGTTTCTCTTTGCAAAGCCGATCCTTGCCTTGGGTTGCAGAAGGATGTTGCCCCCTTGGTGGCCTTCCAGAGATTGATGAGGATTGGCCAACGCTCCATTTTGGACAAATTCCACTCGCACCGGTGCGCCGGCTGCTAGGTGTAAGATTTTGTCCACGGTAATTAGGTTGTATGCACAGCCACAGTTTCAACAATAACGAAATATTGCCATACTTGGAAATGCATGGACAAATTGGGGGGTTTGCCCACCGAGTTGGCAGAAATAGCCATTCAATGCGTGTTCAACTTCGTGCTTAGCTTGCCCAGTGGCGCCCTTGTTTCCTTTTGTTTGGGAGGGGCTCCCCTTTAGAGTCAACCACAAAAGGATGCCCTTCTTTCCCTAGGCCGGGCATCTGAGCATGGCAACCATCCTTGATCCCGCTTGTATCCTTGATCAGTCCGGCCGTGACACCTGACCAAAGAAGACTGGACGACTTTGGGACCCGTTTGGGTCCCCGACCTTGAGACACCAGAACTAGGTCCCACAGCTAGGTGCCCTTCTCACCCCCCTTTTTGGTTGGGAGGGTTCCCCTACTAAAATAGACTACCGAAAAAGATCAGGTACCCTGATTCTAACCTCTCTACTGGAGGACCTAGATAAGATTCACGCCCTTAGCACAGGCCCTCAGCTCGTGGATATTTCGAGCCACTGGAAGTTTTCTGGACCTCGTTTTGATCCCGCGGATTTTTTCTTGCGGTTCTGGAAGGCCGTTGTGGACGCACAGGTTGGACTTTTGTCCAACGGACGTGAGGAGACGGCCAGGCCACTTTGCCGTGGCTTCCTGAAAGGGATTCCGTGGTCAAGCCTCCATTCTTACCAGCTCAACTTCAGCAGCATCGGTATGTATTCTAGGAGACTTAAACGCCAAAAGGGCCATTTCGAAGTGGGAAGAGTTTCTTCCTGGACACAACTAGAGGGGTCTGTTTTGCTTGATTGAGGGTGGCCTTTTGGAGTTGGCGGAAAGCAACACCTTCAATTGTTGACCTTTGTTTATTAATAATCTCATATTGCAGTCTCTCGCCATAAAATATGCGGCTTTTCCTTCTTTCTGGACAGGAGTTGACAGCATCTCCCTGCTTACACAAGATGGGTCTTGGGTGGGACTACAGCGACAGCCACGGATTCGTCGAACGCAGATGGTGTCGGGGCTTCCGGTGCTCGCCGACCAGATTCAGGCAGGGTAGGATCTCGGTAACCTGAAGTGCATTGCCAGTCGGGCCTCGTTTTTTGGCCCTTTTTCATGGCCTCCTATAGGGGGCTATCCCTTGAGAAGCCGAGGATTGGCCTTGTTAAGGGGTTAAGGGAGTTACCCCCCCCCCCCCCCCCATAGCCCCCCTTAGGGGTCCATGACTTTTGTGCCTTTCATTTTCCTTCATTCTGAACACCGGCGTGCGGCCCGACATTCGTATCATTCGTCCGGCCGTGTTCAAAGTTGCATAAAGTTTCGGGGGCAAAAAGGTCGGCTTTTTCGGGAGCCAAAGGAAAGCCACCAATCTTGAGGGTCCCCTTTGAGAAATGGTGCTTGGTATTTTCTTGAGGGTAGGGAGGAACAGAGCAGCCTGTCCACTGGTTGGAGGGGGAGCTCATGGGAGCTCCGTGATTTGTTTTTTTTTCCCGGGTAAGAGTGAAGGAAAATTGATTGGAAGCTTGTTTGCATTGGGGGCGGGAGTTTCGGGAGGGGGGGGCATGTGTGGAAAGACCATGAAACACCCACTCACAAAGCATCAGCAATGCAATACACACGTTGTTGTTCAAAGGTTTCGCCCTCTAAAGAAGGAAGTGTCTCCCAGGCAATTTGTAAATCTAGTGGAACCAAACACAAGCCTTCGTTTTTGTACATGCCTCCCCCCTCCCCCCGCCGCGAACCCATATGCCTGTACATGGGCAAGTGGAACTCCTGCACTTCCAACGCTCCACTCAATTTGCTTGACTCAAGAACAATTCACAAGGTGCTCATGCTCATCTTTGACATCATTTTCAGATGAGTATCATATCTATACAGTTCTTGAAGGCAACATTCGGCAACAGCACTGCTTGTTTGGGCCAGCTCAAGCTTTAAGACTGAAACGGGGGGTCCTTGAACCCAGCTGGCCTCGGGCGCTGAAATGGATGCTCCGCGCCCGCGTCGCTCCCGCGAGCGGGAGCTTTGGAGCTGGCCATGAGGCAATTGGCTCTAGGGGTTGATTCCTTGTCCATTCTTTTCAACCATCGTTCTTTTAAGAAACCGGATCTGTTTCCAACCTGGGTGTTTGACGGTTTCCTGAAAAGAAGGATCCCTGGAAAGAATGGGGAAGGTACCCCACTAGGTACCCCTAGAATGGCGGTGGTTAGGCCAAACGGAAACCACCCCGGTTTCTGACTTTGATAGCCCCAGAAACGGTCAACAGAAGAACCCCATAATCTTAAGTCAAGGTTCCAAAATCTGATCACTTGCTTGTCCAGAACCTCTGGTTGCAAGTGTCGGGACGCACAAATAAGAACATTGACCTCAATCAACGACTGCAGCCATGGGCAGAGAAATGTTTCAGAAACTCGTTTCTGTCCAAAACGCAGGTTTGAGCTCACTGTCCTGCAATTGTCACAAACCTGAAAAGGACATTCCCTGTTGGGCCAACAGTCATTGGACAAGGAGGCTTTTGGAAGATGCCTTTTCTCTCGGGTAAGCCCCATGGTTGCTGGAACGAGGTCCCGCCACTGGGGGGTCTGGCGTGAACTGCATCACTTGCAGTTCACTCAGGGCGGCCGCAGCGCGCGGAGACTCTCGCCCTGCGCTCGCCTGAGTGCTTTGCGCCGGTGTTGCGTTCCAATAGGTACCGGCAACCCCCCCTTCAAGGGGAAGAAGCAGTCGTTGGAAAAGGTGGTTTCAGACATCACCTTCAAGCTGGAAAGGCTGTTTCATTTGAATGTTAATCTGGATGACCATAGCTAGCGACCCCGCCAACATGACTGTTTTACCTGTGGTTTCCCTTACACAATGCTGTCCCACTATTTCACACCTCGGCGTGAGAGCATTTCTATCCAAAAGGCGCTGACAGTTGACCAAGAAGCCGGATTTCGTATTTTCCACAAGGACATCAAACGTGCATGGGTAGTTTTCTTCCCCCCCCCCCCTTCCAGCTATTTGACAATTTACACCAAACAGACCCCAGAGTTCATGAATCTCAAAGGCTGATTGCACACAGCTTGACGGCTGGTCTCCCATAGTTAGGCCACAGCTTCACAGTATTTGGTTCATGTTGTTTTCGGTTCTGTGGTTCTGTAATCATATAGGGATTTGCACAGACCATTTGTGTGGCGGATACAAGGCCTGAGCAGGAGACAAAATCAGGGCTCTGAGACCAGTTGCCGTTTGGGGTACAGCCTTGTCTTATAATGCCTGCCGTCCCTGTGGCGTCCCTGTGCCGTGGTTTATCGATCAACTGGCTCCCCATTTGGGCTCTTCAGCAAGATTAAGGGAAGAAGGATGGATCTACTCAGGTTATGATTTGGCCCACTTTTCAGCGTTCACAATGTTTTTGAGGGAAAAGCCTTTGGCTGCCACGCCGAGGGTTGAGCAGTTGAGAGATGAGCTTGTTCGATTCACCGGCAAATGGGGGGGTTTTCAGCGGGGGCAGTAGCCTCGCGATCACAATGAGTCGGTCTCACAAGTTTGGTGTAGCTCTGAAAATGACTGCCCGAATCTGTGAATCTTGGTAAGGACCGGCGACACACCCTGGCAGCAAGCGGCGAGGAGAGGTGGTGAGGGGGCGTGGGAATCTTGGGAATTGCGCCAAAGTCAATGGGTATTGCGCCCGCACTTGGTAGGTTCCAAGTAAGAAAAGGGTAACCAAAGACAACCTCGTTCTCTCGTTTTAATTTAAGGGTTTTGGTTTTAAGTGTGTGTTTTCCTTACATGGGTCTATTTTGCTTTATGGAAACTAACTGGAAAACCACATTTTTGGGGGTTCCCTGAATTTGAGACAAACCCAAATGGACAAGCCGACAATTTCGAAGGCTTTGGGCTGCAAGCAAGCTTGCCCAAACTGGTTACCATTGTCAACCACTTTTAATCATCATGGATTCAGGTTCTCAAAGATGATCACCCTTCATTTCCAGTGAGTTCCCGATTTAGGTGCCGCCGTGTCGATTCTTTGATTGATTTTGGGTAGACCCTTTAGTATCAGGTTTGGAATATGACAGCCGTTCATGTAAAGTTATTGTGTGTGGTGCCATGTCGGCTTTTGGCTTTAAGTTTCACGCGCCCACCGATCCGAGAGCAAAGCGAGCGATTCCACCCATGAAGTGTCCGTGGGAGTTCTTGCTGGATTGAATTCTGACGAAGTCTTGCCCGGCTTACCCTTCCAGTTTCTACAAAGAAAAACTCTAGGGGTTGATTCCCCTTTATTTTCAACCATTGTTTTTTCAAAAACCGGCTGTTTCCCCGGGTTTTTGGTTTCCTGAAAAGAAGGATCCCTGGAAAGAATGGGGAAGGCACCCCTAGAAAAATGAAATGTGTGAAGATCATTCAGGTGCGAGGCTCAGCTCAAGTGAGTGTCCAACTTGGGACAGGGAGTCTGGGTGACTGTCCTCTTGCTGCTCTTCTTGTTCTTTGCATTCTTCTTGCTTCTTGCTGCTGCTTCTTCTTGCTGCTGCTGTCTTGAAGAGTCCTTTCCTCAGCTTCGCTCTGATGGTTTGGAGCCCAGTGGTTGGGTGGTGGGTTTTCCATTTACCCGGTAAACAAGAACCAAAAGTTCGAGTCCAAATCCAAACCAAGAGAGACCTGACTTCCCACTTAGATGGGTTCCACTGGTTTAGATTAGTCTTATGACCCATGGTTTGGGGATGAACACCACCGAAACACCGGGCTTCCACCCACCTTTCTCAGGCGCGGCTGACCTTTCCGCCAATTTATCTGGTGACGCTCGGGCTTGATGCCGCATTCACCATGCCCGCAAAATGATGGGGGGGTCGTTTCCCTTTAAACCAACACGCAAAAGGAGAGTAGCTTCCAAAAACAGCGACCGACCTATGCTAGGACCAATTGATTTGGTGAGGCTACCTGGGGTTTGATCAGCCCACTTCCCCGGGAACCCATCCAATTCTAGCCAAACGCCGAGCGACCGAGCGGGACCAATTTTCTGGTGAGGTTACCTGCTGGAACCCGTTTCTTCCTTTTCTTTCGGGAAACCCATCTAGCCAAAAGCAACAAGCGACCACCTATGCTAGGACCAATTTATGTGGTGAGGCTATCCACTGGCGTTTGATCAGCCCCATTTTCCGCGGGGAACCCATCTAATGTTAACCCCTGATTAATAAACCCCTGGTTGATTAATAGGGGGTGTCCCCCTTTAGTGGGGATTCAGACCACTTTTTGAAAAGAACACCCCCCTAATAATGGGACGGGTTTATTCATCCTGGGTCAACAGAAGACGGGTTTATGAATCCTGCTTTTTGTTTTTTTAACCTGGGACGGGTTTATTGATCCTAGGAACCCATCGATTTCTCGCCGAAAAACACCAAAAGCCACAAGCGAGCGAGGACCATCGTCAGCATGCTGAACCTCTCAGAGACGCTCTGGGCCTCCGCCCTGGAGAGCCACACCGCAGAGGTCTTGGACTGCTGCCGCAGGCAGCTCCAGCGCTGCAGGCTGCTCCGGACGTCGAAAAGGGTCAGCCTCAGTTCTTGGCAGGGCTTGCAACCGTTTGTCCGTTGTTTTGTTTTGTGTTTGTTTCTTCTGTTTTGCAACAAATGTGTTTTGGTTCCCTTCTGGTCCTGATCATTTTTAGTGGGGGCGGCAAAAGAGCACGATTTTTGCCGACATACCGTTTGGGTTGGACATTAGCCCCGTACTCCAAATGCCAGTTTTTGTTTAGGGCGTAGTTTGAAGAAACATGAACATCGGGAACTTGAGACAATTGGAACCCAGATTACTGATTACTCTTTTGGGAGTTGCGGACCCCACTCTAGCAGCCTGATTCATCCGGGTCGGCATTCTCTTCAAGTCATCTAAGCAAGGGGTGCTCATGGGCACAGGTCTGGGCAAGAACTTGAACCACGTGTCCCACATTGGGTGAGTGACTAAGTGTCGTTACTGCAAGAGTTTCCTTGTCACCCACTTCCGGAAATGCAGGAAGATGATCCAGATGCCCACTAACATAGCACCTGTTGGAGGGCACCTGGATCAATTTGCTCCAGGGACCCTCTGTGAGGTGCCATGCTACTTGGAGGGAGGGTAACCTGCAAGCCTCTAAGACGAGGTTTACGAAAGGCAGCCCCACTTGGATCCACCTCGGAGAGAACTGTTCATTGGTTAAAGGAATCACTTCCTTGGGTCGGTTGCCCATGTGGAAATGCCTCTGAATATAGTCCATCAGATTCATCCGAAGTCAACATTACGCCGGCCCAAACCATGAGCGGGGATTTTTCGTGTTCTTTGTTTGGCCGTGCTTCCCTTCAAAAATTCCCCCAAAGCAGTTCTGCTCATCGGGATTTGTACGCCCCTATAGGCACTCTTTCTTGCGGGCTTAACAACTTAACAGAGGCTGCTCCCCTGTTGAATGTTACAACACCTGCGTGATCCCGACCCAGATTAATCGCCGGATTAATAGGGGGGCGTTTGCCTCAACAAGTGCAGAATGTCTTCTTCAACGTCACCGCTTCATCAACCATGTGTGTGTATTAATCCTGGGTTTCCTTGATTCGGAAAATGCCATTGCATGTGCACTTTTTGCTATGCTAAGGCAATCTGCCTTTGTAAGTGTTGGTTTCCCACCCACCAGTTGCCATCGTAGGTGCCCCCGTGAAAAGGCATCACGCAAAACATGGAGGAAAGATTACCTAGATCTAGTCAGCAGACCCACTCAGAGGTTCCACCAAGCGGGTTCGAGAAGGCTAGCACCAAAGCACAATCATACGCGTCGCGTCCAATCAGAGAACAAACGCATTTGCTAGAACCCAAGTGTCACCCAATGTGGTGAAACGCCGGGACATGCCGGGTTTGTCGACAAAATGTGTAAGACCCACCTGCATGGCCAATTCTTTGGGAAAGCAGCATGAGGTTTGACAGAGCCGATTCCCGCGCGTGCGTGTCGTTTGCCGCGGTCTCGCAGGGAGTCCCCGAACTTGCGGGGCCAGGCGGCCAAAGAGTCTGGGCCCTCGGACAGAACGACTGGGGTGTTTGGTGTTTGAAAAAGGTCGCGTCAAACGAGAAGAAGTCGAAGTTTCTGGTTCAAGCCCAAGTTTCCAACTGTCCCTTCCCTTTCTTCCTGTGGAACTCGTGTGTTTTAGTTGTCCGTTTTTTTGGCACGAGTTGAGGCAAGGGTCCCAAGTTACATGCCTCGCGTTCGGATGATGGGTACGTCAAAGCAACACTCGTCTACAAGTTCGGGGAGTTCCTGTCTCACAACATGTTGTTGTTTCTAGGTTCACAACATATGTTACGAGAATCCCCCAATGTGATGGTTGGTGTAGGTGCCAAGATCCCTTCAAGGCATTGACGGCTTGAGGCAAATGGAGTTCTCAGGTTCGATAGCTGGCAAGACGATGAGTCAGGGTACGGGTCGGGTCGGGCCGGTTTGGTGTCAGTTTAAGTCTTAGTTTCAACTTGAAACGACAGCTTGTCAAACGGTCCGACTTGGCTTTGGTTTCGCACACCAAACACCAGCTGTAGAATCGATATGGTTTACATGCGGGGCACCGCTCTGCAGCCCTTGGTACCCGAATTCATCAAAGCAGGTCCCCGGAAACACCAATGCCCGGATTTTCCGCCAGCATCGATCTCCCAACGCTCAGACCAAGAAGTTGAGGCCGCGTGGGCCGCACAATGCGCATTTTTCCTGGTTGGATCACCTCTGGCACTTGGTGTGGGAGGAACCCGGAGCCCTCAAGCCGGTGGCTTCCCTGCCGCTTTCCGGTTTCCCTTTAACAGCAACCCATCTGGGAAGGGGCCCTGACTTCGGCCTTTGGCCATCCCTGATCTCATTGCTTGACAAAAAAACCTGCAAAGGCCAGTCGAAACCTCGTCTTGAGGATTCCCTTGGCTCGATATCTTCATCTTCAGGTCATTTCCAGCACCCCAACAACTGCGTGTTCAACCAAGTCAAAAAAAAGGAAGTTTGTACTGCCCAAGAACACTTTGGTGCATCTTGCTTGGATGTTCGGATTTCCCCAGGAAAAAAACCACTAACGGTTCAACACTTTGAGCCGGGCTCCGCAGATTTCGCCGAGAAAAGCAGCGGCTGGGCCCCGGCTCGCTGGGCTCAGCCCTCGAGGTCGGAGGAGCGGAGCTCCGAAGGCCCGGCCATCCGGGGCCTCTACCAGACCAAGCGAGGCCGGGGAAAAGATCGCTGGACCGGCGGACAGTTCCGCGGGGTTTGGTTGACCCCATGTGGCTGCGGGTCACCAATGCGATTGGTGAATTCACCACCCATTCTAGAACCGATTTCATTGGGGATTGGGATGTTCACTGGGGGTACGGGAGGTTATTACTAGGGGGGTGTTCCCTTCCACCATATTACTCAACTCCTGTTTATTAGTAGGGGGGGTGGTGATTAATCACCATGTGGCGGTGGTTGTCAAAAATAGGGTAACCCCAAAATGGAACCATGGTAATGGAAACATGGGCTAAAACCTGCGGTCCCCTGGTGGTTTAATTTTGACCCATACCCATATTAAGTTGGGGAACACGCCTCGCTTTTTTCAGCAGGAGTTTATTCATAGATTCATATGGGATCAACGTGAATCAGAAACTTACTCCCCGATTTCCTAGACTTTCAGCTTTTTGGGTTTGGTTGCCATTTTGGTGGCAAACAAACGGTTTGGACTTTTTGTTGGCGCATCAACTCAGGAAGTGAGGAACGAGAACATGGTAGAGCCCAGAGTAGCATCATACAGAAGCTATGGGAAAAGCAGACTGGCCACCCACTGCTGCAACTGGAAGCCCTGGCTGGTGTTGGCCCTTGAGGATAAAAGAAGAGACGCTCGGATTGCGAAAGCACGCAAGGCCTCCAAGATACCCGGAAATTACGATTCGGTGCTTGAGTTTATATGTGGTTGGTTATGTTTGGCGTTTGGCCCCAGATCTAGCGAGGGTGGGGTTAAATCACCTTTCAACCTTGATTTTGTTCCCATTTTGATCCATGTTCAATCATCAAGGACTTGATTTTCAGGTTCTTTGGGCAAGTGAGGTATTGTATTGTTTGCCTGTCCCTTAGTTGGGTTTGGTCGAGGGGGTCGGAGGGTCGACCCACGTCAACTGGAAAATTGGGGTGAGGGAAGGGCCTCTAAACCGGTTCGTCTTTTTGAGGGAACCCTTTTCTTGTTTTAAGGGACAGGAGAACCATAGGAAAACCACAAGGAACACCATTTTGGGGGGTCCCCCAAAAAACACACACGCCCAAATGGTGCTTTGAAGGGACAACTACAAGGAAAGCCATCGGAAAACCACCAGGAACGCCACCATTTTGGGAAATCCCCCAAGAAAACACACCGCTTTGAAGGGACAACTACTCCCGATTCTGTCGATTTCCAATTGGTGAGGACCCTTCGACTCGGGAAAACGCCCTCACCCGCCCTCGCACCCGCCTTCAGGCACCTGGGAAGTGAGCCCGGGCCCTCTGCTTGCTCGAGGTGTTTTTCGGCTGAAGTTTTGGTTTTCCGACTGATGGCGAAATCAATTTGCTGAAATGTCCCCTGCCTTTTTTTCCCCTTTTTTTTCGCACCACCGAGGTGAGTCACCGTGGTTGACACCATAATGTTTGTTGCGTGATTTAGGTTGGGGAATCGAATCCTTCGGTTTCTTAGGTGGTGCAAGACTTGTTGTCCATTTCCAGCGATCCGTCTTTCCCGAAACCCATGAATTGCTCCGGGAAAATGGATGGTTATTGAAAAGAAGCATTGAACAGAACGGGGAATCAGTAGGCAAGGGGAATCGCCCATTGCCCAAAGGGGAGATGTCGGATTGTGGGATCCAAGGTGTTTGAATCACCCTGGACCGGAGAAATGCCAGAAGTATGCCTGGCAAAAGTCAACATGTGATTACCAGCCCCCCCAACAAACATGGAACATGAATGTTCAGGGGAAGAGTTTCCTCTTCAAGGAGCCGTTTTCAGGTTCCACGTTGGTTTTTGGGAAGGGGTTTTCTTGAGTATTGCACGCAGACAGGGCAATTCCATAATCGCATGACTTACCATGGTTTTTGGGTCAGGTGATTTTGCTATCGATTTCGAGCATCGATTTGTCATTTGGGTGGTTCCCAGCCATCCCCTTAGCTTTGTCGCCTTTTAGTGTTTAGTGGTAGTTTCCATTTAACCCACTAAAAGTTAAACTTTTAGCGGGGGATCTGAGGGCAGCCCAGTCATGGTTTTCTGGTGCGGGTGGACAACACCTGCATCATAGCAGGGGACAAATCCATGCCATGGGTCAAAATCCCGTGCCCCCAGTGAACCCAATCCCCGCTAAAATAGGTTCTAAAATGGGTGGTGAATTCACCTACCAACCCAAATGGGATGCCATCTGGCTGTGGGCCAAAACCGTGTTGGGATCCCATTTTGGTTGGTAGGTGACTTCACCACCCATTTTAGACCCTATTTTAGTGGTTGGATTGGGATGTTCACCACAAGTACGATTTGGATTTTGACCACCACAGCCATCTGAGTGAACTTGAGGCCTGTCCATCCAGCGGGTGCAGTGCGCCATCTTCAACGTGGCGGATATCGCCCGGGCCCACGACTGGCACATCGCCCTCGCCGGAGCCCCCAGCGGCAGCGCGCGGAGGTCCTGAACTCCTGAAGTCTGCCCCCCCCGCCCCCGGATTCTGCTGGCCTGACCCCCCCAAAACAAACGGCACCCCACCCCCCCCCCACCCAGATTTTGTAGTTGAATGGCGTCCTGCAAGCATATGGTTTAGGCTTTTTGGCTTTTTGGACCAACACTTGGTGGCTCCCAGCCATCTTAGCCTTTAGTTTCCAGTTAACCTTAGCCATCCCCTTAGCCTTAGCATTGTGTAGTTGAATGGCTTCCTTCAAGTAGCTTTTTTGGCATGCGGTTGAGGCTTTTTGGCCTTTTGGACGGACCTTTGGGGCCGCCATGATGATCTTTAATCATATATGCTTGTTGCAGATGTGGGCGACCTGTGTATGACTCTTGGCCGGACCCCAAAGAAAAGCAAACGGCCAAAGAGGTTGGCTAGGGGCAGCACCTTTGGCCATCCAAGTTGAACCCTGAGAAGTGCAAAGCTCTGAGTGTGTCTGGGACAACCCTGAGATGAGCCTTGGGTTCCATGTGGTTGCACTACGAAAGGGTACCAACTCCAAAAAGACACCCGACTTTGCTTTAAAGGTGGGAGGGCCATTTACAGAATTTGAACATGAGTCTCATTCGCATCTCTGAGAGGTCCACCCCCCCCCTCCCCAGACTCAGCGCCACAGTCTTGCAGTGTATCATCCCAATTTCGCAAGAAGACCAACCAGATCCAATATCCCCCTGGTACATTGCAGAGCAATTCCTGTCACTGCAGTACTTCCGGCCTTTTTCTGAATCCAGGCATCCTTTCTTTCGGGGAGGTGCAAATTATTTTTCGCAGCCAAACCCTCTGTCGGCCGTGAACAAAGCAGTCCCTCGAGATGGTGATCTCATGCTTCTAGGCTCGATGCGGTAAACCGGGGGAGGTTCTCGCACGCCTTACTGCAAGTTAGTGAATGGTGCATAAGTGCATCATATGGTTTCCTGTAAAGAACTGGTACCAATAGTGATTGAAGGGGCAACGGGAGGGCGAAAACAAAGTCTTTCAGGGGTAAGCATTCAAATCTGGCTTCATCCGTCCCAACTTGTGTGAAGTTCCGGGATGGTTTCCATTGCTCCCAAACCACCCCCAGAAAATTGAATGGGAGATACAACCGCTGTCCAGCCACTACGTGGGTTTGGGGGCGGCGGAGACCATCTGGGAGAAGCGGACGTGGTGCATCAGTCAAGTCTACCTTCTGACCCCTTTTTTGTGAGCTTTTGCTGCAGGTGGAGCTCCGACAGAAGGCCAGGGTGGGGAGAAGGAGTGGTTGTTGGTGGGAAGTTGTTTTCTTTGCCAGGAATAGCTCAAGTGTTTGCCTTGGTTGGTTTTCCTTCAGTTTCCCTTTTGACCAGCAAGCTAACTTTTTGCGGGCCCAATCTGGCACAGGCTGGGCAGGTTCCATGCAAAGCTAGTTCGCTCGAGAGCTTGGCGAACGAAAGGCTGCCAAGTCGGAGAGGGTCCCTTGATTTCCTCACGACACCCTTCTGCAGGTCGCTCTCAATCAGGCCCCAAAAGTGGGTTGAATGCTTGGGTCCCCTTTAAGCACTCTCACAACCCGGACATTGCACACATTCCCAGCATTTACATACTTTACCCACATTTACCCACCAAATAAATCAGATCTTTGGCATATGTCACCTGGCCCCTCAAACTACCCTTAAAATTGCGCCATAGGGAAATGAGCTCCCATTGTTGCACGGGAATTTGGGAGGGGTTCGGGATGGCTTGGGCGGCTCTCCCTTCGCGCCAGACATGGCTCTCCGGTCAGGTTGCGGAGAAGATTCAGTCCGGGGAGGGCGACAGAGAAGCCTTCCGGGCCGGGAGCCCGAGCGAACCCGACGGCGGAGTGCTGGGGGTTGGTGTGGTGCTCGTCCTGGTCGGTTTTTTCGGGAAGTGGGAAGGCGTGGGGGGGGGGAAGGTTCGCCAGATGTTTGGTTTGGGTAACTGTCAGTGATTCGAAGCTTTCTTCTTGAGAGAGGTGTCCTGTCCTCCTTGAAACTAAGGTGTCTAAAAGTTTACAGCTCAGTTTAGTCATTCCGAGTACGCGATCATGTGAGGAACCCGGGTGCTTTCGACAAGTTTGCTGGGCATCTGGTGGGCTCCATGTGGATGCCAATCCTTGAAGATCGAATGCTCGCCTGGGGTTTTGTGACCGCATAGCCGGCAAGTCGTGGTACATCCCACTTGAGACTTAAGTGACCGGCGAGTTCCTCAAAATGGGCCCCCTTCATTTTGGTAAAGGCAAACTGAAAGGACACCAATCATTTTTTTTCTAAAATGCCGCCCTTTGAGAGCCACGTGCAGAATTTTCTGGTTTTTCCAGCAGATCAGGCCTCAAGGCACGAGCAAGGCAAACCACTTGCTGGTTCGCAGCAGGGAATGAGGGAATGACCCACCTTTTTTACCCCGCTCCTTGTGTCCTTGGGGGTCCCAAACAGTTCATTCCCAAACCCAAAGAGAACGATTCCCTGACAGCCACCTGTGGGATTCAATTTCTTTCAGCTACTCCCTATCGAACGAGCACTTCCACCGCTTGATGTCGTCCAAGCTCTTCTCAGCAGCCCCAAGCAGCCCTAACGATTCCCGATAGAACAAAATACATTTGCCTGGTGGTCAATCATCTACCAATCGAACCCGACTTTCCAAATCCAGCTCCCCATCTTCAGCTATCGATGCCGGATTGTTCCAAAGGCTTTGGGCTTCAAGGAAACGATTTTGGGGCTGTCTTCTTTTGGAGGTACCTCCTTTTTGGTGACTGTTTTCTTAGCCGAAAAGAACACCCCATCATCCTTGGTGACTTTAAAATCGAATCCAAAAGGAAACCACCATCACCTCGGGGGGGCTCCAACCTCAAAAACTCCGACTTTTGGCAGGGCCCAAGTGAAAACGGACAGCTCCGAGAATGCTTCAAGGCCACGTTTTTTCCTGGAATTTGACCCCAGTGATCGCCTCTCCGGCGCCTCTCCGCGGCTGAGAGTTTCCTTCAGGTGAACCATGGCAACAACTCTTTTTTCAGGTCGGAAAGACAGACACCCCAAAGGCCCCTTTGTTATGGCCCCTTATGGCCCCTTTGTGTTTGACCCCTTTCTGGACATTTGAGCCCTTTGTTCTGGCAGATCCAGTGCCCCTGCCTGTGTTTCCTCAGGACGCGGTGCAGGAGGCCTACGAGGCGGACCCCGAGCTGCGGCTGGTGCTGAGCTTCCGTGTCGCCATCCGGGAGCCGATCCGCGGCACCGGCCTGGCGGCCGCGGGCCCAGCGGTCGCGAGAGGGAGCGAGCGAGGGAGCGTGGCAGAGGCGGAAGGCGCCGGTCCAAGGGAGAGGTGAAAGGAGTGGCATCATGTGTTTGTTTTTTCCCTTTCCTGTTTTTTTAGGTACTTGTTTATATATATATATATATATGTATTATATATATATATATATGCGGCTTGCCAAGTGCACTGAGGGCGCTGCGCAAGTCCAAATGAATCGGACTCATCAGGTTCCCAGAGCGGAACCTTTGTGTTAACTAGCAGGAAGATCCGGCGATGCGCGAACTCATCGGCGAGTCATCGGCGGGGGTTGGCAGCTAGATCCTTTACCCGAACTGCTTCTCCAGGATGCGCTATGCAGCATCTCATTTTGGGAGGTCCCCCTCGGATGAGGTGTCTATCGTTCCATGAGGTCTCGTCAGACAGAAACCCTTAATTGGTAACCGCGGAGATTGCATGCCTTATATTATACTTTCAAACAGCGTTTCCACGACCCTCAACCCGCGCTACCTGATATTTACATGTATATTCATGTCTAGACATATATATATATATATATACAGTTTCGATCTGTATACGTGTGCAGTTGATTGTTATCCCCCACCCCCCAATATTCCTATTGCACATATACCAGTTGATGTATGCAGATATACACATATGGCCAGCCCCTCTATCGCTTCGGACATGGAGCCGAGTGACTTGTGAGGCCAAGAAGGTCATCAGCGGGCCATTCACCTTGCGCCTGGAGTCCGCCGTTGGCCCAGTTCGCGGGTTTACCGAAGGAGCCCCATCGGGGACTCTTGGGTGGGGGCTGAGTGGGGGCCCTACCTCCAAACCTTGTAAGCCTTCGAGGTGCGGTTAAGGGAGTGGCATGCTGATATGGACTCAATCATTACACGTCGTGTACTTCACTGCAACTGCATATTCACAAAATTCCAAGTAGACATACGAAAATATATAATGCAGATGTATAGACATGTGTATGTATCAGAACAACAGTGGTTACCTGAACAACTTGGCGGGCCTTGGACCTCACACCAAAAGTGATGTCTCGGCTTCCGGACGGTTTTAAGATCCACGCCGACGGGCACCAGACGGATGAATCCCGATTAGAATTCTGGTTTTGCTACACCGCCAATCCCAAGATCCGGTCTGCGTGGATTTTGTGAACATCCATGGAGATACATGGGTGTGCTGCTTCTGTGTTTGTGTGTGCTGCTTCTGTGTGTGTGTGGGTTGTATGATTTGCCCTTTTCATGGGTGGTTTTCAAGGAGCACCAAAAGGAAAACCATGGACAACCGAAGCCATTTGGGGGGGGGGGGACTGGACGTGAAGTGGTGGTCGAAGGCCCTGCAGCTGCGGAACCGCGTGCAGCAACTGCGGCACATGGGCGGCTCGCGCGGGACCCGGACGTGGACTTCTTGGCGGGTGGGCGAAAGGACGAGACATCTAGTGCTACCTTCTTGGGTTTTAGGTTACAACCCACTAATCTAGTGCAGCCTTCCATTTCCATTCTTTCCAGGGATCCGAATCTTTCTAGAAAACCTCCGGAAATGCAGGGAAACGGATCCGGTTTTTGAAAAGAAGGATGGTTGAAAAGCATGGGGAATCAACCCTTAGAACAGTATCAACTTTTGCGAACATGTTCGGAAAGAAATGGCCTTTGGATGCTTGACCTGGGGTTTTAACCAGGCGTTTTGGAGGTCTCTCCTTTAGGAAGTATTGATGGCTCGGCAGGGGTGCCATTCTTTGCAGCGAACAGGGCTGCTCCGGACCTGGAAACAATGATCCGGACCAAGCTGCGGGTAGAAGATTGTGGATATTAGCGCCTTTGCTTCCCCTTTTTCTAACTAATGTTTTCCCCTCGCGATTGGGTCAAATGGAAGCAACCCCGATAAGGGCCTTTTTTGCACACTGGCGTCCTAAATCGGCGACCTCATTTTGGATGGTCGAAATTGCAATCAATCGGGAGCCACACCTTTGTGGTGGTTCTGTATTTGGCTTTGTCTCAAAAAGGCGGAACTGCCGAGACGGTGTGTGTGTGTGTGTGTGTGTTTCCTTTGGTTTTCCTTTACAACCAAAAAGAGGTACCCCCCAAAATGGTGTGTTTTCCTTTGGTGTCCATTCAAGCTAACCCGAAACAGGTTGCCTCAAACAAGACCCCCCCCCCAAATTTGCCAGTGACCAGCCACGCAGCTTTCAAGCTCCAAGGCCGCAGGAGATCGACAAGGAGATCCGGGACGCCAAGACCTACGAGAAGAAGCCGTGCCGGCGCCCTTTTTTTTCTCCATTGTACAAGACGTGGTCTGGGAAAGCTGCCCTCCCCGGGTTGGTTGGTTGGATGGTTGGATGGTTGGATGGATGGTTGGATGGTTGGATGGATGGTTGGATGGTTGGATGGTTGGATGGATGGTTGGATGGTTGGATGGATGGTTGGATGGTTGGATGGTTGGATGGATGGTTGGATGGTTGGATGGTTGGATGGATGGTTGGATGGTTGGATGGATGGTTGGATGGTTGGATGGTTGGATGGATGGTTGGATGGTTGGATGGTTGGATGGATGGTTGGATGGTTGGATGGATGGTTGGATGGTTGGATGGTTGGATGGATGGTTGGATGGTTGGATGGATGGTTGGATGGTTGGATGGTTTGGATGGTTGGATGGTTGGATGGTTGGATGGTTTGGATGGTTGGATGGTTGGATGGTTGGATGGTTGGATGGATGGTTGGATGGTTGGATGGTTGGATGGTTGGATGGTTGGATGGGATGGTTGGATGGTTGGATGGTTGGATGGCTGGATGGGATGGATGGGATGATGGGATGGGATGGATGGTTGGATGGTTGGATGGTTGGTTGGTTGGTTGGTTGGTTGGATGGATGGTTGGATGGTTGGATGGTTGGATGGTTGGATGGTTGGATGGATGGATGGTTGGATGGTTGGATGGTTGGATGGTTGGATGGTTGGATGGTTGGATGGTGGATGGTTGGATGGTTGGATGGTTGGATGGTTGGTTGGATGGTTGGATGGTTGGATGGGTTGGATGGTTGGATGGTTGGATGGTTGGATGGTTGGATGGTTGGATGGTTGGATGGATGGTTGGATGGTTGGATGGTTGGATGGATGGTTGGATGGTTGGATGGTTGGATGGATGGATGGATGGTTTGGTGGATGGTTGGATGGATGGTTGGATGGGTTGGATGGTTGGATGGATGGTTGGATGGTTGGATGGATGGTTGGATGGTTGGATGGTTGGATGGATGGTTGGATGGTTGGATGGATGGTTGGATGGTTGGATGGTTGGATGGTTGGATGGTTGGTTGGTTGGTTGGTTGGTGGGTTGGTTCCCCCAAATGTTCACCTCTTGAGATTGCTGTGAGAGGAGCCCCACCCGGAGAGGCGTGAGCCCTTTAGAGGCTCATTCGCCGGGAGTCCGAGCTTTTGCGCGTGGCAGGCAGAGGGACCTGCACAAGGCAAGACAGGCGCCTGGCCGGAAGCTCATCTGGGGCTTTGTCTCCAACGTTTTGTTCCAGGAAAACTGATCCCCCGCCCCAAAGCAAAAAGAAGGAAATGAGAAAACACGCCGTGACCGCCCCAATGCAAAAAGAAGGAAAAGAAAACGGACCGTGGCTTCACAAGACATCCACACTCTAAACAAGGCAACCTGTCGCCTGTTGACCGTTTTGTTGGTCTGGCTGGGGTTCGCTTCGGACGGGCCTGTTGACAAAATGCACATGGGGCCAGTCCCAGTATTCATGGGTTTCACCCATCCCAGCTCGCGCGAAGTGGATTTAAATATTTTTTAAGGCTCTACATCTGGCTTGGACGACACTCCCACATGGTTGGACATAAAATCACAAGGGTCTTCCACCCAACAACTCCAAATGGTTTGAATTTGTCATCCGTTCCCAAAACGGAAGTCACCGGTTTGTGGGAACGCCTGAAATGGGTCGTTTCCTTTTGGCTTCTCCAGGTGAGATGAACGGGTGGCTGCCAAATCTCGGCGTGCGAGGGAGCTTCAACGGGTGGCCGTCTTAAAAGCCCAACTAGGTCCCCCAGTAAACGCTTTTACCCTTTTTGGGGGGAGGGTTCCCCTACTAAAATAGACTACAGAAAAAAGGTACCCTTAGTCCAGCCTGGAGGACCCTTTGATACACAAAAAAGTGCTCCAGACAGCTTTTGGCATTCGAGCGTTTTTTTCTGCTCAAATCCAATTCGAGCACTTTTTGAGGTTGCCTAGATGCTTGGTGAAGTGCTCGAGAGAAAACGAACCCGCAACTCGAGCGCAATTTCCCGCTACTCGGGCGCAATTTTCCGCAACTCGGGTGCAATTCCAAAAAGTGTGCAAAGCCAAAGCTCCGCCCCGCAATCTGTGCGTTTGCATGTGTTTCCATTTGCCGTTCCTCGCGCACTTATTTGCTACGAAAGCTCGAGCAAGCATTTGTGTATCAATGGGTCCTGCAGGAGAGTTTTTTTTCTTCTCTCAACTGCGACAGCGGGGCCCGGGGTCAAGCCGCGGGATTTACGGCTTAGGCTAGGCCGGTGCCAGGGCCAGTCAGGCTTGAGGTTAGGGGACATGGGTGCTTGCTTCACCATGTCCGTTCATCTTCGTACCCAGCACAGCAGCCCACCAGAAGGATCCTTTGTCTTCCAGATGGATAAATTATTGGCTTGGCTCTGAAGCTTCTTCTTTTTTGTGAGGGCCCCTTTTTTAGGCTGGCTTAAAGGGACTCCAAGGGCAAAACCACAAGTTCCGCCCCCTCCCACACATTTTGAGGGTGCTATATATTTGTTGTTGATTTCCGGCTGGATTGTGTTTGTTTTCCCGCCACCCGGCAAGCAAGCAAGGAAGGAAGCAAGCAAGCAAGCAAGCAAGCAAGCAAGCACCCAAAACCCACCCCAAAATCCACCAACCCGATCGCACTTGAACCCTCCAGAAAACCCACCCACCCACCCACGGCACCCCGAACCCAACCTAAACCCACCTACATTAGCCCACCCTAAACCAATCAAAACTGACATTTAAAGAAAGGTCACCCTAAACCAACCCTAAACCAAGCCAAACCCACCTTAACCCACCAAATTCCGCCTACACGCACCCTGAGCACACCCTAAGCACACACGAAACCCGCCCTAAACCAACCCCAACCAACCCCCGGACAAGAATTCGAGTGGTGTTTTTCCAGGGCGTTTTTTTTGGATCGCTAAAAAAGAGGAAACAGGTCCCGTATTTTCAGACAAGTCCATTCATCCAGCCTCTCGAGCCGCAGGCCGCGATGCTGCAGGAGGTGTCTTCCGCGCTGGACCAAATCCGGCGCGAGGCTCGCGACGTGGGGTACAACGCCCTTGTTGGGATTAGTTCACACGCAAACCAACAGGACAATAGTCGGATCTCCCTATGTTTAGACAATCACAATATTTGTTGGTTGGAATGCGGAACCATGTCCACCACACAGTGCCCGATGAAGCCCACGAGTTCCCAGCCGGGAGGTGGTGTTTTTCAAATCCAGAAGTTCGCGCCGTGCCCATTCCCCGGAAGCTCCCAGTTCACAATGGGAGATCAAACCAAGAGCTGTTATCCTGGCCACATTTTTCAACCTGGCGGCTGTGACAGATGGCAGCGGTCGCGCAGGTCTGGTTTTGATCTTTGGCTCCATGTTTCCTTCTGGTTGGGGAAGTGCCTGGGACATGCTTTATGTTTTGAGGCGCCTGGTAAAAATGTCCTGTGTCTGACATGGGCACCTGACGCCAACTGAAGCTGGCAGACTCAAGACAGCGCACGCCAGGAGATGCGCAGGAAGCAGGTGCCGTGCCCCCGGCGTGCTTGGGGCCAGCTCGCGACGCTGGCGGAGTGGGTGCAAATTCGCCCCAGGGATGGCGGTGCATCGTAGACAAGAACCTAGCTTCTTGGTTCCAATGTCTAATCTATATATTATAGATACTTGATTCTCTTGCGAGTATTCTCTGAGGGAAGGAACACAGAACCCAAGACATTTTTTGTAGACTACACTCTAGTTTTCCAGGTTTCCAGCGGTGGTGGCTGCAGGATCGACTTCACTCAGTGACCTTCTTGTTGGGCAGCTCGCAGGGGTTCATTCTGGGTTCCTTGAGAGCCATTCTAGGTGGCAAAACAAAGCCCAAACATTATGTTTCCCACTACACTGACCAGTAAAGCCCCTTGACAGGTTAGATTTTTGTCCACCGGCTGAGCTCACGCCAGGCCCCCCTTGGCGCTGCCGGCGCCGCCGCCAGCGCCAGAGGTGGAGGGGCCGCAGGCGCCGCAGGTGCCAGCCGCAGAGCGGAAAGCGCCGCCAGCGCCGCAGGAGGCGGGGCCGCTTGGCCGCTGGTTTCACTTTGTCTTACCCAGAGGCTATGCCACTGTTGAAACCCCACGTTCCGGGGACAATCCTATAATAGGTCCCCCAGTAGTGCCCCTTCTCACCCCTTTTTTGGTTGCGAGGGTTCCCCTATTTAAAGATAGACTACGGAAAAGAGTTGGTACCGTTATTCTAACCTCTCTACCCACAACCTCCAATTCGATGTTTTTGGGGCCCTCAAACAAACACCGAAGCGGGGTGTCTAATGGAGGGTCTTCCCTTAAGCCCCACCATCCTCTGAGAAAGGTAAACGGTCGGCTTGTATGGAAGACCCAAGGTTTTCGATTCTAGACCCCACACCAAATTGTTTGAAGGCTCCGGCCCCTAAAGATTCTATCCGTCAGGATCCTTGGCGTTCCCTTTTTTCAGCCTGCAGAGAAACATGGCGTCCAAAACACAACCATCTTTGCAGCAGGGTCTCTTCATATGGTTTGGGGGACCCTTTGTATGGCTTCAGTCAATTTGCATCAAAGGCTGAATGTATGAACCTGTGAACCATTGCTATGAACCCCTGATGGGTTTGCCAATTATCCGTCACTTCTACATGACTACGGTAATTCCACAGAGCCGACAGACAAATGCATACGGGGCGCTAAGTTCGGCTGGCGATGTGGGAAATTGGCCCCCTTTTTGCCAACTTGACATGCTGTGGATGGACAGAATCCTGCGCTTGGGACGTGTCTATTCCCAGTCTGCCATTTCACACCACGGCATCCAGTTCACTCCGTCCAGCCCCCAACGAGTTCCAGTCCAACTAGGTCCCCTGCCCTTTCTCACCCCTTGCTTGGGAGGGCCCCCCTACTAAAATAGACAAACAAGAAAAGTTGGTACCCGTGCAGTGCTGGCCCACGACCCCGTTTCACTGAAAAATAGTTGCCCTACAACTGGCATCTAACAGTCTTTTGAAGGTTTGCGAACTGGAGGACCTAGCAAACCTCTCCACCAGCCCATAGGGAGGAAGCTATGATTTTAGGCAGTGACCTCATTTCTAAAGGGTCATGGAGACTCCAGTACCCTTAAATATAACCTCTCAAATCTGGAGCCACAAACCTGTCCACCAGCCCGTGGGAGGAAACTCTGCGTTTCAGGAGCCCGAGACGCGCAGCGGGGACTACTCAGCCAGGGCCCCGGGCCTGGGCCAGGGAACGAGCCAGCAGGTCTCCCGCATCTGGGTTTGTCTCAAAATGCGCGGGGTTTGTTTTGGTTTCCTTTTGAAACACTCAAAAGGGGTATCCTCAACAAAAAGAGGAAAACAAAACATCTCCCTTGCAAAAATTGCCTCAAACTAATGACCAGCTTGCTGTTTGGATTCTCTTTTCAGCCCCGTAAAACCATCCGTTTTGAGGATCCCAGTTGGGGCCCGTAGGACGAGGATTTCTTTCCGCTGAGACGTCCATGGTGACCCAGGCACGCACACTCTCAGCACCCGAAGGCCACAGAGGCGTCCTAAACTGGGACCTCCCCAAGATTACTGCATGGTTTGGAGTGTCAGCGCCCTAGCCAATGGCTTGAGTTTGTCATTTGTTGTTCTGCTTTTTTCCTTCTCCGTCGGATGGCGTGTCGATCACAGGATGTCTCTACCCGACCCTGGAGAGCAATTCCTTCAACCTTAGGTGTTTGGGTGCCCCTTCAGAAAAGTCTGGGGCGACTAAACTAGGGGACCCCTTTTCGGATGGTAAAGGGAAACCAAAAGAAAACCATCGGCAGGGATTGGTCCCCATTTTTTGGGGAATCTGCAAAAGAACCGGGGTCCCGTCTTTTCTTTGCATGAAAAGCCCGCCGATGCCCAGCGACTCGCTTTGGCAAGTCCCAGGTGCCCATGAAGGGCTTTGCGAAGTCTGGGCCCGAATCCGCGAATCCGCGATTTCGGGAGGGCGCATGGTTTGGCGCATGGATCATACCCAGTGCACTTAAGTTCAAAAACATGTTTAGTTATGTTGAACCGGTTTTTTCTATGCCCTTAACCTGTTGGACAAGCATAATCTTGATCTTTGAAGGAACCCTGGTTTTCGGAAAAGGACTGCCGGAATTTCCAACAAGGTCCAATTCATGTGATCAAGCCCAAGTCTCCATTGGCCAGTTTAAACGTGTTTTGAAGATCCAGGCTTTCCACGAATAGGTGTTTTTTCAGTTTGGCTGTGACTTCAAGACAAAAGTGGGTATTTGGTGCAGGGGCTAGTTTTTAGTCGTAACTTGTGCAGATGGGTCTTTTTCCCTCAAGTAATGCTTCGGAAAGGCCGCATAGGTTGGCCACCCCACATCAGGAATACCCTTGTCTTTAACAAGTCCCTGAAGTGGATTGCACGCAAAGAAGTGTTGAGACGCCCTATGAATCAATCAGGGTTTACTGATCCATGCCATTGTTGACCACCCCCCCGGGTTACAAATATGCTATTTGGAATATGGGGCCTGTGCTGCTCAGAATTTATTGCACACGTGGCACTATTGAAGCGGATATTGGGTTCCAAGGAACCTGTGCTGTTTCCCTTCACTCAGGCCTTCTTTCGCTATCCAACGGCTTTCTTTGGGGTGAATCCAGCCACCCCAGCGTTTTCTCCCTCTCCATGCTGCATGCCGACTGCAGGTTCTTGTTGCGGAACACCTGAACATGTTGTGAACTGCAGTGACCCTTTCCTCCGAAACTTCTCGTCAAGTTTCTTCGCTAAACAGGTGACTCATCCGTTCCTGCTTAGTCCCGCCAGAGCATCATCAGACGCATGAGGCGACATGGCGCGGCATTGGCCATGCTGCTTACAATTTGCAACTTTTGAGCACCATGGGGGAAAACATGGCCATTTTGGTTGGTAGGTGCATTTTAGGACCTATTTTAGTGGGGATTGGGATGTTCACCGGGGGTACGATTTGGATCTTGACCCATGGCCATATGGGCCTTGACAGCTAAGCCGCTAGCAGCAACAACAGGTTGCTATCTTCGCATGCAAGCCGCATTTATGGGGGCTCAGACTCCAGCAAACCCAGAGGGGGTCTCAGGGAGGTCAGCCATGGGCCTGGGTTCGTCGAACTGCCGCTTTGTCCCGAAACCGGGGGTCTGGGGGGATTCGATCCGATCTGAGGTTCTGCCGCGGCATGTCCCTGTCGAAGCCGCAACGGGAGGAGTTGCTGAAGCGGGTGCAGGAGATCCCGATAAAGCGGTTGGAGGAATCCAATCCAAAATGGGAGTTGGCGCAATCCCCCAAAGGCCTGCCGTCGTTTTTTTTGACCAAGGTTTTTTTTTTGTTTTTTTGAAAAATGGGGGGGGGGGGTCCTTTACGTAGCATGGTTGGTTTCGCTCAAAAGGTGTCCCCTGAACTGAGGCCTTGTCAAGACCCTTGGAGAATCAGCGGAAGGGTGCTTCGGGTGCTAGGATCAAGTGAGGGCAGGGAACGTGAAAGGTGGTTGCTTTTCCTTTAACCCTTTAGGTTAAGGGATGTTCCCAACGGCACAATGTGTGCAAAATATAAATATGTAGGGTTGCTCCTCAGTCCTCAAAAGGACCAAACCACAAGGATAGAAAATTTGGTTTTTAGACCTGGTTTTTCCATTTCTCAACCAGCTTTCTACCTTGTGGAAGGGTGTTCAGAGCAACCCCGATAAGGGAACGCTGAAGGTGGTTGTTTTCCTTGTAACTATTTGGGTGAGGGGTCATTAGGTTTGTTACCTCTACTTCCACTTGCGAATATGCCTCCGGACAGAATGAGACATATGTCCAGTGTTGACAGATTTCCCTTAAAAAGGCAAGCTACTGAAAGGGCCGCTGGAAGCAACGGATATGGTGAGGCAATGTAAGCTCTAGTTGATGACCGTCCCAAGACATCATTTCAGGCCTTAGGGTCAAAGCTCCTTATGTTCAGGGTCTTGGGCTAGAGCAAGGTGGCAGCCATGGCACCCCCAACAACCTAAATACTTACTTTTTATGGCCTTTGCCCTCTGAGACTCACACTGAAAGTAAACGTAGAAGCCCTGAATGGAAAACAAGGATGACTGGCCACTCCGGTTTAGATGGTAGCGCCAAAACAGTCCGCCCCTGTTGGGGACGTCTCTTCTTTCGTGCCTGGGGCCCAGATTCCTTGGCTTTGAATCTAGGACGACACGGAGGTGCAGAATGCCATCCGCGAGGCCGCTTCGTGCAACCGGGGTTTCCGCCGCCGGTTGTGGGAGGGTCCATATCCAATTTTTGAGACCTATCGTTTCTCACTTCCTGAGTTCATGAACTTTGAAACTTTTTGGGAAGACCATTTTAGTGGTAAATATACAGTTGTTTTTTGGCCATCCACTCGGCTAGTGAGGTTTTTCTTATGAGCTTTGTAGGGAAGCCACGCGTGTCCTCCTTTTGTTTTCTGTGTCCGGTTTACCTGGGGCGTGGCTGATTTTGAGGGGTTTAGACGGGGTCCAGACAACCATGAAGGGAACCATGGCCCAGGTCAACCACGACCCCGGGGAAGACTTAGAATAAGGGTACCATCTTTTTTCTGTCGTCTATTTTAGTAGGGGAACCCTCCCAACAAAAAAAGAAATGGTAAAAGGGCACTACTGGGGGACCTAGTTGATTGTTGGACAAAGGACAAAGTCGGAGGGTATGTCGCTGGCGCAAGTCAGCTTAGTTCCTACAGTCTGGGGAATTGCCCTTGCACCTACAACTGGCAGACTGGCGAGTAAAATCATGGGCCAGTAAAATCAACCGGTTCCCACTGGTATCATTTTTTTTTGCAGAACCTATGACCAAAGTTTCATGGGGGTTGTTTCCAATTCTTCAAGCTAACTCTGAGGTGTGAGGGTGCCTTTGGTGAAACTTCTTGGGCTCCAGGGATCCAGCGCCTTGGGTTGCACCTTCCACCCATCCGGTGACCCGGTCCCATGGAGAATTCCAGCAGGCCATCGCCCGTCACTGCGGGAATCTGCGGGGCTCCAGGCAGAAGATGCTGGCCCGGGGCCTCGGACAGGAAGAAAGCTTGATTTGTGTATTTTTTGGGTGGGTGGGTGGGTGGGTGGGTGGGGTGGGTGGGGTGGGTGGGGGTGGGGGGGTGGGGTGGGTGGGGGTGGGTGGGTGGGGTGGGTGGGTGGGTGGGTGGGTGGGGTGGGTAGATTTGTTTTGGGGGGGAGTTCTGATTCTGTCCAGGGGGGCGGGGTTTTCTTTCGTCCATCTTTGAAAACCTCTGCCCGAAGGGAAGATGAGGTGAACGTGACAAGGATAGAAATTAAGACATATCGTGGTAAATCAACGTGTATCAAGCATGATGAACCATATGAACAATACGTATATCGTGGTAACAGCAACAGATATGATTCATGATCACACAATGGTGTAAGCAAATAATCATAATATGTTGTTGAGAAGCACGATTGCCTTGACGATGCCTCTGCTAAGTGAATCAACAACTTGAAGGTATGTGAGTATTTGGCAAAGGTATTCCAAGGATCATTCTCCGACATTTGCACATACCAACTTCCATAGCATTGCTTTGGGATGTATCCTCAGTTCTCAGTTGTGCACCCAACCCGACTTCGCAACCGTCAGCAAAGGGACAGTTCCTTGCAGCCATCAAAATGGTGGCAGATCCAAAGAAGATAAACTAAGAAGCATGAGGCGTATCCTCAAAACGCGGTGCAGGTTATGCAAAAGTCACCCGCAAAACCCCCAGTTCAACATGTAATTACCCGAATCGGTTTTGTTTGTGTTTTCACAGACAATGAAGTCAACCGCAGACGCAGGATAGAATAAGGGGTAGTTTCAACATGGCCTGGCGGATGTTGAAACGACCTGAGGCACCAGCGCCCAGCCAAAGAGGAGGCACCAAAAAAGGAGGGGGGGGGGGAGCCCATTTTTTGGTATGTGTCGGTTGTTGTTGGTTTGACTCTTGTTTGCTGTGTGTGCGTGTGTGTGATTTATTGCTTTCGATTTATCTAATGTCGTGTTTTTTTGGCCGACCACGCTACCAGAACCTGGTTTTGTTGGACACCACCCGGTGTTTGAGTTTTTTTTGCTCGGCATCCACACTTGGTGAACGCAGCATCCATACCCAGGCTTCTGTTGTGCCCCATCCCACCGCACCCCACCCCACCCCACCCCCCCCCCCGCCCCACCCCACCCCACCCCACCCCCCAGGTTTTGTGAGGAAACCTTGTTGACAGGGTGTCAGCAAACACGGGCAGGAATCTAGCATGATTTCCACGTTTCCACCAGATCAGACCCTGGACCATGGCAATGTGAAACCAGATCCTCGGGGAACCATCGCAGCCAAATGACAATCTCGTGACATTTGGGGCTGATCAAAAAAAGGGGGTTTTTCACACGGGATGACCATTGGGGAAAACCACGACAAAACAAGATCTCCCACAGGGGAAAAGTTATGCATGGTTTTATCAGCCCCCTTTTGTTGGGCCCACAAGTTCTTCAACTTCCCCCTGGCGCAGGTTCGGTTCGGCAAGTTTTTGAGGCTCGTAGGTTCGAATGGGCTTCGATTTGCCCCATTGCCACATGAAGTCCAATGCTGTGGACCTGCTCTTTGACTTCTGCCATGGAGGACCCAAAATCCTTGGTGGCATGTGGGTGCACCCCCCCCCCCAAAACAAAGAATAAAATAATAATATAAGAAGAATGATCATCATAATAATCATAATCACAATCAACGGAAAGAAGTTGATTTCCATCGTTGATCCCCCTGGATAAGTCTACCTGGTGGATTTAATCACCTGGAGGCTGAACCAGTTCAGGACTTCTCCAATGAGACCGTGCCCACGAATCACAAGGTTCCCTCACATTTGATGGGTTGGGCCGTTGGTGTTTCCTTATGTTTCCTTCTTCTAGGAAAGTCCTTCAGTGAAAACACACAATTAAATTACTTTTTCTGGGAGCAACAGCAAACCAGCTTTTTCTTGGGCTTTTGGTGTTCCTTACGTTGGGACGCGATTTGACAACGACAACCTTCTTTTTGGGATTTCGAGAAAGCCAGAAGACAGCGACGCGCCATTTTTGGTGGTGTAACGATGCCTTTTCTCTCGCAGGCACCTTGGCGCTGCCAGCGCCAAAGAAGGCTCGAGAGGCCTGAACCTCGGAGGTACAAGTTTCCTGGGGTAGGCACCCCATAAGCTGGTAAGAGAAGCACCCTTTCGAAATTCAAAGCCGAGAATGCCACCCTACCACGCAAGTTGATAGCGCTAGTTATGTCCGCAAAGAGGATTTGTAAATGTGGAGGTGGTTCCAACCTTCACTCATCCACTTGGTTTCTACAATTGTAAATGCCCGTCATTGACCCCACAACCTCGAACATAACGACCAATTCCTCAAGGACCCTGAAAGCCCTGATTTGGGATCCTGAAACTGTCAGGACCCAAAAGTGATTTACTTTGGTGAATACTCTGATTCAACACGTGGACGTTCTCAAAAGACACAAACGGGCACCCGGCAGTGCCTCGCCCATTCAACCTTGGGAGTTCTTTTGGCGCAAAAATGGGATCACCCCCAGTCCAAATGCTGCGTGAAATACCAGCTCTAGGCGATCCTGCATCCCTGATCCTACTGCTACTGGACCGGTTCAAACCAAAACAACGGTCCATGTTAAGAATGTCCATTGACCTCAACTGCTACTGGATCAGTTTTTTGCGCTTCTTGCAGGGGTTCATTGGGGCACCTCGAAGGTTTCCTAAAAGGACCCCGCGCGAAGCGGCGAAGCGAGCAGGAGAAGCACCGGCGCTTGCGCCTGGGGGTGGAAAGCTATGCCCTGGTTCCTGCGGCCCCGCCCGGAGGCGGGGAGCTTTGGGCGCAATGTTCTAGGGGTACCTTCCCCATTCTTTCCAGGATCCTTCTTTTCAGGAAACCATCAAAAACCCAGGGGAAACAGCCGTTGTTTTGAAAAGAATGGGGAATCAACCCCTAACTGTTTACCTAAGGATTGTCGTCATCCAAGCTGGGTCAAACTTTCTTTTAATGGGAGTTGAGCCCCAGGGTTCGGGTAGTTTTGGTGTGGAGCCTCGAAAGATCGGCGATAGGGTTCGCGAAAGAGTTTTTGTTTTCGCGAAAGATTTGCGTTGGGCTTTGGCAAATATGCCTGTGCGCTGGCATACTTGCAGACCTCAGTCCCTTGTAGACAGGCAGATGTGCAGCACCTGTACCTGCATCCTTGATTTCTTTCTTGTGCCGGGAAGCCAAAACGTTGGTTGGGCTATTTTGGAGTAAGTTTCGCGAAAGATCCGCGAAAGACTCTACAAGTTGGGCCCAGAGCAGTCCTGGCAAGCGCAAATGACAAGGGCGAATTTCACCGGCTGCAAGAAGCCCAAGCCTGCAGCGCAAGTGAGTGGCTCGGCTTGGTTACGGACTCGCGAAAGATTCGCGACAGAGAGCGTTGCTTTCGCCCAGATGGCGGCTTCCGGAAACACGAATATCGACGGATCAGCTGCCATATATTTGCTTACACGACGGGGCATAGTGTTACAAGCTTCATTCCTCAAAAACCCATACCCACCATCCACCCTCATTGGTGTTTTGCTTGCCAAAAACCATACGATTCATCGTTTTAAGGTCCATCAGTCCATGCCCTATTTGACGGGGCCATGTGGGCGCGTTTCTTTTTTGCCAGTCTTCAGGTGCCGCACGAGGCCGCGGTCTCAAGGTGGTCCTCGCGACATCGCAGCCCACCTTCAGGGCAAGCGACGAACGGTCCTTTGAATCCCCTCGTCAGCTTCCAAGTTGGAGCGCGCAGGGGTTGCTGTGTGTCCCCTTCAGCGTATTCTGGTCCTGGGTCGCACGAACATAGTGAATATCACAGAGAGCAAGCATTTATTTATTTTACGCTAAGATATACAATAAATTCACTAAATACGTCAAGTAGGGAACAAAGGTTCTGCGTTGGGTTTGCTTGGTGCACTTGCTTTGTACTAGTTTCGAGCCCCTGCAATTGGGCTTGGTGGGCTGGATGTATCCACTGCATTGCTGAGTTAACCTCGCAGCTGCACGGTGAACCCAGGGAGTGGACTTGACATGAGCCAGCGCAGGCCACGTGCGGCGGAAGAGTTTGCTCGAGATACTGCGAGCCTGGCGTGCTTGACGATCGACCAGAATGGTGTTGATGCACCAGGTGAGTATGCGTCAAACGGTGTCTTTGCTGTGGGTTTCCCTTTGACTTTGAACACACACACACACAGAGACGCAGGTGGTCATCACAGGTGTAGCCTTTTTCGGTCAGGGGGTGGCATTGTACCGCAAGAGCCATGGTGCGTGCCAGGATGGAGCATGTTGACCCCGGATTCAAGTAAAAGGCGTGGTTGCTCCCCAATTCCCTGTCAAAAAGGCTCCTGCGGAATCCGCCGGGGCAACTTCGTGCATTGGAGTGCAGGAGCGAGACTGATCCGGTCTTGGCCATTTCTATTCCATGCAGAGGCTTCCACCTGGTCAGCTTGATGCAGCTTGAGGAGTTTTAAGTGAGTTTCCTTTTGGTGGGGTGGTTGCAGGGGAAGTAGCGGCTCTCGCCTGATGTTGCTTCGTCTGTTTCAGGCCATACCCTTAGTTAACTATGGTTTTTCTCAAAGAAAAAACAGCCCCCAAACTGTACCAACCTTGTTGCCCCTTTGGGTGTCCCTTATTTCCCTAGCACCAAGTCAACTAGTCGCAGGTGTCAAGCAGAAAGATGACGTGTGCCCTCATTCCTGGTTTTGGCTTCCTCTATGACCAAGGGTACGGCACTGAAAAGGAACCACCCAAACCTCCCTTTCACGACAAACCCCTGGGGGTTAGCTTCGAGTTTCGAGCCCAAAGGAAAATCCGACTATCTGACTTGGGCTCTACAGGGATTAAAGGATTGAATGGGATACATACACAACCACTCTATGTAAAGCGTTGCCCCGTTTCCCAGTCCCGGCCATGGTTTGGGGGTGGCGTCTGCCATCTTTGACGCTTGGCCAGCTTAAGAAGCACCCCCCATCGTCGAATTATGTTTCTTGTTTTGTTTTTCTTGTTTCTTTTCTCTCTTTTTTTGGTGGGGAAACCCGACATCAGCTTCCCTCCAATTTGTAATTTGGATTGGTGGCTTGGTGGTCAAAGAAGGGGTTTCCCATTTACCATCAAGAACCAGGGGTTCAAATCCCAAGCCTCCAATCCAAATCACTAAATAAGGGTTTCCTGAAAGCAAGGACAAACCCAGTGATGATTTGTCGACGAGTTTGTCTAAGGCTGATTGCAATCCAAGCCCAGCCAGTTCGCTCTTGTGCTATTGCATTGCGTGCAGAGTGAGCCCTATCCCGGACTCACGGGGTAAACATCCATGTGTTTACTTACACTGCGACCTTTTTGTTTGTAAATCAGATTCTGAATTGGTACTCTGCTGAGTTCCACCATTTTTGGGGGCCCTACACTGTGGATGGGCGAAATTTCGCACCCAAGAAACCCTGGTTTCGGATGATTCCCCAACGCAAATACCAGCCAACGGTATGCTTCTTGACTGCTGTTGTGTTGGATCATTGGACTTTAACTTTTTGGGAAATCAAGGGGTTTTCCACATTCCCCAAAAAGTTAAACGTTTTGCAGCGGGGTCAACAGCAACCAAGGGTCACGAACCATGGTTTCTTAGCTGGTGCGAGAAGCACAGTATGACATTTGGACCTGACTCCCCAAACTTGCTTTCCGAGGGTTTCCCTTACTAGGTCCCCCAGTAGTGCCGTTTTTTGTCCTTTATTGGGGAGTGTTCCCCTACTAAAATGGACTACAGAAAAAAAGAGGGTACCCTTATTCTAAGCTCTCTCCTGGAGAACCTAGGAGGGTTTCCCCCATGTTTTGAACACATCATGGTTGTTGTTGGGACACATTCTCCATTTTTGCTTATATAGTGGTTTAGTGGTTGAAATCCAATCACTTAACTGCTAAGATTTACTTTTTTGCAGCCCTTCCCACGTGAACCAAGACCTAGAAGCTCGAAAGAGCGAGCCTCGCCTCGCGCCAGGTTGGAGAAGCACGAGGCCTTCCACCCCGGGCTCCTGACCATCTGCGAGCTGATCCGCGTGACCTCGTGCTCCCGGCGCACCTACGCGGCCTCCTCAGGCGCGACCAAACGCCCGGCAGCCCGGCGATGGCAGGGGCAGGTTTCCATGGGGCTGGCGCCATGTTGGTTTCACGTTAAAGCCCAACAAAATGGGGTACCCGAAAAAAGAAACACAAAGATTTGCCCATATGATTGCCAGAATGTTGAAATGACATGTTTGGCTAGGGGCAGATGAGATCCCCTCTCACTAGCATGGCACCTGACAGAGGGTCCCTTGAAGGAATTGATCTTCCAGGTACCCCCCCCCACCCCCCCCCCCCCCCATGCTATGGTAGTGGGAGGAGGTTTGGCCTTTTTGGCTTAGCAATCGTTCTTTGGGTTTGTTCTTCTTTTGAAGTGTTTGCTTCATGATGTCTTCAGTTGTTTGATTTTGTTGGTTTTGTTCAAGGGGGGAGCTGCAACGAACATGTCTTTTGCTGAACCGAGGGTACCTGGCCGGTCCTTTTACCAGGTCGCACACAAATATAATATCATGAATCATGGTCAAGGAACCGACCCACACAGGACGCCAGTTCTGCAAATGATTTTCTCCGGGGGCGTAGTGCTGCAGATTTGTTTTCATGGAGATGGACACGAGAGGAGCAAGACGCCAGCAAGATGTCTGGAAGCGGCCGCTCCATGTTTTGGAGTGACTCTGCGTGGCTCGATGGTGAGTGTGGGAAAGTTCCTGTGAAGCGGCGCTGCATGAACCTACACTCACAAAGTGATGAATGAGCTGGGTGATGGTGGGTCTCTTTTGGTGGTGCACATACTCTTTGACCATGTGTTGATCCTGCTTTGTTCACCCCCTATCCTGTGGGTGGGCGATGTGAAGTTTGGGCCCACCAAGGTTGCGCATCCCTCAAACGGGTTAAGGTCCATTGTGGGGTTCCCTTTAAGCCTTTGGTTTCTGTTTGGCTTCCCCTCGAACCAACCCTCACCAAGCTCCATCGAATACACGAACCACACCCAGGTTTCAGCCAGGTTTCTACAGAATTTGGCCGACCCATCCTGCACCTGGGATGGACGTTGGTCCCTATGAATACTGGCTCATAGACCACGTACAACTGGTGTGAAGTGGATTTTCTCCAGGGAATGGCCCCCTTGACATCCCCTTGACTGGGGCTGTTTCAACGGGAAACAGAGACGAGGTTTCCGTCGCGCCAGTCGCCAGTTTGGGGGTCCAAAGGCCCGCGGGTCGCCGAGGCCAATTCAGCAACTTCCGGCTGGCGGACTTCGGGCGGAACTCCGCGCGCTCCAAGCGCGGCCGCGCCCGGAAGCCCGGGACCCGCCGGATCTTTGGATCGGGGTAGACGGTCATCAGCGCCGGGAAGCTGGCAGTCCAACACTCAAGGGCCAAGTGGTAGGTCTAGGGCTGTAAGTGGAACTGGGAGCCCTGGGTTTGAAGGGAATGGGGCTGAATTTTACCTTCCAGAAATATGAACTTGAACAGACCCATCATCTGAAGGTCCAGGGAAAAAAATCCAGGCGTGTGGCTATCAATGAGTTTCCATGGGTGGTAAACATCTCACTCAGGTGACTTGAGGGATATGAGTTCCGTACGCATCTCAAATGGGGGGCCGGGGGCCTGAGGCCTTGCCCTGCGGGGAGCTCCGTATGCTCCAGGAGTGCCTCCGCACGAGGCAAAAGATCGGGGCGATCGATGCGATCGGCGATCAGATTTGAAGGCCCTTGAGCCCTTTGGGTTTGGATTGGGGATTTGAACTGGAAGGTAAATGGGAAATGAGCTCCAAGCCAATGGGCTACCCTTTTCGAGGAAACCGGGCTTGAGGCGTGATGCGAACATGGTTCTTGCTGGATACTTGCTTGAGTGCGCAGGCTTGCCCCACTTGGAGATAAGCCCAGTGGCAGGTGGTTGATTCATGGTGTCAATGGGGGTCAAAGGGAAGAGGGTTGCTTATATGTTCCTTGAGATATGATGCTCGTTTCCCTGTTGGCATCAAGGGGGAGTGGTCGCAAGTATGGAAGATCAGACTGTGTCCATTTCCAGGCTTACCTGCGTATCTGCTTATCGTTTTGCCTCTTTAGTGTTTCTTCATGTTCTTTCCACCAGCAAAGAGGCTCTCCAAGGGGACAATCCTCTTTTGTATGATCTCCACTGAAGCGCACGCACCTTCGCCAGACTTTGAATATGGGCACAAGTCAAAGGACAAAGGCATTCGGTGCCCCTGTTTCTTTCTTTTTCTTCTGTATGTGTCCTGCACGGGTTTCGGCCCTTTGAACTCAAACCAAAGGGGCATAGCCAGTGGAAACCAGGCGTTACAAACCCAGAGAACGGCCGTGAGGTGCTTGAAGACCTGCATAGAGGCTACTGGTAGTTTCCATTCAAGCAAACATATGGCTGTGTGTGTTCTGTGTTTGTGTCTGTGTCTGTGTCTGTGTCTGTGTGTGTGTGTTTGTTGAGGATGCCCTTTCTGGAATGGTTTCAAAGGGAAGCAACCAGTTTTTTGTGTTTTTTTTTGGGTGGGGGCCTGTATTTTGGGACCAGCCCCTAGGCCCATATGTGTTCAACAGAGGCGGTTGCAACAGCCAGGCGCTTCGCCATCCATGTGCGGCATTTGGACCTCTCCACCCTGCCGGCGCCTGAGGAAATCGGGTTGTCGTGAACCTGGCCCTGTGCACTTTAGTGCCTACCCAAAGCCTCCACCGTTTTCGAGGTCCCCCAGCTAGATGCCCTTTTACAAGCTATTTTTAGGGAGGCTTTTTCTACTGAAAACATGTACCCATTATTCTAACCTCTCTACTGGAGGACCTAGTTTTTGTGGGTGGGGAGTTTCCCCTGTTGGATTGGTCTTGACTCGTGAAACCCAGCCGCAGGGATCGATCCGCACACAGGACGAGGAAAAGCATGCTGGGCATGCTCCTTTGCATGCCGGGCTGAATCAACCTGCTGGATTCACAAGGGAAGCTTTTTCCAAACAGAAATCAGGATTCCCTCTCAAATGGGACCCGCGATCAACACATCAACCCGAAGTTTTGCTGAATCCTAAGTTCGCACAAAATGGCTGATTTTCGGGTACCTGGAGTCTCCATGACCCTTTAACAATGAGGTCATGACCCCATTTTTGAGGGGCATGGAGACTCCAGGTAATGAGGCACTCGATTTGTCGGGTGTCTTGAAACATCGCCTTTCGGGGCCATTCCGTTTGTGAACTTTGAGCCCACCAAAATTGGAAAGTGCGTTTCCTGGGACCATTTTATATTTTGTTGGGGCTGATCTTTGAACCCGCCACAGGGGAAAGCATTTTTTTCCTGGCCGCTCCCTCGGGCGACCCGAGGGAGATGGCGCCCATCAGCAAGGAGGAGTTCCAGTACATGCTGGGCTGCCTGCCCAACCTGGCAACGCCCTCATCCGGTTTTTCGCTCCCGGTGTAGCTCCCGATGCGCGGATGCGTGGCCTTCGGGTCGAAGGCTGCCATGGTGTAGGTCGGTCTTATGGGAATTACAAGGGATATTTATTGTTAAATGAATGCTCGGAGATATTGGGAGTTGATGTTTGCAGCTCAGCCTGACTTGCTTGGTTGCAATGAATCTGTGATTGAAGTTGAAAAACCCTGGCACTTTTCCCCTGTCCCTGTTCGCGTCTTGCGCCAAAAGCAAAGAAACCATTTAAACTCGGGTGCCGGGCCGGCGAACTCGACAGATCCATCCACTCACAGATGCCTTGCCCCAAAGAAGATCCAGCAGTTTGACTGGGTTTTTTAGAAACCCCCCCAACAGGTGGCTTCCTTGACGGCGTCCCTTTGAAATCAACCCACACAAAGTACCCTCAAAAATTGACAAAGATCCATTTGAAGACCGATTGTCCGATGAAAATGAGAACTGGTCGGAAAGTTGCCCCCAACAGGGTCCTTGTATCATACATGGGGCCCATGCATCCAGTCACTTGCCACGGGCCTGGCTTCGTCAGGCAGTGAAATAACCAACGAGCACCAAAACTGCTATTCTTCCGTTTGCTTAAGGTGTTGCTTATTTTCCGTTTTGAAGGGATTCTATCAACGGACATAAATTTGTGTTTTTTCAGCGCACTGAAGCAAATGGAGATATTGGGTCAAGTTCTATCCGAGTTTGCTCAGGCCATTTGGGAGCTGTGTCGAAGGAAAGAAAAAACACTTCCGGACTGGCACCGTGATAGAGATCCCTTCTGCCCAGAGGCTCCTGGGGCTTTCAATGGAAGACCCAACCCCTCCATTAGACACCCTGGAGGTGGTTGGGGGTCTTAAAACCAGAAGGCCCTAAATCAATCGAGAGCCTCTGGGTGAGAGGAAGTGCCTACAACCTGGACCCTGTTGAAGTGCTTCCGCAGCCCTCAACCCTCGGCCCCGAACAGCGCTCAAATCAGCCCCACCAAAAAAGTCAACCGGAGGCTCTACTTGGATCCCTTGAATTTCAGTGGGGCCGGGTGTGTCTCGGTCTCGTACTCGAAGTCACCAAGGCCTCCATCGTTCTGCCCAGCCGAGGCCAGGGAGTCATTGCATCCATTGGGGGCCATTGGTAGATCCATGGCGGTTCCTTAAATGGCCCGTGCCGAAAAATGTGGGGGTTCCTATGGTTTGTTGGCAAGACAGCTCGTTCATTAAGAAGGGGTATCCTCAAAGAAGGCAGGGCATGACTTGTAGGAGCTGTGGGTTCCCTTTGGGCGAGTCACAACAGCCCTGGGGCCACTTTTCGTCGCTTCCTTCCGCGGATGACCCATTTTGGGCTTTGGTTGCTCTCTGGTTTGACCTTGGGATTCCATGTTACTGCTCGACTCTTCGTCTTGGAGCTGAATTGCTCCAACGCGACACACTGGCGTAATGACGGTCCTAGCGGGGAAACCCAGCTCCCCAAAGGTATGTTTGCAAAGCCTTACATTGTTGACTGTAGTGAATCCAGTGTTATGAAGGCACTTTGGCAGAGAAGCTTGAGAGAGGGGAGGAAGTTGCTATGATTTCAGACCCAGTTAGTTCCAAAGCTCACGTGGCCTGGTATCACTGCTTCCACTTGCTGATATGTCGCTCTCCCCATGGGCTTGTGACAGGAAAGCTGTCTCAGTTCTCCCATTCATGTCGCCTTGACACAAATGATTCGGCGTTTGGATCACTGTCACATTGAATTGCATCTTAACTAGGTCCCCCAGTAGTGCCCTTCTCTCCCCTTTGTTGGTTGGGAGGGTTCCCCTACTAAAATAGACTACAGAAAAACAAGGTCGGGTACCAACTTATTCTAACCTCTCTACTGGAGGACCTATCAGTATCATGTTCTCCCTGGGATTCAAACCACCGTTCGAAAAAAATGGGGGGGGGGGGGGGGGTTCATTGAACCACCATTAAGTTTTGAAAAATGGGGGGGGGGGGGGGTTCTACTGGAGGACCTAGGAAAGGTCTCACATCCTGAGCTCATGAACTTCAAACTTTTTGGGAAGACCATTTAGTGGTAAATCTATTTCTTGGACTTTTTTTGGGCCATCTCAGCCAGTGGGAGGTTGCACTGAAGTCCCACCACTCCTCGTCGATTTGCCCCGTGGACGTCACCAGAAAAACGGCGACTCCCAGGCTGGGCGGGGACCCTTCAGCTGCGCACCTTTGTGAACATCGCCAAGGCCCTCAAGGCGCTGCCTCTTTGGGCTGGAGAATGGCTCCGTTTCCGTGTTTCTCCTTGTTGATGGATTTTGTTTTTCTACCTTTGTGGGGTTTCTCGAGTAGGGTCAAGGGTTCATGGATTTGTGTTTCTACTTGTCCTTTTCCTTTCTTTGCCTTTCCCTTTCCCTTTCCCTTTCCCTTTCTTCCCCCTCCTTTTCGTTTCCTTTCTTCCTCCTTCCTTTCTTGGGTCAAAGTGAATCGCTTCTTTTCTCCGCAAAGTTCTACACAAAATTGAGGCCTTATGGATGGCCGAGTGAATGTGTTCGTGTGTTCGTGTGCCTGTGGGTTCGTGTTTGTGCTTGTGTTTGTGTTTGTGCTTGTGTTTGTGTTTGTGTTTGTGCTTGTGCTTGTGTTTGTGTGTGTGTGTTTTGAAGGTGCCTGCTATTTCACCGAACTGATTTACGTATGTAACAGGAAGCGTGTGAGCCAGTTTGGGCGGTTTCCAGTCAGGTTTTCCAAAGGTTGGACCCCCTGGCTTTGAACAGCTCGTGTAACAGCCCACAAGAGCATCCACAAGTTCAAGGAGATTCCGGGCCAACAGGATTTGCTGTGCCTAGTCATTAGCCAAGAACGGCGATCAAATGAGCCGCAATCAAAGCCAGGACAGATGAAGGCTAGTAAGGATAAATTGCTGCGGCCGCCTTCTTAATTCTTACATGGTTCTGGGTTCACCATTTGAATACCGGGTTTTGATTGTGGCTCAAATGGTTTTCTGCGCCCTCCAGGAATTCTTTCGGTGACGATTCGACAGTCTGAAGGAGTCCTCAGACGATGCTGCACTGACCATGCAGATGCAAGCAGGGCAAAGCTTCGCATCCCCAGCATCACCTTCAACCCTGTACATTTCCAGCATGCTCGGGTTTCTGCATCACCTGCATCCACAACTGGACTCAAATTTGTCAACGAGCAGTTCCCGCATCATCAGAACAAATGCATCGTGAAAAACATGATATTGTATGGGTCCACCAGCCAGGGCGTGGTGATGCAGGTGATGCTAGTAATGTTAGCGATGCGAAGATGCCTACCCAGTCTAAAGTGCTGCGCCTGTCACGTAAACAAACCCCAAAGTACTGCACCTGCTATGCAAACAGAATCCTCCAAGCGCCAGCGTCTCCACATTACTACTAGCTGCACGAACTTGAGCCCTGCATGTTCAAATGGCTGCGCTTGCGCAAAAGCGAGTGAGTTGAGTTGAGGTGCCGCTTTTCACAGTGTTGGCTCTGGGTTTGGGCAAACATCTGGAAGGTTGGGAAATGCCCATTTTCTTAACTTCCACCTTGAGGTGGAGAAAACAGAATCCCAAACTTTCACAAGGGCACTCACATGGGGGTGCGTGGTTTTTGTGTTTTGTGTGTGTGTGCCGTGCGCTTGTGTTGTCCGAGCCGCAGGTCAGCATCGGCGCCTCTGCGCACGCAGACATCATCCTGCGCGGGGCCGGGAGCAGGCGGGGATGAGATTTTCGGTGCCGAGGCATGGGCGTCAAAGGGTGTCGAACCCTACTTGGATGATATTCCCACCATAGAAAGTGGCTTATATCCGTGAGTTGTGGGCAGAATCCTGCACCAGGTCGTTTCTCAGCCAGTCATGGAGTTTCCAGGTGCATCCGTGGTGAATGTGGTCATGGTCATGGCGATATTGCTGTCTAATTCTGCGGTGAGTTTGGGCAAACTCCTGCGGTTGGGGATGGGTTTCTCCGCCAGTGGAGTTTTCATGCTGGGAGTCCCCAAGCCTACGCCAAACTGCGAAGGGAGGCATCAGCAGATATGTAACATGTATCTGGCATATCATAAATGCAAACATACATGCAATATGTATATATGTATGCTATATATATAGTATTGGCATGCATTTCTTGAGTCATCGACAACCATACGTAGTTCTTCTTCAATTGAACATTGGGAGATGATGTATACGAAAGGGAAACTGAGTCAGAAGAGATAAATTCAAACTATAAAGGCTCCAGTAATAGCAGCAATGATCTTCTCAATTTTAATAACTTCTTTGAGAATCTGATGTATATACACATTTGTAGAAATATTGTGGGTAAATGTGTGTGTGTGTGTGTGCGTGTTTTTTTTTTGGAGGGTGTTGCCTTGGTTTGACTCGAAGGCAACTCAGAAGAAGCCCTGCTCACCCCATTTCGGGGGCAAAAGGGCGCTGGCGAGGCAGCAGAGCAGCGTGCATGGCGCGCATGGCGCGCATGCGCCGCGAGGCGCGGGGAAGGTGGGCGCGGGGAAGGCAGAGGGTCAATGGCGACCCCACATGGACGAAGCCCTATTCATGGGTGTCTCTGGTTGCAGTGGGGATTCACTTTAGCCAGGTGTATTAATCCGGGGTCAACGTTGTCTATTCTACCACAAATTGACAAAGCAACGAGCAAACGAGCAAGCGGGTCTCGAGCCGCTCTGCATTGAAGAGGTACTGGTTCTTTGGGTGGAGGTGCTTTGTGGGTATATCGGTTCGAATCGAAGCTCGTTTTTTCTTGGCAACTTAAAAGGGGCACCAAAGAATGAAGGGGTGTCTTCTTTTGACGCAAGCCCTTTGCAACTTGGGACGTCCGGTTGTATCATTGTAGACAATATTTGGGACTTTCACATTGTCATTTCTATTTGCCGCTTTACTGACCATTCTTGCTACTTGAGTCCAATCAAACCAATTCAGTCACATTGCAGTCAAGCCTGCATCAGTTGACCCTTCATGGTGATTTCTCCTGAAGGGGTATCCAGAGATTGATGGATCACTTGCTTTGCTATTCATCTAAAAAAAGGAAGAACAAAACACAGTTGCGGTACTCCTGAGCGGCTTCTACTGACCAGCTTTGTCGGGGGGTATGACATGAATTGAACCTTCGGGAATTATTGGTGGACATTGGGGATTCATGGGGTAGACATGTCTTGAACCTTAGGGAACCTTTGGACATAGCATTTGGCTGGGGGACAAAAAATTGTCCAGCAACCACTTTGGAGGCTTACTGAAATTCATGGCGAAGCCCGTTTGAAGCTCGGAGGACTCCCCTTGGTCATGTCCAGGGGTTGCCCTTTCTCCGATGTATCTGGTACCTGGAAGATCAGGTTCCTTGGACCCCCCAGTGGGATGGTGGGGGCATCATGTACATAATATATATATATATATATGTATATATATATATATATGTATGGTTCCTACTTCCTACACAGATATAGACGTATATGGATCAGAGGATCGTTCAAACATCACATGGCCAGCTTTATGTTGGGGTCTTGTTATGTGATGTTCCTTGGCATAGCCGAGGTGCACCAGCCTTGAGCCTTTCGCTTTTCGGGGCATTCTTGTTTCCCCAGTCAAGTTACTGCAGACCGCTCGAGGCGAGCGAGAGCCGCGCGAGCGAGAGCCGCGCGATCACCGCGAGCGCGAGCCGCGGGGCCGCAAGCGGCCCTGCGAGTCGCAGGCGTCGCCCGAATCGCGGGCCCCCGAAGAAGTCGACGCCCATCGGCACCGGTTCTGGATGCCGATTTGAATGCTCGTTGATCAACCTGCCTGGTGCAGAGCGGAGTTTTGTGCATCCAGTCTGCCAGCGCAAAGTCCTTTGGAGCCTAACGACTTTTCCCCCCTGGGGCGGTGTCCCTTGCCTTTGGAGAAGCTCCAAGATCCCTCACCAGCAAACGGTTTTGGACATGGGGAAAGGCAGTCGTTGCGTGGCAGTTGTGCACAACTCGGCTTTTGGCTTGGGCCCCTCACCTCGAAAAGCCATCGGGGCGGTTGGGTTGGTGGGGGCTGCAATGATCCGCGCCAAGTTTCATGGGAAGTTTAGGGGGATGCCCAAAGGAGACTGGGATGTGTTTTGGGCCATACTATGGATGGACAAAAAAATCCACTTTGCACTATTTGGGATGGTTGAAGCCCGATTTTAATACTGGGACAAACCACCTGACTGGTGCCGGTCGTCATGGATGTTGTCCACAGTACCCGTCATTATTTTGCAGCTCAATCTCGTTGCTTGAGGGTAGTGTCTCAAACAACCAACCCTGAGTACTGAATTCACAAATTTGGGCCTCTACCCACGAGGTTGCCCAGCCCTGCAGGCTCCGAGACCTCGAGGCAGACAGCGGGTCGCCGCTTCCTCAGATGCGGTCGATTCAGGGCAGCCCAGATTTTCCTGGGTGGAGAGCGGGCCTTTTTGACACGAGTTGGAGGTTGTTTTTACCAGACCTGCTGTTGTCGTGCTTATGCGGGTCACACGTTTTTGTGGCGTGGCTCCCTCAACATGGCTTGCCCAACATCTCACGTTGCTGTCTGTCGAACAGTGATTTCTGCCCTCGCCTTGCCAAGGACAGCCAGGAAGTGTCTGACCGACCGCGGCTGGTGCTGTCCACGCCTGCGCTGCCTGCGCCGCCGCTGCCTGCGCCACAGGCGCTGCCCGCACCAGCCGCAGCGCCTGAGGTGGCGCCCTTGCCACCGGCACCCTTTGTGCGCCCAGAGCTTCCGCAGTCCCCGCCTGCGCCGTCGCCTCTGCGCGCGCTGCACGCACTGCGCGCGGCACAGCCCGCGCCCGCGCCAGCGACCACGCGGCGGGCGCAGAGTGCGCCGAGCTCCTCGGCGCTGAACGCGCTGCGGGGAGGTTTGCGCCGCAGAAGGGACACGGAGACCACTGGGGGTGCTGGGGGCTCCGGGGCCAATGGAGGTCGCCGGGGCGCTGTGGAGGGGGACCACGGGATGTGGTGGCTCAGCCGCATTTAAGGCCAAGTGGGCATGGGGAGAGCCTGCTTGGCCGGAATTCGGCGAAAAGCGCCGGGCATTGCTGCAAGCCTTGGGATTAAAGGGGATTCTTGTGGTTGGCCAGCAATGCCCAGACTTTAGCTTCTGGAAGTTGCGTCAGCCCGCCCAGCCCGTTCTTCCTTTGGTTCAGTTTTCGCAATGCCACTTAGTCGCAGACAAGACACGGCTTGGGACACCGCGCGAATGCGCCATGGGGCCCGTTACACACTGAGATGCTGTAGAGTACAGTGAGCAGTGTCCTGTAACTCTGAAATCAGGAGTCGGCTGCCTGGCAGCGGAAAAAGGTTATCATGTCTGCTGCGGATTTACACACTCCGGGTGAATTTAGTGCTCTAACCTTCTACGTAGTTGGAACGATGGCGCGAACTCATTAGACAGGCCTTTGTTTCTCCCAATCAGGAGTTGTATTTCGAGGCTACCGCTTTGCCTTTTCACCTTGGTTCCAAGTGAAGCCAAGAGTACCACCAGGGGTCAGGTTTGTGGTTTGTCACTCGAGTTTTGTCTGCGGCTTAGGCTCAGGCGATTTCCACGGTGACAGGCCGACCTTATCCCGTGATTGCGTCAAGGCGCAGGAGCCAGGCCGACTGTTCTAAAGAGCTTGGGCCCACACTCCTACCATCTCCTACCCCCCAGTCCCCAAAGTTCTTCTCTTCCGACTTCTCGCAGCGAATCTGTGCAGCGAATCTGCGCCGAACGCGACATCTCGCCATGGCATACGTGCCGGGGAGCTTGGCGGCTCGGCTGCAAGCGAAGCGACTGAAGAAAGCGGCTGAGCTTCAGCCAGTTTCGGATCTGAGCATGTGGAAAGGTGATCGCTGATCATGAGTTCTTTTGTTTCCGTTGAACCCAAAGGGCTGACCTTTCAAACCGCCAGTCCCGCACTTGCCCAAAGCGCATCAGCCCTCTTTTTTCAGGGTATTATGTCGACCCTCTACTAAAAACGGAGGTATTTACCATGAAAAGCCAGGTGTTCCCCAAAAATACCAACTGAAAAAAACGGGTCTTTTGAGTAGAGGCACCTCAGTACTGATTCGGCTCCACACAGACTGAACAGCAAGCTTTTCAACTTAAAGCCCCGATCTGGCGGATCCAGGTGGAGATCCAGAACCTGCCGGGGAAGGCGGAGCCTGTGCCCAGCGCCCTGCTGCAAGGGGTGCAGGCGGGCTCCCGGTGAGAGATGAGTGGTGGGACCTTCCCTTCTTCGAATTGCCAGGCTCCATTTCAAATGCATTTCTTTTGCACAGATTCCATCGGATTCCTGTTTGCAAGCTTGAACAGTTGTTTGTTAATAACTTGCCCAAACTTGTCTGGGTTCAAGGATAACATCGATTGACACCAAACCTGAATCGCATTTTTTTTCTTCTTCTTTTTCCGACACAATCAAGGATCATTTCGGGGCTCCATGTGAATGTGAGGTTTGGTCAAATTCCAGTCTGTTCTTCCTATGCGACCAGGCCTAGGTTCCCCAGTAGTGCCCCCATTTTACCCTTTCTTGGGGTTTTGGGTTCCCCTACTAAAATAGACTCCAGAAAAAAATTAAAAAAAATCGGGTACCCTTATCCTAACCTCTCTACTGGAGGACCTAGCAGCGCATGGGGACATGGATTCGAATAGTTCGAAGTTCGCATGGGGCGAGGCCCTGGATGCGACCCTGACCGAAGCGCATGTCAGGGTATGGGTCAAACTTAAGCCACCAGGAAATGGACCGCACGTTTTAGTCCATGTGTCCATTTACCATGGCAAGCCATTTTGGGTTTACCCTATTTTTTGAAAACCACTGGCATATGGGAGTGATGATTCCCCACACCCTAATAATAACCAGGAGTTGATTCCTATGGGGTTCCATTTTGGGGTTACCCTATTCTTGACCACCACAGCTATGTTTCGGCCAGGCCGTGGACCTGAACGGCACCTCCGCGCAGCTGGTCCACTTCGACCGCCAGCCCCTGGCATCGGAATGGCACGGTTTGTGTGGTTAGGGAAGCTAAAAGGACACCAACTTGGCGTTTTGGGGCTTCTGATTCCGAATTTTTGAGAACCTTCTGTGAATGTCAGGGTTGACTAGAAATGATGAATAAACGAACATGATTTTCGGTCTACCGCAGATGTGGGTCAAGGACAGGGTTTCTGTTGTTTCCTTCTTTTGGTAGAGCTGAACATATCAAGACATACAGTATCACCGGGTCTTGACAGTCCTGCATAGGGCTGTTTTGCTTGCCGAACCCACCAGCGGACTGCGTCTTAACACGGGACAAGCAAAACCATAAATAGGTGCCGCCTTCTTGATGATTTCCTTATTTTGTGTAGACCCCTTTAGTATCAGGCTAGATTGTGACTTCATTATGGCTTAATTTCCTAATCTGTGTAGAGTATGGTATGCATGTATGTATACCCGAGTTCCTATCAAGGGAACCATGACTATGACCTGCACTTTGTTTCTGGTCCATTGTCAACATGCTTCGCAGATTAGAATGGCCATGAGACACTCCCTGCTGCTTGCTACCTTCCTCGGATCATCGTGGACGGACAAAATCCAGCAGGTAGGATGGATGAAACCCGATTCGGATACTCAATGCACCGCCTACCGTTGGATGCCTGGCGTGGATTCTGTGGGTTCCTACCTTCAGCCTAGCGCCGGGCTTCATTCATCAACTGCAGGAATATTAGAAAAGCGGAATGTGTTCATAGAATCAACCAGCTGCATCCTTTCCAGCGAAACTCAGCAGGAACTTACACTTTCTTTTTTTCATAGCATAGCCTTAGATCCTTCCCAGCGAAGCCCTTCGCCTCGGCTCACCTCTAGGTCCCGCAGCTAGGTGCCCTTCTCTCCCCGTTTTTGGTTGGGAGGGTTCCCCTTCTGAAATAGACAGAACAAAAAATCGGGTACCAAGGTACCCACTACTTAACCTCTCCACTGGACCTAGTTGAGGGAGTTGGTTCACTTAGATCCTTTCCCAACCCCGGCAAACCAAAACCGGCCGAGCTCAGCTCGCCTCAAGGCTGCAGAAGTGGATCGCCGCCACCTTCAGCGGCCGCACCATCGCCATCGAGGAGAAGCATCTCAAGCCAGTGACCTCTGAGGCGGTGAGGCGGGACGGATTTCTCTTTGCTTGGATCCGGGCGAAAACACGAAACCACGTGTTTGTGTGTGTGTGTGTGTGTGTTGTGTGTTGTGTTGTGTTGTGGTGTGGTGTGGTGTGGTGTGGTGTAATGTGTTGTGTTGTGTTGTGCTGTGCTGTGTTGTGTTGTGTTGTGTTGTGTTGTGTGTCGGGTGTTATGTGTTGTCTGTTGTGTGTTGTGTGTGTGTGTGTTGTGTGTGTTGTGTTGTGTGTGTTGTGTGTCGTGTGTTATGTGTTGTGTGTTGTGTGTGTGTTGCGTGTGTTGTGTGTGTGTGTGTTTTGTGTGTGTTGTGCGTGTTGTGTGTTTTGTGTGTTTTGTGTGTTTTGTGTGTTGTGTTTGTTGTGTGTTGTGTGTTGTGTTGTTGTTTGGTTTTTTCAGAACACGCAGGGAATGATCTTGGCATTTTGTTTCTTCGAAGGTACAGGAACTTAGTAGTCTCAAACATAGTATGTTTGGTTTGGAATGCGGGTGCTGGAGGAACGAATCGCTGAATACCTGGACGAAGGCTCCCGCCTTATAGCTTGTTTGACAGTTATTGGAGGTTGAAGTGGTTCCTATCCCCAATTCAAAGTCATCTAAACTCACAAGGGGACTTATAGAACAGGGTAAAAAAGTTGGACCTGTGCAGAACCAGGGCCCTGCACCACACCCCGAGCTGCTTTAGGGGTCTCAAAGCAAGTGGATTTGGAGCCCCAAATCCATCAGGACCCTTAGGGGCAAGGACGTTACTTGAATTGGGGAATGTTTTCCAGGTAAACGTGCCCTCCGCTTCGACAAAGGTGAGTTTCAAGGGCCCAAAGATGAGGGTCGCACCGGGTGAGAAGTTGGGAGTTTAGGCCTCGATAGGGGTGCAAACCGAAATAACCCCCCAAATAGTCAAACTAAAGTGTTCAGGCGTTTGATTCTATCACTGTTTTGGCTGTGGAGGACATTCATGCTTTTGGGGGACCAGGCATTTGTAATTTGTTTGCCATAAGAGGCTAAACAGGATCACCCGGTTGTTTTTTAATGGAAGTTATGAGAAACAAGCAAGTTTTCGGGTTCTTTACTTGCAGGATTCTGCAAGCTGCCTTGCTTGAATACATTTCGTTCATCGGTCATTCACTCGAACTTTCAATCGAGCCACTCGGACCACCTTGGCTGAACCCGCCCGCCTCAGTTTCTGGCTTGTTCCTATCTGCACATTTCACCAATGTCGAATCACCTGCACAAGTCAACCACTGCGATGCCATTGGAAGTGTTACCCGTCCAGTGGATCATTCGCTTGAAAGGCCCAGAAAGGTCCGCCGACCTGTTGATTTGTCGCGGTCTCCTGCCAGGAAGTACGACTTCGTGCTTGGGCCCAAGTCGGACTATGAGATTTCGGGGCAGGACTGCATGGGATGCGCTCGAGATTTCTCGAATGCATGTCCTTTTCGCTGCTTGGCTTTGGCTCTTTTTGAAAGCATATCCTTTCGTTCCATGGAAATCCACTGCTGGAGATATGCGCAGAGTGCCGCGTACAGCAAACCGTGGCCACCCTATTTTCGCGGGAGAACATCACAAGCTGTGACCAGGCTCACCATGGCACTACCGCGGATGCCCTAAATATTCTATTGAGGGAACAAGGAAACCCTCCAATGCACCGTAAATAAATAGATATATATCTATATGTATATGTATATAAGAATACCATCGTTTTGTGGTTGAGTGTGGTTGGCTTACTCCGTACCTCTAGGAAGGCCAGAGAACATGTTCGATCACATGGAACATGAGTCCCCACTGCAGGGAGGTTCCACGTGACAAGAGATCAAAGTTCGGGTGCCTCCCGCTATAGGATCAGACTCTGGGAGCTTGTCGATCAAGCTAACCAACTGCAAGCTGGATGGCTCGCAACCCGAGGTCAACAGCCCAAATGAAATAGCAGGGGCCGCAGATTTCACGAAAGGCTGCAGAAAATGGTCAGCCAGAAGCCATGTGGGCTGCAGTAGACTTAGGATACATTTTACATGTTACCAGTCACTCCAAGTGAAGCAAGCAATAAAATATACATTCTATAAGTAGGCCTAACTCTAATCATGTGGGAACATCCGCAAGTTGAGCAGAGTAGCTTCCATTTGCTTAAGAATCTGTGTTGTTAGGCCATTGTTTCATCGGGAATCTGCTAGACATGTATCCCACCCACCCACACTTACACCCACACGACCACGACCACAACCACGACCATGACCACGACCATGACCACGACCACAACCACACCCACCCGCCCGCCCGTGCGCTGCTTTGGATCCCTTCATAGTTGTTGTTGGGAAACATTGTTTACATGTTTGCTTATTGTGGTTTAGTGGTGGAACACCACAACTGCTAAAATTGCCACAATTGTTTGGTGGTTGAAATTTACCTGCTAAAATGGTTTGCCAAAATTTCGCTGCAAAAAAAACTGTTTGCTCCCCTTCCAACCTGATTTCCCTTTCAGGAGATCACGCGGGCCTTGGCGCTGAAGGGCTACGCGCTGGTGAAGCTCATCGTGGCGGAGGAGGACGCCATGGCCATGCTGGACGTGGCCAAGCGCCTGGAGGAGGACCAGCAGTTCAGCAGGCGGGCCAGGGCCCGGATGGGAAGACCATAGGCCAGTGGTCAAGATTGGGTCCTGGAGTTCCCTGGTGTTTTCTGGGGCATGAATTAGATAGAATCCCCTCTAAACCAGGGCCTCCTCAATTTTTCAAGTGGTGCAGGATTTCGTCTATCCACAGTAGGGGGCCGCACTGTGGGTGGTGGCAAAAAATCCGCTTCTCGCACTAAGAAGCCATGGTTGTGACCTTGGTTTGTTGGTATTTTCAGGGCAATCCTCATTCCAGGCTTTCCTTGGGTAGTCCAGGATGTTGTCCGTCCACACATAGCACAGCCTTTTCAAGCCCCCCGAGGCCACCCCGCCGGGATCCAAGCAGCTAGCGTCCTTTTGGTTTCCAACTTGCAATACCAAGCAGAAGAATCCTCAAGACACGCAAAGGAAGTGTAGTTCAGAGAATGCCGAATTTTTCCCAGGATTGATAGACCCCTTGCTTCAAGGGAGCTGCAACTAATCCGCAAGGCTCGTTGATCGCTCGGAAGTTTGCTTACCACATGCCTCGAGTCTGCTAGGTGGGATTGCCCATATGATTTCTCGCCTGTAGCCTGTAGCCTAGGGAGTTAAACCTGTGCCCAAAGAGCCACTGTATGTTTTTTGTTTGGTGCGTGTAAGCCCTTGCTACAACACTACATTACTATTATTCTGGGCGAATTATAATTCGACCTCATCAAGGCGTTGTTGGCAAAACTTCGTATATCAAAGAGTAATATGCACAACTGCCCATGGAGGGTAGGGTTTGCGGGGAGAATCAAAGTCATCTTAGAGTGATGATTGATTGAACGTGACGAAGGGATCCCTATGAAAAGAACCCACAGCGTGGGTAGTGGTGTTTTGTGAGTGTTTACAATTCAGATTCTTGCCGAAATAGCCCACCTGTATCATAAACATTGGGTCTGCAATCCTTTCACCGCGGGTAGCCCCGATCCTCCATTTGTTTGGTGTCCTGCTTGACAGGGCAATGGCTCCATTATTTTGCGGTGCGCCGCTGGCAAAATGGTCATGACTGGTACAAGCATCTCCTGCAGAAAGTGCAAACCTGACGAGGCAAAATGCATTCGACATATTCTTGCTGGTGCTCAGTAGGGAATGAGGGGATGAACCCAGGGGTCCCCTGAATGGAAACCAGAAGAGATGGTTTATAGGAGTCATTCCCACATTCCCTACCTATAGCACCAGCAAGTATTTCAAGGTGGCTAAAAAAGTGGCAAGGGTGCCAATGCTCTCTCAGATTGGCCGTGGAGTTCGAGCGGGGTTACCTGGGAGATGACGGCAACGCCAAGACCCTGCACGTAGGACCCGCGCTTTGGGGGGGCTGAGGCGCTGTGATGTTTGTTCGGTGGCGCCCAACTTTCAAAGTGCATAGGGGTTGGGAAGTTTGACGTGGCGTTCCGTTTGGCTGGCGGGTTCAAGTTGCATCCGATTTTTTGGATTTGGGACGTGTTGGATTCGGATGAAAGTTTCAATGAGGGGACGCTTGTTTTGAGGCAGTCATCTTAGGGAAATCTGTCCCATTCCATTTGCCCAAGGTGGATGTCAACTTGTCCCCGATATTGTCCCAGGTTTGGAATTACTGGCACCGACCTTGCCAAGTAGGTTGCCCAAGAGGCTGATCTCCCAATCGCAATCCATAAACAGCCAACATGTTCCCCTGCCGCCTTCCAAAGCAATGCACTTCATCAGGTCCTTTCATCCTCCAGACTTTTTTTGGTGTCTTCTGAATTCCAATCAATTTCAGTTCTCCCTTGAACTGCTGATTTTCCTGCAACTTCTGACTACCCCTTCAAATTCATTTCATACGTCCTTCGCATTTCCCCATCCCTTCTTTCTTCGAACTCCCCTTCTTACCGCTCAACCAAGCGGCTGCAGGATTGGACGCCTCGGACACGCCGGACTTCATCAAGCAGTCGCCCCTGAAGACGATGGACAACAACTTCGGCCAGCTCTGCAGCATGTTGGGCAAGTACTCCGAGGAGACGAAGCTTTTCTTCTCAAAAAGCTCGGGGGGGTTGAAATCGGTATATTCCTGGGCCCCAAATGATCAGGCTTTCTCTGAGAAAAAAATGGGGTTGAAATCGGTATATTCCGGGCCCCAAATCACCATGGGTAACTTTTCCCCGTTCCCCAGTGGGGAAGGTCATCTTTTTCGGGGTAAACTTTTGCCCTTCAGTTTTGGATGGTCATCTTTTTTGAGGGGAGGTTTCCCAATTGAGACTTGGGTGGTGTGTTTGGGTGGGTGGTACGAGCGGTTTAGTGACGCCGGGTCCCACTGCTGGATGAGCCAGGGGCGAAGTTAGGCCAAATCAGGAGCAATGCCAAGGCCCAAAAAAGGCAAAGGAACGCACAAACATAGGGCAAGGCAATGGCCTTGTATGGCCAAATCAGTCCCAGCAGAGGTCACAAGCTTAGCTTTGGCAGCCTCGCCTCACCCCCAGGTTCGAATGCACAAGTCATTCGAGTAAATCAACCACTGCCTTAAAATTGCCAATGCCCGCCACTCTACAGCTGGTTCAAGCTGTTTGGGCCCAGTGGTTGTTCCTCTTTGTAGTTGCAAGCAGGACCTCCCGTTGAGGATTTCTACATACAGTATTTCTAGACTTCATATGCAGTGGTATCTTTTCCATCCTTGTGCAGTTGGTTCCCTACTCAAAATCGGATCCATCGAAGAAGTACATGGCTCCGATGATTCCAATGACCTTCTATCTTTTGGGGTAATTGCAACTGGGCTGTGTTTGAGACAAGCCTAGATGGTAACCTTTGGGCATACTTTGGAATCGGCGATTTTCAATATATCCTAGAAGCATGGTGCTTTATTCGCTGACTACCTCGATGGTTGGTCGCAGTGTCCCTGTGTTGGATTAAACTTATGTTGTGTTTTGGAATGATCATGGTCGGTTTCCCTCAACCTGTTTCTTCTTGGCTTAACCATGTGTGGGTGCAACCTGTTTCTTGGTTGGGAATGGTTGGTTTCCTTTCATTTCCTTCAGCTACAAAATGGCCGTGGTTGCCCTTGACCCGTGTTGATGTAACCGTTTCTGGGGCTTGACAAGAACCAAGCACAGCACTCGGGCCGGCTTCTGTGCCAGGAGCACCTGGGCTTTGAGGTCTACAGCCGCACGGAGATGTTGATGCGGATGCCACTGGAAGACGGGGAGGAGATGCGGGGAGCGGGAAGCGGGGAGCGGGGAGAACCTTTGGGTCCCATCCAAAAGCCACCAGCCCTAGCCTTCATTTCCAGGCCGGCTTGTGTTCCCTGGGGCTCAAATCCAAATCACCATTTCAGTGCCTGGTTCATTGCGTGGGTCGGACCCCTGTTCTGGTAAGTGCCCTTTTACCAACTTTTTTGGGGGGAGGGTTCCCCACTAAAATAGACTACAGAACAAAAGTCGGGTGCCCTTATTCTAACCTCTCTGCTGGAGGACCTAGACATTTACCTGCAAGGACATTGTGGCATCCACTTTCACCCTGCCGACAATGGTGTTCCTCAAAATATTGCCGGTGGTTTCCGTTTAAAATGTCCCTCCAATCAGACCGCCTTGAAGTTGCCAGGCACCTAGCACTTGTCCTCACCCCGGACCTCATGCTTTTGGGGAAGACCGTTTTACGTAGTGGGAAACAACGGCTGAGAGGCTTTGTTTGCCCTTCCACTCAGGAAGTGAGGTCGTCTTCCCTGTGCCTGGAAGACAGGGGCGCGGATTCAAGGGCACGCACAAAGGTGAGACTTTCTCCGAGCTCGCCAACGAGGGAAGCCCCTCTCGGGTCCCTTCGTGCTTGCGTGAACTACTGTGGATGGATGCAATCCTGCACCACCTCAGAATCCCTGGAATGATGACTCCCCTGTAAATACCAACAAACAATGGGTATGGTTTCAAAGGGGTGCAGGATTTCGTCCATCCACAGTATTATTGCAATTTGCCCATCGATATCCCAGTCCGATACGTGGCTCCACCCCTGATCCGGAGGGCCTTGGTTTGGCATCGCTCGCAGGAGGACCGCTTCCCCCCGGCCGACATCGATGACGGGGATGCGGAAGGCTTTATGCACCTGATGCAGCTCGCAAGAATGGCGCGATCGCATCAGGTGTTTTAATTCAACACCTGTTGTGGATGCTTATTCTTAACAACTGTCGCTGGAAACTGGAAGGGCATGGAAAGTGCACATCATGCGTTTAACAGCTAAAATGAATCTCAAAGGGATTGCAATGGCAACGATGGGTTTGAGTGTTTAATTTCCCGGCAAACCGCAGGCATGGTTCATCCGAAACAAACAACAAAAAACAACCAACAACTTCCTGAAGTTCGTAAAGTTCCTAGCCCTTCAATGGCTGTCCACTGGGCCAGAAAGACAAAGGTCACTTGGGCCCTGGATGTTTTGCCGCTCCGTGGCTTTGGGCTTCCCATGTGAATGGTATGTTTGACCGAGCTCTGCCGAGCTTTGCGGAGCCACCTGATTTGTTTTCAGAGATGGACTCCAGCGATGGTGGATGACTCAACGCCTTTGTGTCTGCTTCTAAAGCCGAAATGAAGAAACATCAAGTTCCCATAGTGCAGAAGCTCCTTGGATGATGTACGGAGCCTGAAATAGCGGTTTCGTTGTGCCCTTTCCCGTTTCTTTTTTGGGGAGGGTTTCTCCTACTAAAGTAGACAAAACAAAAGAAAAAAGAAAGTCGGGTACCCTTTTTCTAACCTCTCAAATCTGGAGGACCTTGATGTTGGAGTTGGTGAGTTGGGTGTTGGTTTTTCCTCTTTGAATGGGCAGCGACGATACCTCGAGTTGGCTTCGAGGTACCGGCGCCGGCTCACGGTGCTCCAATTCGTCGGGCCCAGCTCTGGGAGTCTCAAGCTGCTGCCGCTGAAGGACCCACGAGCGAGCGAGCCGCGGGCGGCTGGGGGCGGCCGGCTGGGGGTGGGGGCATGGCCACGGAGCCCAGGGGAAAAAGGCGAGGAAAAGGCGTTTCTCTTGGAAGGGAAACCAACTATGAAGGGGGAAAAGCCAAATAAAAGGAGTTGCGGGGGATTTAGGGGAAAGGAAACCGACTAGTTTACATACCCTCTGATTTCTCTTGGCGGGCTTTGAGGGAAAGGACACCAACTATGTTACCCTCTGAGGTCCCATTTAAGGAAGAATAGTCCAAACCAGGACCCGTCAGGCAGGTTCCACATTGGTGGCAGGGGAGGAGAAAGAAGATTGGCAGTTGGGGGAGTTTTGTGGGAGTGAACTGGGAAACTCAGGGTTCAGCGGGGAAGACTCGGGGGAACAAATTGAGGATGGCGGGTGGGACTGGGTGGGAAAGTGCAGGTCAACTCTGGGGTCACAAAGCACTTGGCGTTTCCGTTGGCCTCAGCTTCCCAAACAAGCAGGGACCCCAAATTGTTACCCACTTCCGACAAAGGTCAACCCCTCTGGAGGGGCTCTTCAAATCTGAAGTTTCGGGGGTGCATCCCAGGCGACTCTTGTTGGCATGGCGTTACAGGCTGGAGGGGTTGTCCATTGTTGGCCAAAAAGGTTGTTCATTGAGTTGACGCCCTCACTTCCCCATGGACTTGGCACCTCGTTTTTTTGGAAGGCCGTTTTGGCAAACAGCCAGTTTAGAGTCGTTTTGGCAAGACAGAAGTGAGGAGCTGACCCCCAAAAACGGCACCCTGGCAGGAGAACGATGAGGAGATCGAGCTGGAGGCGGAGCCCAACACCATGCCGCATGGCGAGCCTTGAGGCCTCAATCTCCTTGTGCTAATCCCGTTTTGGGATTCCTCACTTAACGGGGACCGCCCCCACCCTTCTATGAATAGGAGGGAGCACGTAACCTGAAAGAAGCGAGAAAACCTTGTTTTTGAGAAACAGCCATGGTCAAAATCAAAAAAAACACACACCATAAATTATGGAATGAACCACCTACGAACTGGTACAGGATGTTGTCAACTCCGCAGTGGCTATGAACTTTGACAAGGGACGCATACATGGATGGTGAACAAAGTAGTTGGCCCGTCTGAAAGGTTGTTTACCAGTGGGTGTCAATGTTGTTGCGTCCTTTTGGGCTCATATCGCAAAACTGAATCTTCGGCTGGTGCATTTTTTGCTGCCCCAACATGGATGAGTTCCCTTCAACACATGCGCAAAAGGGAGCAGCCTGAAAAAAAGACACACCCACATGGGAATTTGGGCTGAGCAGAACAAAAGGTCCCCTTGGACTTGATTTGATTGGCAGGACAAATCAACCCCTAGGCCAACAAGTTGTTCTTATCGCGGTCGACATTGCCCGCCTTTGCCCCCTTTTTGCCATCTTCTTGTCGTGAAGCTGGGGAAACTGTGGGCCATGAAGCGAGGCTTGCAACCTGATGTCCCCCCCGAAAGGTTCTCGGAGGCGGTAGCAAGTGGATAGCAAACCATGTTGCAAACACTCCCCTTTCCGGTCGCTGATTTGCCCACACCAACTTGTCCTGACGTGCCACACCCATCGCCTCCTTGCCTTGAAACGTTTATGTTTTTTGTTTGTGGATTCCATCTTGATTCTAGCTAGAGTCTCCATGACCCTTTAAGAATAGGTCCATGACCCCTACTGATCATTCAGGGCAACGACCCCTTTTTTTGAAGGGTCATGGAGACTCTAGGTACACCCACTTGGTCTCTTGTCGGAAGCTGGCCAGACCTCCAGTGGTGCATTTGCCGTAAAGTAATCCACTGCGGGTGGTGCACAAGATTGACATATGGCCATGGGTCATAACCTATGCCTCCATTTGGGGGCGGATGAACACCCATGTACCACCTATTTTGATGTTCACCAGGGGTACAGGGTTTTGACCCACAGGCATATTACAACCTGCAAAATGGGTGGTATCCCCTTTTCCCGCACAGTTTTTTAAAGATACATGCCCTCATTACCCCGAACCGTTGCTGCAAGACCTCAATATCCATTTGATGAGTAAGTGTGAGAGTGGCGTTTTGGTTTCAGCCAACCTCAAGGTTTGGATACGAGTCGGTTCTTTTTTCTTCCGGTGGGTTTTAAGGGAAACCAAGCGAACACCGTTGCGCCATGTTGGAGGGGTCTGCAAACAGGTGCAATACTTAGGGACAAAAAGCCACTATATTTAGGGGTCTACACAACACCTATACTTCCCCCCCCCTCCCCCCACAAGAACAAGAAACAAACAACAAACAACAACGAAAATCCAACTCTGCTTCATCCAAGCTCCACACCCCCAACCTCCACACCCCCAAAAAAATAAAAGCCCACCCCAAGAGAAAAAAAATTAGTGCCTCCGGCTCAGGCCGCCGACATTACAGGCCTGCTTTCTTATTTGCGTCCCTTTGGAATTGTCCCCTTGCCCCCTTCCCCTCTGAGATTTTTGCCCCCCCTTTCTTTGTTGAGATCCATTCCCCCTTTCCGCCCTAAGGCCTTTTCTCCCTCTGATGTTTCCCTTTTCCTCCCTAAGATGTTTTCCCCCCTCTCCCTGTTGAGATCCTTTCCCCCATTTCCCCCCTAAGGCCTTTTCCCCCCTGAGATCTTCTCCCTTTTCCTCCCTTTCCCCCACTTCCCCGCCTACGGCCTTTTCCTCCCTGGGATCTTTTTCCTTTCCTCCCTGAGATCTTTCCCCCCCTTTCCCTGTTGAGATCCTTTCCCCCCTTTCCCCCCTACGGCCTTTCCCCCCGCTGAGATCTTCTCCCTATTCCTCCTTAAGGGAAAGGGGGGAAGAGATCTTTGGGAGGAAAATGGAAATCTTTCTCGGGGGGAACAGGCCCTAAGGGGCAATGGGGGGACAGGATCTCAAACGGGAAAGGGGGAAAAAGACTTTGGGAAGAGAAGGGTGGAGATCTTGGGGGGAAAAGGCCTTAGGGGGGAAACGGGGGAAAGGATCTTAAGCGGGAAAGGGGGGAAAAGATCTTAGGGAGGCAAAGGGAGACAAACTCAGGGAAAAGGACTTAGGGAGGAAAGGGGGGGAAGATCTTTGGGAGGAAAAGGGAGAAGAACTGAGGGTGGGAAAAGGCCTTAGAAGGAAAAGGGGGGAAATAAATGATCTCAACAGGGAGGGGGGGGGGGGAAGATCTTAGGGAGGAAAGGCAGAAGATCTGGGGCAAAAAGGCCTTAGGGGGGAAAGGGGAGAAATGATCTCAACAGGGAAAGGGGTGGAAAAGATCTTAGGGAGGAAAGGGAGAAGAAAAACAGGGCAACATGGAAAGGGGGGAAAAGATCTTCAGGGGGGGAAAGGCCTTGGGAGGGAAAGGGGGGAAAGGATCTCAACAGGGAAAGGGTGGGAAAGATCTTAGGGAGGAAAGGGGGGGGGGGGAAGATCTTAGGGAGGAAAGGGAGAAGATCTGGGAGAAAAGGACTTAGGGGGGAAAGCCCAACAGGGAAAGGGGGGAAAAGATTTAGGAAGGAAAAGGGAAGCTCCCAGGGGGGGGGGGGGAAAGGCCTTAGGGGGGAAGGGGGAAAAGGATCTCAGCAGGGAAAGGGGGGGGGGGAAGATCTTAGGGAGGAAAGGGAGAAGATCTGGGGACAAAGGCCTTAGGGGGGAAAGGGGAGAAATGATCTCAACAGGGAAGGGGTGGAAAAGATCTTAGGGAGGAAAGGGAGAAGATCTGGGGGAAAAAAGGCCAACAGGGAAAGGGGGGAAAGATCTAAGGAAGGAAAAGGGAGAAGCTCTCAGGGGGGGGAAAGGCCTGAGGGGGGAAAGGGTGGGAAGGATCTCAACAAAAAAGGGGGGAAACAATCTTAGGAAGGAAAAGGGAGAAGATCTGGAAAGGCCTTACAGGGAAGGGGGGAAAGGATCTCAACAGGGAAAGGGGGCAAAGGATCTTAAGGAGGAATAGGAAGAAGATCTCAGCGGGGGGAAAGGCCGTAGGGGGGAAAGGGGGGAAAGGATCTCAACAGGGAAAGGGGGGGAAAGATCTCAGTGAGGAAAGGGAGAAGATCCCAGGCAGGGAAAAGGCCTTAGGGGGGAAAGGGGGAAAGGATCTCAACAGGGAAAGGGGGCAAAGGATCTTAGGGAGGAAAAGGGAGAAGATCTGAAAAGGCCTTAGGGGGAAAAGGGGGAAAGGAGCTCAACAGGGAAAGGTGGGAGAAGATCCTAGGGAGGAAAAGGGAGAAGATCTCGGGGGGAAAGGGGGAAAGGATCTCAACCAAGGGAAAAGATCTTGGGGAGGACAAGGGAGAAGATCTCAGGGAGGGAAAGGCCTTAGGGGGGAAAGGGAGGAAAGGATCTCAACAGGGAAAGCAAGCAAAGGCTTTGGGATCTTAGGGAGGAAAAGGGAGAAGACCTTGGGGGGGAAAACGCCTTAGGGGGGAAAGGGCGGGAAAGGATCTCAACAAGGAAAGGTGGGAAAAGATCCTAGGAAGGAAAAGGGGGAAGATCGCGGGGGGAAAAAAGGCCTTAGGGGGGAAAGGAGGGAAAGGATCTCAACCGGGAGAGGGGGGAAAGCATCGTAGGGAGGAAAAGGGAAAACTCAGAGGGAGAAATAGGGTGGAAAGGAGGAATGGATCTCAACAGGGAAACATGGCAAAAGATCTTAGGGAGGAAAAGGGAGAAGATCTCAGGGGGGGAAGGGCCTTAGGGGGGAAAGGGGGGAAATCATCTGAGCAGGGAAAGGGGGGGAAAGATCTTAGGGAGGAAAGGGAGAAGATCTGGGGGCAAAGGCCTTAGGGGGGAAAGGGGAGAAACGATCTCAACACGGAAAGGGGTGGAAAAGATCTCAGGGAGGAAAGGGAGAAGATCTGGCAACAGGGGGGAAAGACCTACGGAAGGAGAAGCTTTCAGGGGGGGAAAGGCCAGGGGGGAAAGGGTGGGAAGGATCTCAACAGGGAAAGGGGGGAAACAATCTTAGGAAGGAAAGGGGGGGGGGGAAGATCTTAGGGAGGAAAGGGAGAAGATCTGGGAGAAAAGGACTTAGGGGGGAAAGCCCAACAGGGAAAGGGGGGAAAAGATCTTAGGAAGGAAAAGGGAGAAGCTCTCAGGGGGGGGAAAGGCCTTGGGAGGGAAAGGGGGGAAAGGATCTCAACAGGGAAAGGGTGGGAAAGATCTTAGGGAGGAAAGGGGGGGGAAGATCTTAGGGAGGAAAGGGAGAAGATTTGGGAGAAAAGGACTTAGGGGGGAAAGCCCAACAGGGAAAGGTGGGAAAAGATCTTCGGAAGGAAAAGGGAGAAGCTCTCAGGGGGGGGAAAGGCCTTAGGGGGGAAAGGGGAAAAGGATCTCAGCAGGGAAAGGGGGGGGGGGGAAGATCTTAGGGAGGAAAGGGAGAAGATCTGGGGACAAAGGCCTTAGAGGGGAAGGGGAGAAATGATCTCAACAGGGAAGGGGTGGAAAAGATCTTAGGGAGGAAAGGGAGAAGATCTGGGGGAAAAAAGGCCAACAGGGAAAGGGGGGAACGATCTAAGGAAGGAAAAGGGAGAAGCTCTCAGGGGGGAAAGGCCTTAAGCGGGAAAGGGTGGGAAGGATCTCAACAGGGAAAGGGGGGAAACAATCTTAGGAAGGAAAAGGGAAAATATCTGGAAAGGCCTTAAAGGGAAGAAGGGAAAGGATCTCAACGGGGAAAGGAGGCAAAGGATCTTAAGGAGGAATAGGGGGAAGATCTCAGCGGGGGGAAAGGCCGCAGGGGGGAAAGGGGGGAAAGGATCTCAACAGGGAAAGGGGGGGAAAGATCTCAGTGAGGAAAGGGAGAAGATCCCAGGCAGGGAAAAGGCCTTAGGGGGGAAAGGGGGAAAGGATCTCAACAGGGAAAGGGGGCAAAGGATCTTCGGGAGGAAAAGGGAGAAGATCTGAAAAGGCCTTAGGGGGAAAAGGGGGAAAGGAGCTCAACAGGGAAAGGTGGGAGAGGATCCTAGGGAGGAAAAGGGAGAAGATCTTGGGGGGAAAGGGGGAAAGGATCTCAACCAAGGGAAAAGATCTTGGGGAGGACAAGGGGGAAGATCTCAGGGGGGGAAAGGCCTTAGGGGGGAAAGAGGGGAAAGGACCTCAACAGGGAAAGGGGGCAAAGGATGTTAGGGAGGAAAAGGGAGAAGATCTTGGGGGGGAAAACGCCTTAGAGGGGAAAGGGCGGGAAGGGATCTCAACAAGGAAAGGGGGGAAAAGATCTTAGGAAGGAAAAGGGGGAAGATCGCGGGGGAAAAAAGGCCTTAGGGGGGAAAGGAGGGAAAGGATCTCAACAGGGAGAGGGGGGAAAACATCGTAGGGAGGAAAAGGGAAAAACTCAGAGGGAGAAAGGGCCTTAGGGGGGAAAGGGGGAATGGATCTCAACAGGGAAAGGTGGCAAAAGATCTTAGGGAGGAAAAGGGAGAAGATCTCAGGGGGGGAAAGGCCTTAGGGGGGAAAGGGGGGAAAGGATCTGAGCAGGGAAAGGGGGGGAAAGATCTTAGGGAGGAAAGGGAGAAGATCTGGGGGCAATGGCCGTAGAGGGGAAAGGGGAGAAATGATCTCAACAGGGAAAGGGGTGGAAAAGATCTTAGGGAGGAAAGGGAGAAGATCTGAGAGAAAAAGGCCAACAGGGAAAGGGGGGAAAGATCTAAGGAAGGAAAGGAAAAGGGAGAAGCTCTCAGGGGGGGGGAAAGGCCTGAGGGGGGAAAGGGTGGGAAGGATCTCAACAGGGAAAGGCGGGAAACAATCTTAGGAAGGAAAAGGGAGAAGATCTGGAGAGGCCTTAAAGGGAAGGGGGGAAAGGATCTCAACACCCTTAAGGCATTTTTTCCCCAGATCTTCTCCCTTTCCTCCCTGAGATCTTTCCCGTTTGAGATCCTGTCCCCCCATTGCCCCTTAGGGCCTGTTCCCCCCAAGAAAGATTTCCATTTTCCTCCCAAAGATCTTTTCCCCCCTTTCCCCCTTAAGGCATTTTTTCCTCAGATCTTCTCCCTTTCCTCCCTGAGATCTTCCCCCCCTTTCGCTGTTGAGATACTTTTTCCTTTCCCCCCTTCATTTCCTTCACCAGCATGGGCAACATCCCCAGCATCACTTGCATCATCCGCATCCTTGGCAGGCGCTGATGCGGATGATGCAGGTGATGCTGGCGATGTGCCACTGGAACTGCTAAGGATGCGAAAGCGCACCCGGGGGGAATCGAACACCCCAATGTTTTTGACAAACTGAGTTGCGCGCACAATGAACAGATTTAGTGAAGCGTCTTCGAATCACCGCGTGGTACGTGGACCCCCCCCCCCGCAATAGTCTGAAATGCTGCCCCTGGGGAGGGGTTAGGGGAAGGGTAACAGGTAAAGAGGTAAGGAGCATTTCTTATGTCCAACACGCCGTCTGTTGTCGGCGGATATAAATAACATAGTCTACACCCCCCAAAAAAGAAGAGAGACACGAACAGTTTACTTCATCCTTCTGGGTGAATTATAACGACCTCACACGACCGAATTCACCCCAAATGGTGGTTTATGTGGGACATATTCCACCAACCACCGCAAGTTTCAGGTTGGGGAAATATGATAATTCAAAAACAAAGAGAAGAACTCTACTTCATCCACACCCCCAACCTCCACACCCCCAAAAGTAGAAAAAACGACACGACCAGTCTACTTCATCCAAGCTCCACGCTGAGGCTGGTGATGCTGAACAGCCGCTGGGAGTACGGCTACTCCCCCAAGGGCCAGGCCTTGGCCCTGCAGAGCTTCATGCTCACCGAGCCGGCCATCTACTGCCTGGAGGCGAACCAGTTTCGAAGCAGCTGCGAGAGAGAAGCGCCCATGGGCGCTGGGAGGTGGCATAAGGATTACATTTTAGGTGGAAATATGGGCATGGGTCAAAGTCCAAATCGTACCCCCAGTGAACATCCGATTCAATCCCCACTAAAAGGCTCCAAAATGGGTGGGGAATTCACCTACCCCAAAATGGTACCATTGGTTTTGACCCACAGCCATATAGGTATATTTACAACAGGCACAAAGTCCATAACATGTGCTAAAGGACCTTCATCTGTAAAAACACTTTCTATTGTGTGTGTGTCCCTTTTTGTTGGACGCCTTTTGAAGGGCGGCGTTTTTGGCGGTGTATCGTGTTTTTTTTGGGTTTTCTCAAGGTACTTGTTTTGTTTATTTTTATTTTTAATTTATGTATTTTATTTATTTATTTTTGGGGGGGGGGTGTTTGAATTTTCAAGCGCACTCCATTGGGTTCCCTTAAAAACAAAAAGGGTACCAATCCGCACCTCAGTTGTTCAGTGACACCCTTGTTCCTTTTTTGGGTTGGTGGCTGCCCCACTAAAAGAGGTCTTTCCCGTAAAAAGGGTTCCCTTTTTTCCAGGGTCACTGAACAACTGAGACACAAAGGCGGCAAGCGTCAGGACGAGATCCAGGGGAACCTGGAGAACCTCACTGGCTCCTCCACTGGTCCTCCGCCGCCCCCGGGGGAGCAGGCGTGGGGCTCCGAATCAACCGGTTTGGGGAGTGCACCGAAGTGACTTGACTTATCTCGGCTTCCAGCCATCCGGTTCCTTAGCTTGTTAAATCCTTTTAGTGTTTAGTGGTAGTTTTCATTTAACCCACTAACAGTTAGTCGTATTTTTTTGTAGTTTTCATTTAACCCACTAAAAGTGAGTCACTTTCAGCGGGGGATCCGAAATCGGGCAGCCCAGTTCTGTCTCACTTCCTAGGGTGCTGGCCAACCCACTCCGGAGGTGAGTCTCCCCCTTGGTTTGAACAATTGTGGGGGGCAAATGTGTGCTTTTCCGGTCGGTTTCAAGGGAAGGGTTGAATATTGTTTTGGTATCCTTTGGTTCTCCTTTGGTGTTCCCTTCGTTTTCCTTCGGTTGCTTGAACGTCCTTTGAAGGTGACCATCGAAGCCATGTACTGCCGCTACGGCATGATGTCCGACGGCCGCGCCCAGTTCTACCAGGCCGGCGGCCAGTTTCGCGGGGGTCGGAGTCGAACGTTGGGATGGCAACAGCATAGTTGGCTCAGTTGCCCAAACCCGACCTTTTAACCTTTTGGTTTTCCTAGTTTGGTTAGTAAAGGTCCCAAAAGGTTAACCTTTTGTTTCTGGGTCCTTTGGGCAACTGAGGTTCGCGACGGAGGGGCAGGACATGGCAGGACAACGCTTCTTGCAATGGGGGTTTGGCATTTTTCTGGGCTATAGTAGTGGTTTACTATCCTTCGTTCACCAAGGCCCAGCAAAGGGCCACGTGATCGAGTAAGCAGGGCTATGAGCTTACCTACCGCGGTACCGTGGTCATCCAAGAAGCGGACCGGGACACGAATCGGGGCCCGGTTTTTACCAACCCACCTACTTTTCGCCCTCCATGTTGCCTTCTAGACTTTTAGTTCATGGGCGCCAACAAAAGCAGATGGTCAAACATCATGTCTTCCAACGGGTCAGCAAAGGAAGAAACCGACGGATCAGCTGATCCGTCGCTAGGGGGCGAAAGCCTCCACGGACGGGCTCACGGAGATCCCGGTGTCGCGCTGGGACCACGGGCCCTACTTCGACCCCGAGTCCCAGGCAGGCGGCGCCTACACCAGGCGTGGATGGTTGGGGTTGGGGTTTTGCGAAGTGGGTGGCTGGGTGGGGGGAGAGGGGTCAGGGGCAAGGAGTTTTTCACAACCCGAAGAATGTTGTCGGGGGGTTAATGTTAGACTTGGGATGTCTTCGTCCACTGAATGGGACTCTGGACAACCATGAGGTTCCTACTGGAGGAGTAAGCATCACGGGACCCTCCAGTGAAGGGGGACAGGGACCTCGATTGGAAGGTTCGGGTCCACAAATGGGCCTTTTTGAGGCCGCGCTCGATGCGGAAAGAGGTGGACTCGATACTGACTGATGACAAGTGGCCCATCAGCCAAGTTTGGTGGCTGAAACTCGGGAACTTGGGGTTACATTTGGTTGCATGCAGAAAGCACCTGCTTCCAAGGCTTGTCAGCGAAGGTCAACTCAGCAAGTGAGGTTAGCATCTTATTTTAGATGGAATCCGGATTCATGTGTTGTTCTCATCATCCACCTGGTTGATTCATCCAGTGTAGACATTATGTCAAAACAAACAACAGGACCCCAGCCAGAAGAAGCTGAATTAGCAAGGAGGTGTCATCTAAAATTTAAAGCACCCAAAAAACGGGAGGAGCCGAGAAGATGCAGGAGGAGGTTCCGACCATTTGCGTTTTGGTGGTTTGATTAATATCAACGTGTATACATGTATTTCCCCGCAAGGTTGATGAGTCCGGCTTGACAGTGGGCACCTCTGCAGCTGTGGATGGACTCTGAATTTGGGTTCGTGGCTGGTCCAACTCTGAATTTGGGTATGTGAACACATCCACAACGTGCACCAGATGCACGAAGCCCGATTTGAGTTCTGCGATACGCCTAGCAACTCGTGCCTTTGGATTGTCTTTTATGGAGTCGCCATATGACTCCCAAAATCGCCAGGCACGGGTGCTTCGGCATCGAGGGCGTGGACCTCTTCGACTGCAAGTTCTTCGAGGCCTGGACTTCCCGCGAAGTGCGTTTCGCACGGCCCGACCTCTGGATTGCGGCCCTTGCGCCTTTTTGGAGGGGATGTCCCAGGTTAGCTCGGTGTGAAATAGATGGGTTAACCACTGGTTTAGGGTTTCGTGCCATCCATTTGGCAGGGAAACACATCGGCTTCTATCCAAAAGGTCACCTATGGGGATGTCCCTTGAAGATCGAACGGAGTGCTGCCTTTGGAACATGTTCTGAAAGGGGTGCACTTGTCGTTTCCTCTGGTTTTTTTAGAAACCTCAGGGGATAGAAAGACGAGCAACATGGTTCATTGTTTAAGGAAGCCATGGGAGGGTCCGGTCCCAGGACACCCTTAGTCAGCATGCTTGAGGCAGAAGCGCTCTGTATTTTCGCCCTCACGTTGGTCACGGCTTGTCTACCCAAAGGTACTTTCGGTGTCATTTGCTCGCTTGCTCAAGGTATGGACCTTGGATTCCAAGGCCACCTATTCCAACGCCCAGCTATGAACCTTCAGATGCCAAGGTCAAAAAGCAAGCCTGAGATGCCAGCCGGCCCGAGAGACATCCGAGAGCCGTCCCATGAAGTTCAGACCTCCAGTTTCTGGACTCGATCGAAAGCTGTCCAAGAGCGAGGACCTTCCTTGTGAACCGTGTCCCCTGTCTTTGACTTGCGAGAGATGCGATCGGGGCCCTGAGAAATGGAACGACCCCAAAAAAGAACCATCCAACTGGTGGTTTCCTTTAAGGGGACCCCTGGGTTCATTCCCACATTCCCTACCTATCGCACCAGGATGATTCTTGGAAAGGGGGTATCTAGAGTCTCCATGACACTTTAAACATGGGGTCATTACCTAAAGGTCATGGACCTACTGTGGATGGACGAAATCCATTTCGCACCACCTCAGAGTCCCTGGAGTGAGGATTCCCCTGTAAATACCAACAAACAATGGGTTCAACCATGATTTCAAAGTGGTGCGACATAGATTTCGCAACCATCTACAGTATTTTTAAAGGATCAGAGGGAGACTCCAGGTACCCTGTTTCCAAGACTCATCTTGCTGATTTCCTCATTGTTGCTGTGGTTTCCCCCCCATTGGTGTTTTAAGGGAATCTATCGCTAGACATATTTTCTGGTACCAGCTGATTTGGAGGATCCCATTGTGAATCAGGCTCTTGGATGTATCTTTTGGGGTAAAGATGGCATGGGGAAAAAAAGAAAAAAACGATCGTTGTTCCCCGGGGTCGCCAGGTGTCGCCCATGGAGGCCAAGGGCATGGACCCCTGCCAGCGCCAGGCGGGCGAAAGGATTCCTCCGCTGGCGCCGAATGAATCGGTCGAAACCACGAGGTCTAAAAGAAAAGCCCCCAACAAGAATAAAAAGCCCCCCCCCCAAGAGAAAAGAAGAAGAAAAATCAAATAGTCGACTTCACACCCCGGAAAAAAGAAGAGAGACACGAACAGTTTACTTCATTCTGGGTGAATCATAACAACCTCACACAACCGAAATCACCCCAAATACACATATGTATTTGAAACCATAGGGTTTGCTGGTATGCTTTGTATTGGTGTTGTTGTTTTTTTGAGGGGGCAAGAATCAGAAACCCGGGTTTCTTGGGTGGTGCGAAATGGATTTCGTCCATCCACAGGTAGCGCTTGATTGGTTTGCAAGCTGGTACTTGCCGGTAAATGGGAAGCTGCTCAACCTTCAATCCACCGTGTTCCAAACCACCAGTAGGGGGAAGCTGACAATAGGGTATCATCTGAAAAATGGGTAGACTTGAACACATGGCCATGAATGTTAAGAGTTGGAACCACCTAAGTGGTTGGAAGGCGCGAATCCCAACCGGATTCAGATGTCCACCATTGCGGGCGTCTAAAAGCACACCCGTTATGAGTACATATATATATATATATGTATATATATATATACACATGTCAACACAACACAGTTACCAGACCTGGTTGTCTTCCTAATTCACACCCATATCTGTCAAAGTGACCGAACATGGTGTGTGTTTTCCTTTCGGCTTCCCTGTAAACCAGCCGCGACAGACGTAGCAACTCAAGAATACACGCAGCCGATGTAGGTCCTGGAGGTGTCGTACATGGCCCTGCTGGAGGGCGGCTACGACAAGAGGACTGGCAACGGGTGGGAGGCGTCAACTGGGCAGGTGACCTGAAGAAAGCCAGAAAGGGAACGAAGTCCCCCAGCTTGGTGCCCTTTGGCCGTTTCTTCTTTGGGGTTTTGGGTTCCCCTAGTAAGATAGACTACAAACAACAGGGTACCCTTATTCTAACCTCTCTACTGGAGAACCTAGGGAAGGATCCCAAGGGAGATTCCTAACATAGTGTTTCTTCGTATGTTTCTCAAGTGCAGCAAGTGAAGCGTCACGTTTTGAGTTGGATTCTTGGGAGGACTTTCTGCTTTTGGGGGCGCCCCCACCAAAAGAGACTTCTTTCCCGAGGGCCCTGAGGTCTCAACTCGAATTGAGCCAGGACCCTGTCCCGGGAGTCGCAGCACATTGGGCACTTCGTGGGCATCGACAAGGATGACTGGATGTGTGCGCCGCCCAGACGTCCACGTGGTTCCCATGTCGACGTCGTGCTTCAAAATGCTCAGAGAATGTGTGGGAGAGAAGGAACCTGCACAGGGAGCTTTTCCCCTTAAATCGGACCATTCTCTGCCAGGACTTGCCTGTGCAGCTTCTGAATTTAAAATTCGGGGAGGCGTTGTCTTTGGTGCATTTTGCTTGGATGTTAGGACTTTAACTTTTGCCAACTAATGGGTTTTCCATTAAACCACGAACAGTTGAAAACTTGCAGCCGGGAAGCAGAAAGCAACCAAGCATGGTTCGGGTGGTTTAAAGGTAAGATCAAGAAGTACTTGGGTTCCCCCCGCATTTTGACACACCCATGCTCTTCGCTCCACCCCACCCTGATTGGGTTTTCGCAGCCGAGTTGGCAAAAAAAAGTGTTCCTCGGTTTTCCCACCGCATCCATCCAGCCATCCAGCCATCCAGCGAGGCATGAGCGCCGCGGGCATGCTGGACCTGGGCGGGGCCCACGGGGCGGCGGCGGCGGCGAACGCCATCACCTCCAACCGCTTCTCCTACTCCTTGAACCTCAAGGCCTTCTGAAAAAGAGAAAGAATGCCGCGGATTTTGACATGCCCTGGGCGAACGTTGGCCCTTCAATTCATGAGGATCTCACTTTTGGGTTGAACAGGGGGGAATTTGAGGGGTGGTGGGTTGCAGGTACGGTGATGTTGGCGATTCCAGTTTGTTCAGTGGCGCGTTTAGTGGGAGTTTGCATTTTCCGGACAGTTTGGAGGCGTGGGGGTGAGAAATCAATATCATGCAAGGTGCAGAAAATTTGTTGGGTATATGTCATTGATGCTCTAATGCAATTAAAGTAGGTGCCACCTCCGCGGGGTCAAACAAAGAGTATGCAAGTGTGGAGCGGATGCTTTTGCAGAATGCGGAGAACTATTATCGTCACTCTCAAGTGTCAAGATGCGGGCCTTCATGTCATCGTGGTGACATCCCTCGACTTGGTTCAAAGGGCGAGTGAGACTCTTTTTGCACCTGTTGCAAGTTTTGGGCATCAGGTCGGGTTTTGAGGCACTGCAGCACTTTCTGGTCTTCAAAAACGCGTTGAGTCAGAGGCGAATTCGCCTTGACTCCAGCATCAGTTGGGTCCTTCGGACCAAACTTTGTTCGTTTTGCCAGCAACGCGGCTCCCGGCAGGGAGCCAGCATGACCATCGATACCGCCTGCTCATCGTCCCTGGCTTCGGCCTGAGTTCCTCTCTGCGCACAGCGACCAAACCAGATGTTCCACTGTGCTGAAGGTGTGAAACTGACCAAATTGCTGGTAGTCTATTGTTCAATTTGGGAGAAAAGAAGGGGCCGCCCAAAAACGTCTACAAAACCAAAGGCAAAGTTTATGTTTTTCGCGGGTGCAGTGGATTTTTGTGGGTTGAGTGTTCAGACTTGCCGTGCCTGAGGTGTGCACTCACGTGTCCAAGCTCCACCTGCGGTTCAAGGATTATGAGCCTATGCCGGCCAGTGTGGTGAACGGCCAGGGGCCCAATGTTTTGGCTGCGGGTGCTGCGCCAAGCGAGCCACATCATGAAACCAGAGGTAGATGAAGGTTCGCGGATGGTCCCAACCAGAAGTCAACGGTTTCCTTCGGTTTCCCTTACTCTGTAGGGCATATCTGCAAGGGTTTCGCAGATGCAAAAGGTTCCCCCCCCCCACCCGTCTTCGGCTTGTGCTGCTGTGGGGTTCCTTATATCACCCAGTGAAATGCACTGAAGCATCGCCAGGGTTCCTGGGGCGAGAGGAAGTCGTTGGGGACCTGAGGCTTGAATCTCATGCTGTACCCTGGCCCCTTCGTGGGCTGCTGCGCTGCGGGCATGCTCAGCCACGAGGGCAGGCGGGGCTCGGTTCCTGGGTTTCACATCATTCTCACACGAGAACGTGGCTCCCTGAATCCCCCAGCTTCTTCCATGCTCTCTTCTTTGTGTAGTTTCCCCTGGTCCTTTCTTTTCGAGAATCTGTCACTGGGGGGTTCTTCATGGAGGGGGGACCTATTCGTTGAAACATGTTTTGGGTTTTGGGTTTTTGGTCGCGCGCCACGCGGTGTTAGGTGCTTCACGCACGTTTCGATGTCAGATGTCAGGTGCTTCACGTTCAACTCCACAGCCGACGGCTACGCCCGTGGCGAGCTGCTGCGGCCCCGGGGGGGGGGGGGGGGCAAGATATATGTATCTATCTTTGTATGTTTGTATGTATGTAGTGTGTATATATATATATATATATGTATACACACGTGTATATAGATAGATATATATATATATATATGTATATATATATATATACATGTCTGGCAACCCTTTGTTGTTGGTTTGTTTGGTTGGCTTTGCTTGGTTTGTTCTACTTGTTGTTGTTTTTTACCAAAAGGAAGACCAACATTATTTGGCGTTCCCTGACTTTAAGACAAACCCATATGGCCATGTTTTCCAGAGAAGTCAAACATGTCACAGGAGCCCCCAGAGACACGGTGGATTCCTCAATACTGCAAGTGAGCCAACAACCTTCCACAAAACCTGTGCAAGTCGCGGGGAACAAACCGGTTTTCCAACCTTTTCTTTTTCCGCATTTTCCCCACTAAGATATGCTTTTGCATTTGGCTGCAGAGTAAAGAGCGGATTGGGTCTACTTCCCCTCAAAGACCCCTGGGGCGGCAGTTCCTTGGGCCATGGCTCTGCACCCCTTTGGACTCGGATCGCTTGCACTCGGCTCCGAATGCGCGTGCTTTAAAGCCAAACCAGGCGGATAACATCATTTAGGTGGGGGCTTGCGTCCACCAACCAAGTTCCTTATTTGAAATTCATAGCCACATTGTTTGTAAGGGTTGCTTTGGGTTTCCCCTCGAACCAACTTTCTACTCGGGTCAAAGGGGGAACAGCCGCCCTCAAGTCTTATTTTTCCAGCGATCGTCCGCTACCCCACGGTGCATTGGTCTGGGAAATCGGGTGTTGGGCTGTGATTCCGAACACACCGAAGACATTTGAAATTGCACTTTGCTACTGCGGATGGATAAAATCCACCACTTGGTAGGTGGTGATGTCCGTTTCTTTTTTTGGGGGGGGTTCATCCCAACTGGTGCCGACCGACCGTCGGAGAACGGGGAAGTCATATTCCAAATACAGAAAGATTCGACCCATTTTCCAGATCCATATTGACCAAACCCAGCTGGCTTCGGCTTTAGTTGCTGGTTCTCAGGGTCCCTGAGGAATGACCCCTGCAGACCATGCTCTTGCTTTCCTTCAGGGATCCATTGGTTCATCCCCAATCCGTTGATGCCTTACCCAACTTGACTGCTATTGGGTTGGATCTGTAGACTTTGACTTTTTGGGAAGTCAAGGGGTTTTCCACTAAACCCACAAGAAGGCAATTTTCACTTTTTGCAGAGGCATCCTTCCAGCTTAACCCTGCCCGAATGAAGCCGCCAGTTTCGTCGTTCCAGACATCTGGCTTGGCGCTTTTTCCCGAGGTGCGGGGCGCTGTGCTTCAAGCTGAAGCAGTTCGATCCGCAGAGCGGCTCCATTTGTTGTCTGGCCGGCAGCCAGTCCAACCAGGCTGGGCTTTTGGGCTTCCAGCGGCTTCTTCAGTGGCTTCTTCGGCGGCTGGAAGGAAGTGGGCATCAAAAGAAAACCAGGAAATGGACCGCAGGTTTTAGTCCTTCTTTCCATTTGCCAGGAATCCAGTGGGGGTACCCGAATGAATTCTGATTGAATACTGGGATCAACCACCAACTGGTGCAGGGCTTGTCCATCCACTGCACTTTCTGGCAGATTTGGGCAAAAGTGGCTTTATTAACCACACCCTCGTACATGTTTTTGCAGAAAAGACTGTTTTAGCAGAGTGGTCAAACATGTACGAATCACAGGGGGTGGGCCCAACCCTAGTTGCGAAACAGCAGGCAGAGAAGGTTGACATGGGCTTTCGATTGGTCCTGATTTTGTCTTTAGACGCTGCAAAACCAGGCGAAGAGGTTTGAAACCTTTGTCATGTAGAAAGCGTTCACAGTCGGGCTTGCGACTGAGACCCTGTTGGCAAAGCCAGATTTCCTAGAACAGTCCCATTGAGTTCAGTCAGACAAGCCAGCCACACAAGATAATTACCATATAACCCGGATGGAGTGCTGATCGAATCCTTTGCATGCATTGCTAACTGGAACCTCCGGATTTAAATAAATCCAAGTTTAAAAAAGCGGTGTTTGTGGGTTTAGTGACTGATCATCACTTTTGAAGGGTAACGGATCCTAGGACGGGTTTCTCTGGGGTCAACATGACCTAAATTCACCAACACAAATCGAGGGATGGTTTGAGCCGGCCAGGATGGGCGCAGCGCGAGTTTGACGGCGCCCAATGGCCCGGCGCAGGACGTCAGTGGCATTTTCAGGCGGTTTTCCTGGGTCAATGATTGGTACCTTGGGTCCATGTGAGACATCCAAGTGCCCTTGACTAAACTTCTGGTGATAGAAATTATGCATATATATATATATATGCTGGGTATAGAGTTTAACGTTGACCAAGTGTTCACAACTATTGGTTTGTCTTCCAACCTCACGAGCACGAACTCTCTGACGCACTGGAGAATGGCTGCGAACACCAAGTCAGCCAGCGGCGTTCCAGGCCGGGGGCCCTTTTTGGTCCTTTTTGAGACTCACCCGCCGAGAAATGGATGGGAAGGCATGGTGTCACATAGCGGATATTTGGCGGCTAGTTTGCAGCACCAAACCCATTTGACCCAATATTGACCAAGCAACCGCTCTGTATGAAAGACAGGGTCTCCTGCTTTCAATGGAAGACCCGGCCCTTTGATTGGACACCCCGCTTCGGGTGGTTGGTCTCAAACCAGGTTAGGCCCTCAATCGCTCGAATTGGCGCCTCCCAGAGGCTCCCGAGTGATCTAGGGCCTTCAAGCAACCTGGTTTTGAGACCTCCCACCAATTCCCGGGTCAGGGTCGGGTCTTCCATAAGGTCCAGCCTCTGGACTCCTCCTTTTCCGCTCCTTTCGGTTTTCCGTTCAGGAGAAGTGCATCAAGGCGGTGCTGCGGGAATGCAAGCTCACCCCCACGGAGGTGGATTGTATCGAGTGCCACGGCACCGGCACGCCGGGAGACTCGGGTCTCCCAGTCGAGCCGAGAAGAGACCAGCCCCCAAAAAATAGTAAAAGGAGAATTCAAAGAATTATTCTTTCTACTATTTTTTCTCCAACAGCAACACAACAAACAGAAAACAATATCCAGAACAACAAGCAAACAAAATAAATAATCACAACCAGCAACAAAAATATTTAATCACAGCATGCAACATTAAATAATTCAAACAAGCATACCAACAAAACAGCAACACTCTAAATCATCAAAGAACCCAAACTCAAAAACACACATCAACAAAAATCAAAGCAACATACCAACAAAAAATATCACAAGAGCATCAAACAAAACAAAAACAAACAGCCAAAGCACGAAAAAATTGAAGAAGCATGCCAAGTCTAAACAACGCACTTTGAAAGAGATAAGCAAATTATAATAATTCAATCTTTACAAACGATAAATATATTACAATTATAACATATAATATTTTACATGTGATAATCATAGTATGATTAAACCTGTTTTTAGTGTTTCCAGTCTCCTATGTTGTTCCAAGAACTGCTCAAAATGTTTCTGATATTATACCAGATTAAGCTAACGTCATAATCTTTCATTGGTGCTCTTTGTTGTATTAAATAACGCAACACTGATACCAAAGTATAATAATTAAAATGCATTGTTGTCATTCCTCCTCTTTCATTAATACTATTACCATTATGTTTAACGAGTTCTTCTTTCATTATGTTTTCGTAAATCTCTTTTATCCATTGATGATTTTGTTCTCCATACTCAGCGAACATATCTGGATATATATCTTTCATTGTTTTATCGTTTTTAATTATTTCAATGACTTGTTTATACGATGGATAGGGATTATCCTTAATGAAACTCAATATTATCTTTCTATCCTGTTCCAGCTCTTTTTCTGTCACTCCTAGCATTGACATTTTCCTCTTATTATATTAAGTATTTATTCCTTTAAGTCATTTTACATTATAATTATAACATATAAGGGTATAAATGTTATAATCATAGTATGGTTTTAAGCCTGCTGGCCATGCGATAAATCACCTCACGCAAAGTCATTTTGCACCTCACGCAAAGCCATTTTGCACCTCACGCAAAGCCGTTTTGCACAAATCGCCTTTGTAAAAGCCTACTTGATGTCATTGCAACCCAAACTCAAAATCCTTAATCCGTCAAACTCATCAAAAATCAAATTATTAAACTACTAGGTATTTTATATAGGTCATGCAAAGCCGTTTTGCACAAAGCGCCTTTGTAAAAGCCTACTTGGTGTCATTACAACCCTAAACTCAAAATCCTTAATCCGTCAAACTACATAAGATTTCCAAAACTAATTGGGATGGTACTCTATATAAATCACTCTGTGAATGAATGATGGGGTTGTCCTCGGCGTTGCTTTTTTGTGGCAGTCTCTGCGCAGTTTCAATATGTTTATTATTCCTGATGTTGCCACAATCCTTTTTACATAAATCTCTAGGTTTCCAAGTTGTAATGTTATTCCATAGCCTAGTCCTCTTTCTATAATTAAATCCATATTTACAATAATCTACATCTTTAAATTCAAACTCATCCATAAACTCCTGATGTTTTAATAATCCAGTTTGTGGATTTTCGATTACAAAATATTTAGGATTGAAATATTTGATAATCTCAATAGTTTTTAAGACAATACGATTTGCATATTCGATATTCCTAATTACCTGAGTTTTTGCTATGCTGTATTCAGTGCATGGGGGACTACTCCAAATAAAATCAAAATGGTTCCTATCAAATTGTTTATAATCCCACTCCAAAATATCAGTGTTGATATCAGCATTTTTCAAGTCTAATGATATCACATTAAATCCAAGCGACTTTGCTATGGTTCCAACGCTTTTTGTTCCACTAAATAATTCTAATAAATTCATTTATTAGAATTATTTAGATATTATTTATTCAAATAATACATATACTCCATCATCATTTTTTGAAATTTTGTAAAATTCTAAAGTGGTGCTTTTAGGTTGTTTGATTTTTCCTGTATTCAACATATCACAGTATTTCTTTTGCTTTGTCGGGTAGTCGCCCGATGGTCTTCCTATAGATTTTGCTTGAAATATCTTTTCGATTTTTTCTTTATCTTCATTGCGTTCAACTGGTTTCATTTTGTCATCAATGGATTTAATCATATCATTTAAGGTTTTAATATTTTTACCAATTAATGTTATCTTCTTCATCAAATCATTAATACTATAATTCTCATTTTCATACATTACTATATATTTATTTAGATAATTATTTATTTAATTATACAATTTACCTGAATAATTTAATGTTATATATGCAAATAAATTATATTCTAAGAGTCTTTCATCAATTTTATTTTTCAATTTTATTAAACCTTCATCGTTACCTGTAATTTCAAAAAACTTCAGCATTTTATCAAATTTATCTGGTTTAGTTATACCTTTCATAAAATATTTATTATTAAATTTAGCATCTAACCAATAAAAATATTCTATACTCAATTGTCTAGCAAAGTTTTTATCACCATCGAATAGGTCTTTAATTTCTTCATTGTCAAAAGTTATAATTCTATGGTCTTGTCCATTCATAGTTGGCATTATGATTATATAAATAATTAGATATTTATTTAAATATTTATTTATTTATATTTATAAAGTGCAATTATGTTAAATCTACTCTTTAAATACTAATTTTTCATGATTTGTTTAACAGTTTCCTGAGTTTCGTTTTCATTATTATCGGTTGGTGTTGCTTGCCTACCAAATTTAAAAGTTATACTATGGACATCAGTTTCTAAGTTGATACTGTCTTTAGTTTTATCAATACTCATTTTCTTATCATTTTTACTTATTTTGAAACTTGTTGGAATACATGAACATTTACATGTTTTATTATTTTTTATTTCTAATTCATTTTTAAGTTCTAACATCTTTTTGCACATAGGACAAGCAATCTCAAATACTGATGTTTCTTTAACAATTTCTCCGCTATCTTCTGTTGAAGAAACACTTAAACCTGTCTTATTCTTTTTGTTTTTCTTTTTTGGCATTTATATTAGCATTTATATTTTTAATATATTGTATCAAAAACTTAATTAATTCTAAAATAAAATAACATATTTTTTTACATCTATTATCAGTTATTAGTACTTGTTCTATATTCTCCATTTCATCTATTATATTAATATAATCTGAATAACTCCTTTTCATATTAAATAATAAGATAAATTATTTTTAATTTCTGACTTTCTTTTCTTGTAAAGTTTTTTCATTGTATCGTCCTTATTCCATCTATATCCCACAAATTTCTGATGATGTTTTGAATTTAGATGTTTAAATAAATATTTGTCATCATAAGTTTTACAACAATTGCAATGGATAACAGTCATATAATAATAAGATAAAATAATTATTTAAATTATTTAATCTTATTATTTTCATGCATGATAGAATATTCGGAGGGCACAGCACTTGGGGTTTTCATTGCACGCGAGAGAGATACAAACTAATTAGCTTCAATGCTTACTGATTGAAGCAATGGAAACCTGTTCCATTATGTTATTCACCGCCACTCATAACATAATGATGTTCCATTAATATTAAATAGAATATTTATTTAAATTATTTTCTTTAGCTTTAGTAAGTTTTAGTGCAGTTAGCATATCAACATCTAGAATATTATTATTAATAACTTCTTGTACACTATTTATCATTTCATCTGTATATATATTAGAATAATCTTTCATAAAATTTACTAACTTTCTAAAATTAAAATCTAGGTTATTGTCATTTTCAATTGCGGACTTGGATACTACGATATTATAATTTTTAATTCCAGATAAAAAGTATAACATCGTATCATAATATATTTGTACAGTATCTGGAACTAAGACATCACCAAATTTATATATCCTCCGAATACTAGCCACTTCACTTAAATTAATAGATTCTATAGCCATTATGATATAATTATATTATATATTTTTTTTATTTATAAGTATTTATAATATTATTTTTATTATGCCTGATGTAAAACCAATTGATGAAATCAAATATGACTTTAAGCAAAGTAAGCATGAGGTCGTCCCTAAATTGCCAATGAGAGCTATGATTGTCGGTCCATCTGGAAGTGGAAAATCAACTTTACTTGTATCAATGATACTTGATATTTATAGAGGAGCATTTGAAAGAATTTTTATCTGGTCTCCATCTGTAAATTTAGATAGTATTTGGTTGCCTGTTAAAAAATACATTAAAGAAGGTTTGAAAGTAGATAATGATAAAGAACCGTGTTGGTGGGATGAGTTCAATGTTGAAGATTTAGAAAGAGTTATAGAAACTCAAAATAAAATAATTGAATACCAGAAAAAACAAGGAACGAAGAAATTATTTAATATTTTGGTAATTTTGGATGATGTATCTGATAATCCAGCAATAACAAGAAATAACAAATTGTTAAATTCTTTATTTTGTAGAGGTCGTCATAGTGGAATATCAACACTTGTAAGTCTTCAAAAATCATCAACCGTACCACCAATTATTAGGGTAAATATAAGTCATTTGTTTTATTATAAAGTTAGAAATTTTAAAGAGATAGAAATATTGCAAGATGAATTATCAGCAATTGTTAGAAGCGATAATTTACATGAAAGCAAGAAACTAATTTATAAAATATATGAGACTGCCACTGATGAACCGCATAGTTTTTTATATATTAACCTTTTAGAAAAGAATCCAGATAAAATGTTTATGAAAAAGTTTTCTCAATATTTGAAAATTACTAATTAAATAATTAAATAATTAAATAATTAAATATATATTAATATTATATGCTATTTTATGATTTACCAATAGAGATTAAAAATATAGTATTATCTTATAGTTTAGGTGATGTTAAATTATTAAAAATAAAAAATAGTAATATTGTTAAAAATTATATTAATAAATATAAACCAGTATATAAGTCTTACAAATTAAATAACCTAGATTGTTTTGAAATTGATAATATCAATATTAATAATGGATTATCATATGTTTTTAATTTAAGTGAGTTAGATAAATTACATAAAATATATACACCATTAAATTTATTAATTGAATATGGGTTAATTATTACATCTACATCATCTAAATGTTTGA